CCACCACCACCACCAATGAGTTCACTCACTACCACTGGGTTCACTCACCACCACCACTGGGTTCACTCACCACCACCACCACTGGGTTCACTCACCACCACCAATGAGTTCACTCACTACCACTGGGTTCACTCACCACCACCACTGGGTTCACTCACCACCACCACCACTGGGTTCACTCACCACCACCACTGGGTTCACTCACCACCACCACCACTGGGTTCACTCACCACCACCACCACTGGGTTCACTCACCACCACCACCACCGGGTTCATTCACTACCACCACCACCACTGGGTTCACTCACCACCACCACTGGGTTCACTCACCACCACCACCACTGGGTTCACTCACCACCACCACTGGGTTCACTCACCACCACCACCACCGGGTTCATTCACTACCACCACCACCACTGGGTTCACTCACCACCACCACCACTGGGTTCACTCACCACCACCACTGGGTTCACTCACCACCACCACCACCACTGGGTTGACTCACCACCACCACCGGGTTCACTCACCACCACCACCACCACCACTGGGTTGACTCACCACCACCACCGGGTTCACTCACCACCACCACCACCACTGGGTTCACTCACCACCACCACCACCACCGGGTTCACTCACCACCACCACCACCACCACCGGGTTCACTCACCACCACCACTGGGTTCACTCAGCACCACCATCACTTGGTTCACTCACCACCACCACCGGGTTCACTCACTACCACTTCCACCACTGGGTTCACTCACCACCACCACCACCACTGGGTTCACTCACCACCACCACCACCACTGGGTTCACTCACCACCACCACCACTGGGTTCACTCACCACCACTACCACCACTGAGTTCACTCCCCACCACCACCGGGTTCACTCACCACCACCACTGAGTTCACTCACCACCACCACCACTGGGTTCACTCACCACCACCACCACTGGGTTCACTCATCACCACCACCACCACTGGGTTCACTCACTACCACCACTGGGTTCACTCACCACCACTACCACTGGGTTCACTCACCACTGGGTTCACTCACCACCACTGGGTTCACTCACCACCACCACCACTGGGTTCACTCACCACTGGGTTCACTCACCACCACTGGGTTTACTCACCACCACTACCACTGGGTTCACTCACCACTGGGTTCACTCACCACCACCACCACTGGGTTCACTCACCACTACCACTGGGTTCACTCACCACTGGGTTCACTCACCACCACTGGGTTCACTCACCACCACCACTGGGTTCACTCACCACCACCACCACTGGGTTCACTCACCACCACCACTGGGTTCACTCACCACCACTGGGTTCACTCACCACCACTGGGTTCACTCACTACCACTGGGTTCACTCACCACCACCGCCACTGGGTTCACTCACCACCACCACTGGGTTCACTCACCACCACCACCACTGGGTTCACTCACCACCACCACTGGGTTCACTCACCACCACCACCACCACCGGGTTCACTCACCACCACCACCACCACCACTGGGTTGACTCACCACCACCACCGGGTTCACTCACCACCACCACCACCACTGGGTTCACTCACCACCACCACCACCACCGGGTTCACTCACCACCACCACTGGGTTCACTCAGCACCACCATCACTTGGTTCACTCACCACCACCACCGGGTTCACTCACTACCACTTCCACCACTGGGTTCACTCACCACCACCACCACCACTGGGTTCACTCACCACCACCACCACCACTGGGTTCACTCACCACCACCACCACTGGGTTCACTCACCACCACTACCACCACTGAGTTCACTCCCCACCACCACCGGGTTCACTCACCACCACCACTGAGTTCACTCACCACCACCACCACTGGGTTCACTCACCACCACCACCACTGGGTTCACTCATCACCACCACCACCACTGGGTTCACTCACCACCACTACCACCACTGGGTTCACTCACCACCACTGGATTCACTCACCACCACCACCACCACTGGGTTCACTCACCACCACTGGGTTCACTCACCACCACCACCACTGGGTTCACTCACCACCACTACCACCACTGAGTTCACTCCCCACCACCACCACTGGGTTCACTCACCACCACCACCACTGGGTTCACTCATCACCACCACCACCACTGGGTTCACTCACCACCACTACCACCACTGGGTTCACTCACCACCACCACCGGGTTCACTCACCACCACCACCACCACTGGGTTCACTCACCACCACCACCACTGCGTTCACTCACCACCACCACCACCACTGGGTTCACTCACCACCACTGGGTTCACTCACCACCACCACCACTGGGTTCACTCACCATCACAACCACTGGGTTCACTCACCACCACTACCACCACTGAGTTCACTCATCACCACCACTGGGTTCACTCACCACCACCACCACTGCAGGGCCCGACTTTTGAATATCCATTTCATTGTCCCTTTTTGCCAAAGTCCTCGTCGCACTCAACTCAAGTGACGTATCGACTCTTATCAACTGCACTGTCGCTGGTGCTGTTTGCTACTGGCCGCTTTAATTGCGGATCAAATACAAACAAATATAAACGCGTGTGCATTGCGCAAAGGACAGACGTGAAATTGATTGCGGAAGAAAAAAAAAGCGAGTGGCCTTGGGCTGGAAGGGGCGGTGGTGGTGGAGTGGCAGCCACAAGGAAATTGAAAGAACGCACCCCACCACTCCCACGAGAAAGACGACGAACGCGGAGATGGAGCACAATGCGATTGGCCAACGTGCGAGAAGAAATGGATCGTGGCATCGCAGGGCTGCGGGGGGATGGCGAATGCGTGGGCAGGCCTTCGTTTAAACGATTAAACTATTTTCGTGTTTGACCAGGTAAGGCCCACTGAGCCTCTGTAGCTCAGTGGGCCTTACTTGAGCGATCATTTGTGGCCAAATACGATATAGCTCGGCGAAGTGGATTAATCATCGCGCGGAAATTGATAGCAGGCAAACACTCTGAACTCCTTGCTGATTATGAATGTGGAGGGCCCGCAGAGAAATCCACGGGGTGAAAATGCAGACTCTAAATATACAGCAGACGTCACGGTCTGGATCGAACCCACGACCTCTTGAATACCAGGCGAGGTAGATAACATCTCGCCACCGCGGCACCCCTCTCATCCAAGGGTGGATGAGACAACCGCCAGCCGTGACGATCACGACGATGACGGCCGTGGCGCGGTGGGTCATCGTCAATTAAGCCCAGCACATTAAAAATGAAAGAGTCGTTCTCGTGAAAATGTCTTCTGTTCTGTCTTTTTTCGCGTGCGTACTGGCGATGGTGGCTTCCTGCCAGACACCCCGAACAAACCCCACTTGACTCGCTCCTGCATCCAATCACCGCAATCGTTCTCCGGCTAAAAGCGCTCTGCAAGGACTCATCCCTGCGTTCACTCCCCATGTCCCCTCCACCACACAGACACCCCCCCCCCAACACCGCTGCCCACCCCCCCACCCGTCTGGACACAATCTTGGCGATGCGAGTGAATGTGCAGCCAGCGAGTCAAGAATTCCTACAACTTGACCAATCCTCTGGCGGATTTGCGAATGTGGTGGTCTGAATAATCGTAACGTCACCAGCGGCGCCAGAATTAATCCGTCTACTGTGGTACATTTTAAGCATCTCATTAAATCCTTGTCATTCATCCATTCCATTAATCGATCGTATTCATCCATCTTATTCATCCATCTCATTCATCCATCTCATTCATCCATCACTTTCACACATCTCATTCGTGCATGTCGTGCTCACCTCTCATTCGCGTACTTCATTCATACAACTCATTAATCGATCTCATTCATCGATGTCAATTACCAGCCACGGCTACCACCGTTGGTGATCCACAACCGAACCAATCTTGAGCCCTCCCCCTATCACCGATCCGCACAGACCAGCGCGGTAAAGTATGGTCAAACACCCCCCAGACCTTAATCCAGCCGTGGATTGACAAAGTTCCATAACGTATTAACACGGTTGGCTATGTACGGTGCGATAGAAGTGCAACATACATATGCAATATTATTACTACTACTACTATGACGGGGAAACTTCGTTACAGCCACGCAGCTTTGTCACAGCTGCTGTGCACATTGGGAGTTCTGTGGACGATTGCGTTGCACCGCCAGACGTACCAGCGCCTCCCCGGGGGAATACCAATTTGGAGTCATCCACTCAACTTGATGGTTGGCTGCACTCGAGACGAGGTCGGTGCAATGGGAGAGTTCAGTACGGTCGGAAATCGACCGGAGTCAGTGGGTGAGCGGGTGAGTTATTGAGAGGGTGGGTGAGCAGGTGAGTGAGCGAGTAGGTGAACGGGTGAGTTAGTTGGTGAGAAGGTGAGCGGGGAAATGAGCAGGTGAGTTGGTGAGTAGGTGAGTGAGCAAGTCGGTGAGCAGGTGAGTTAGTAGTTGGGTGAGCGGGTGATTAAGCTAGTGGGTGAGTGAGCGATTGGGTGAGCAGGGGAGTGAGTGAGTGGGCGAGCGGGTTAATTAGTGAGTGGGTGAGTTGGTGAGTGGGTGAGCGAGTGAGCGAGTGGGTGGACGGGCGAGCGTGTGAGTGAGCGATTGGATGAGCGGTTGAGTGAGTGGGCGTGCGGGTGATTGGGTGAGCGAGCGGGCGAGCGAGTGGGCGACCACACATTAACACGCTAAGCTGATTCACTTCCGTCACCTGCTAGAGGCCCTCGTGGTGGCAAAAGTGCGCGGGCGTGCCAAAATGAGCAGCACGGCGTTTGTTACCAGCTCAAAAGGTATTCCCCTCCAGTGCCTGACGAGCGCGGTTAATCTAAGACTGATAAATACCGTCAGCGGGCCTTTTCGAAGCGTCGGGCCTCGTATGCACCGTGGCCCGCACGGAAAAGAAAAAAAGCTCAACGAAGGCACGTGGTTCAGAGGTTCGCGGGCCGCCGTTTGCAACGAGGAAGGGGACGCGATGGTGAGGGGCGGACTCACCACGCTGGGGATCTCGCACGCAGTCTCGCGCTCGTTCTGCTCCGGGTCGCAGTAGATCCGCAGCTTCTGCACCTCAAACTTGCGACGGACAGGGGGAAAAATAACAGCACGCAAAACGTGAGCGGCGTCCGCATTTTAAATAGTAATAATAATAAGCACAATGACAATAAGGCAAGCGACTTTGATTTAAAGCTTTCGTGACTGCAGGGATTCATATTCTTGGTTCTTTCGGTAAAGTCACGTAGAAGGGAAACAATAAAATAATAAAAATACAAAACAATCAAATTCTCACGACGTTTCGACTGCAACACAAGCAATCATCATCAGGTGTGAAAACCACAACAAATTTTCTTGTGGTTTTTTCATGCAGCCTTTTGACTTTGTTTGTCTACGTGTGGGGAATGGTAGTGTAGCGGTGAGCATGCTCCACTACATACATTGAACTTCTTTCGCACCGTACGTAGCCAACCGTGCTCATCGGTCATCTAACCACCGCTGCAGCAATAACCAGGGCGGGCCGCTGGGTCCGAACCGCGCAGCTCTGCGTACAAAAGCGACCGAACGCCCTCGCTCTCTCCCCCGCCCGCCCGCCAGGGTGCCCGCCGCTCACCGGGATGGAGGCTTCCTTGCCCACGTACTTTCCCACTTGCATCTGCCCGCCCACGTACATGGCGACCACCTGCTCCAGCACCACCCGGCCCACCTCGTCGCCGTCCAGGAAGAGGTAGGCGGTGCCCTCCCGCACCAGCACGCGCAGCTGGTGCCACTTCTCGTTGAAGAGTTTCTGCGGAGCGTGCGGGCGGGGCGGCGGGACACAGAGGGGGAGGAGGGGGGTCAGCGATCCTCACCGCTGTTCAACGCGTTGGGCTTTCGAGGCCAATGTTTATCCGTGGCAAATGGCGAACTGTTATGGTCGACCTCCGCGACAAGCACGGTTGGCTACGTAGGGCGCGAAAGAAGTTCAACGTACGTACGTACCGTCGCTGCTACTAAGGCTGCTGTTACGCTACGGCGGGAGTGGTTACGTCATTGTACGAGGAGCATCTGCAGCGGATAGAACATGGCTTATGAAAATGATGACGTCGATTGACAATGACGAATTCTAGATCAACAAAGGATTGCCTCGGCAAGTCTGAAGTCTCAAAGCGACTCTCGGTCGACGGCGGTGGGGAGCGGTGAAAGCACCGGACCCACCCCTGGCGACTGCCAGCATCAAGGCAGAGGGCTTGGCGGAACTACCAGGATTTGGGCGCTCTCCGCCACGACGAATTCGCGGGCGCCCCTTCCCAAGGGCAGCGGCTCAGCTCACCCAGAGCGACGGGCCCGAGAAGCGCGCCGTCTGCACGCCGTTGCGCAGGCTGGGCGACGAGAAGGTGACGGAGCGGTCGGAGCCGTCGAGGGTCACCGCCGTCTGGATGGAGCCGTCGAGGGCGCGCACGCGCCACAGGTCCCACGCCTCGCGCCGCGCCGCCCCCTCCAGGCGCACCGTCGCCACGAAGACGTAGGACGGGGGCAGCCCCTCGGGCAGGATCTCCCTGCGGGTGGGGCATCGGCAAGCCGGCGCGTTAGTAGCGAGGCGGCGGATCGGCTGAGTCGCGTCGGAGAACTCGCAGGGAGGGAGAGGTGGGGTGTGTGTGGGGCGGGGGGGGGAGAGTCGCCCTGCGTAGGCAGTGCAACGGGGTGGGGAAGGGAAGCCTCTCGACTGTGGGTGGCTGCAGCCTTCACCTTGAATAGCGTTCACCACTCGCACTAAGCTTATAACGGAACGGGGAAGGGAGTGGCGGTGCAGTGGTTAGCGCAGTGGGCTTTGCCTCGTCGGATGGGGATGGTTAGATTGTATTTGTATGTGTTTGGGTGATTTGTTTACTTTTCTTGTACTTTGCACTGCTATTGTGTTTTGGTATTGTTTGTTGTTGTAACGTTCTGACTCGCCCCTACTGGACGTCTGTGAAAAAGAGCTTTATAGCTCATCGGATTCCTCCAGTATGAAAAAATATCAGATCCTGACGCAAACTATAAGACAAAAACACCGGAGTTGGATCTCCGCCCCAGGATAACATCAGCTACGAGCGATATCCGAACGAGAGTCCTCTGAAACCGCCCCGCGCTCTCCCCAAGCGTGGGGAAGTTATGACCATACTCATTCACGTCCGCGTCTTCAACTTCTTTCGCACCATACGTGGCCAACCGCGCTAACCGGAGGTGCGAAAATTCAGGCCAGTGCGGGCGAGGACCCTTTCCCACGTCCCGCGTCAAGTGACTCGCATCACGTCTGATCGCAAAACAGTTCGAAGGGTATCCCCAGTGGGCAGCCATCTCTGCGTAGCACAAGGTGGCCCAGCAGCTGGCTGGGATTTGGGGGTGGGGGGGGGTGACGGTGATTCCTACGCGTGAATTCCAATTGAGAAATTTTCGGCGTCGTTATTCGAATTTGAACAAAACACATTTTGGAGAGCATGCGCGTAATAACGTACCGATGCATCGATTGATCGTTCAAGTTTGTTTTCACTCGCTTCAATTCACGACTTGTTCAAATAATACGCCAATTATATGGTTACTGTTACGTTCGTTATACAATGGGGCAAACAGAACCACACAAGTCAAGAAAAAGAGTTAACCAAAGTAATTTTAAAGGAGCAAAAACAATCTAACAAAATTAGAGCAATTCATGAGTTTGACCACGACCTTCAATCGTGATCATGATTGAAATCTCGTGACTTGATTAATGATCACAACCATCAATTGTGATAATCATTCAAATCACTGGGCAAAGGTTGAATCTTTACCCGCCCGCACTCTCACTAACCTTGCATTTATTCACGACATCCACAAGACCCGATAGTGACCAATCGAATCAGCCACTTTTCTAGAGGGGCCTCGGCAAATGAAATATAGATCCGTCAGACGGGGAAAAGTCGGCGACTCTATGTATGCATATACGTTTAACTTATTTTGCACCGTACGCAGCCATCTGTGCTAATCGGAGGTGCGGGGGAAGGACATCAAACTGAACACCAAAAGCCGTTCTAAAAAAAATTGTTCGCAATATAGATGATTTAAAAGTGCATCGCCCCAGTGGCTTCCTAACATCGGAAGGAACAGCGTTCCAGAAGGCCGGAGAAGCGCATCTGAAAGAGCCGCAATGCCGCAACCGTCTTTGTTCGATGGCCCAGCCAGAAGCCGCCACCGCTGCTGCGAAGATGACCGGAGTCCACGTGACGACGGTTTACGCTCCTTGACGAGACCAGCGGCGTCTTGTGGCCCGTCTGTGGCCAGCGCTCAGCGCGTCTCGGGCCTGTACGAGCGTAACAACGCGGGCACCTGGCGCACGCCGTGCCTCCGTTTTAAGCACCTGGTGTAGCCCCTTCATCCTCTGAAGTCGCACCGCAGTGCGCTTCACGACCGGCGAATCCGAACGAGCAGCTGTGCGGTGGGAGTGAGGCGCGTGGCGAGCGTGAGATCACGGCGTCAAACCGCAACGGAGCTTGCTGAGCAGAAAAAAAAGGCTTAGACGCGTGAGAATCGACCCCACACCGTGACCCGCCCCGCGGTTTTCGATTTCACGTGCTTGAACCTCAGCTCTGTCGGCGAGCGTTAAGCCGCCCCTGCACGCCGTTCCGATCGACTAATCAGCTTCAACTGCGGCTCGCTTCAATGGCATCATTATTAGTGTCATCATTATTATCCTCCACGGTTTTATTCCCGATCCGTGCCATCGGCGCCGCGTCGTTACGCGGCGCGGCATCCACTCAGAACTGTCGCGGAGCAGCGAAACCCTTCACGGTGAACAGCTCGCGGAAGCGGATATCACAGAGCTACATCCGAGAGTGCATCAAGTGACCTCTGGTCTGCACAGTGCCGCATTTAGGCAAAAGCTAAGTAAGCTACGCACTTTTGAATCTAGATTGAACTTTTTTTTTTAGGACTGCTTTGTGTGTTCACTTTGTTGTCCTTCGCCCCACACTTCCGATTAGCGATGTTGGCTGTGTACAGTGCGAATGAATTTCAAATAGATACAGGAGTATGGTCATACTTCCCCCCGCTTGGTGAAAGTTTAACTTACGAGCTAACAGCTTAGGGCTTCGCGCTATGAGGGGAGCCTCTAAATAAGAACACTAAATCAATATAACACGACGTTTCAAGTTTTACGTAATCGGTTGAAAAATAAAGGAGACAGGTGGGGGCGGGGGGGGGAAACGACTCTCCAAAACGGTCATTCTCATTCGGATATGACCAAAATATACGGGCGCCCCTCGATGTACGAACCCTAAGCTTGACATGGCTTCGGGCTCCAGTGCGTCGTACTAGCGCCCACCAAATGCCAGCAGCGCTTTCAACTCGCCCCACGTACGAGAGGTCAGCGCTGCGAGGTTTGCCGCGGTACGGGGAGATCGGTATTCCGCTCAGGGCTTGAAATTCGGCCAAATTGAGTGCCGAACCAAACTGAACGTCTGCGATGGTTCGCTGTGCGAGAATGCTTCGGGACGCGGCGGGGACAACATGATGAAAGTACGTAGGGGTGTATGTATGTGTGTACGTTGAACTTCTTTCGCACCGTACGTAGCCAACCGTGCTCTCTGCAATGGGGGAACGCTTGTCCTGAGGTGAGAAAAGATGGTCAAAGTTGTTCTACACATTTTGGAAAGGGGGCTAAACACAGGCTGCTGGAATGCAGAAGATTAATGGGTTCGATCCCCAGAACACTGACGTCTGCTGCATATTTATAATTTGCATGTCTCTGTCTCTCTCTTTCTCTCTTCCCGTGGTCGGGTGAAATTTTCTCCCGGGTCTTTCCAGTTTCCCTCCCCCCCCCTCCATATTTAGAATCAACGTGGGTTTAGAGTATTTGGCTGCTGTGCATTGTCACGTGATGAGCCGCTTCGTTGGCGCTACCATTCGTGTTAGCCAAGCTCGCTTCTTTAACAAGATCTACGTAGCTCAGTGTCCCTTACCCGGTAAAGTAATAAATAACTCATGGTAATAATTGTATCTGTCTTTCGTCAGGAGCTGAGACGTCTTGCAGTCCTCTTTTCACAGTGACGGTGGCTGACTTTTAGCGGTCGTTGGTGACTGGGCCGACACCGTCAACTCAACCGCATTTGAGGAGCCAGTTTAAAACCGAGAGGTGACACGACACGCGGATTCGAACCCAGGCGCTCGGCGGTGTCCTGCTCGGCGCTTCTCACCACTGAGCCACTGGGGAGGCACCTGCAGGCGCTTCACCGATTAAGGCAGTTGTTCATAATACAGTTTTTTTGGGGTTAGATCGCGTAAATATATTTACGCGTAAATATTTACGCTTAAATATATTTATGCGATCTAACCCCTATGGATGATATTGGTCGCGAAAGCCTACGTGATTAAGGCAGTGGTTGTTTATCCTGGGGCAGAGATGCGGGAGGTCTCCGCCGTTCTTAAACAGACGAGATAGCCAGAGGGCAGCCTCCGATAAGCGTGTCAATGGGGCAGATTAGGGGAACGTTGGAGGCGGAAAATGAAATCTCAGAAGAGCCAAATAAATTAATAAGTTAAGCGTGCACTTCAAAAAAAAGAGGGAAATATTTTCCAACTGCACGCCAGAGATTGCAGATAAATGCGATGCATTCATTCGCTTTGATGGTTGACCCAGAAAAGGACATGCACATGTGAAGCACTGATGGGAAGAGCGGACAATGTTTACTTACTGTATAAGTTTGCAAACTGTGAAATATAATAACAAGAATAATATTTCCTAATTTTTCACCAATGAAAATCTCGATGGGTCTCGAAACTCCCTTTTCAGGAGAGTCTTGCTACATCGGGATGTTTGGCAAAAGCCACTAGTGAGTTGTTCGCCTCTATGTCGGATGAAAACAGATTAGTCGGAGTAAGCCCACCACGCGCACGACAGGGCAACGCGCGAGTCTCCACACGGATGGATCCAAGGATCTGTTGCCATTCTGTCATGTTTTGACACCACCTCGTAGCCCAAGTCCACAAGAACACCACGCTCTCTTTCAGACACTCTCTGACCCAATTACCCACCAGGGCTCAGTGCTGCTTGGCGTCCAATATCGGGATGAGATCGGAGTGCATTCAGGGTGAATTGGTCATGGGAAAAGGAACCCGATGATCGATGTGGTCCCACTGGAACCGGAATAACCGCCGTGAAGGCCGTAGGACAATGATGCGCGCTGGTTGGCCTCACACCTACAAGTAACACAAGACTTAAAAACACGCGCAGGCAAACGCATGGCGTGAACAAAGGTTTAAAATGAAGAGTCGGTCCCGGCTGCTGCCGATGAAATTCAGTCAATGAGCCTACGACATTTTTGTCGCAAGTTTGCGAGCGTAAGATTGAGTGACAGTAACGCACGTGCGTTGGCGAGGCACGTGACGACTCGGACCCCAAAGTGGTCGCGGGAATTGTCGTGACTCCAGTGGGGGGGGGGGGAGGGGGGGGGGTCAAGATTAAATTCACGAAACGATTTTATTATTATTATTATTACTACCACTACCGTCTCCCGCAGGTTCGGCGCAGCCGGCGGTCGAGCCGAACGGACGAAGCGGAGGCCCAAAGGACGGAACCAACACCCGAGGGAACGGCCACAGCGGAGCCTCAGCGATGGGAGGAGCTCGTGCCGGTCGACGCTCCTGTCGCTGTCGTCGCGAGAAACTGTGAGCGATGGCCTGAAGGGGGTGACCTTCACCCAACAGTGGATAGATCATGGCCGATGACGACGACGACGACGTTAATGATGATGAGTAGCACGTGGTGGTCAGTGGCTGGCAGGCAGGCAGGCAAGCTAAGCGAGATATGAGACGCGGCTTGTGCAGCTTTGTTTCCATTCGGATTTCCAAAGGTCGTAAAGAGGTCACCCTGGTTGATGTGACCATTGTTCTTAACTTAAACAGGAAACCTCGCCAGAGCGGCTGCCATCATTTAGCCATGCGGTTCTATTTGGTGGTAGAAGGAGATAAAATTAATTGCGGTAACATTTTTGCAAGGGTTTACAGATAAGAAAAAAAATCGCCCGCTGGAATGTTAATGATGTGGATAAACAAGATGTACGTGTTTAAAGTTTAAAATTGAGTTGTTAATGCTCCGAATCGACATCGCGATGTGGAGATACGTGCCACTAATGGCACTATTCTTCAGCGTGTTTTTTTCTGTGGTATATAATTGTTATACTATTGAAACGGCCCGCAGGAATAAAAAAAAAACAAATATGACTCCAAAATATACATCATGCACCCGCGATCAACAGCCAGGATTCAAACGCAGGTCACCAAACCTTCGCAGTGCAGAGCAATAAGCAATGCACCACGACTCCCACCGCACGTGCTCATGCACGAGCACACAAGCAACGCATCCAGCAGGATTAGACGGATATGGATGCAGTAGCGTCCTCTTGTTTTGTAAATTCCTTTCTCGGTGACTTCAATTATTGTGGGCATGGACAAATTGAAACTCCTGTAATCCACTACCCCATTATCCGAGGCTGCAATTGTATGTCGTTCCCAATCAATCCGCAATAACTCCTGTTATTCGTGGGTCGATTCATTTATGTATGTATGTACGTAGAATTTCATTCGCACCGTACGTAGCCAACCATGCTAATCGGAGGTGCGGTCCTCTGACCCACGTGCTCCTCTTTCCTTCTGTCAGTGCATACAGTATGCCACGGATCCACCTGCATACCGTCCGCGGATACATTTCCGGATTTAGTTAGTTTCGCGGATAACAGGATGGCAACTCTTCTTGTCTGCAAATTTGCTCATCCGCCAACATCCCCCCCGTCCATCCCCTTCCATACAAGAGGGGTGCGCCCCCCACCCCCCGCAACGACGCCCCCATGCACCCCCCCCCCCCGCGGACCCCCACACTCTGCAGACGTCTCGATGGACAAGAAGCGCAAAAAAATTGCAGAACTTACGAGCGGATCTCGAACTCCGCTCTCCGCTCCATTAAGCAGCGTTCCGTGTGCGGGGGGAGACGAACTGAGGACACATGCCGGCTCGCCCATCGTCTCCCGCCACGGCATCGTAAACACGCACGCACGCACCCAAGCCGCTCCCAGGGCCGGGCCGGCGCAGATGGGGAACCGGCTAACGGGAATAGTTCACGCAACATCTGGCCCGCCGACCTTGGGAAGAACAAGCATCTCTCCAGTGGAGGGGGTCTCGCTCGCTGATGCAACACACGCGGCGGATTGGGAAGCTGTGCGCGGGCCCCCCTCCGTCGGACGACGATTTCCCTGAAAGCTTTCTGTGGACACGCGCGTCTGGTCGGCATTGTATCTCCATGCGCTCCTGACATCAATGCCACCCGTGCCCACCGCTCAGGCTGAAAATGTCACGCCTCGCCACCGACCCGAGCCCTACCTCCTCCTCCCGTCGCTTTGACTTTGCCGAAAGGAGATTGAGGTTCTACCGTGGGACCGTTTTTTTGTTTGTTGCAAAGTTGTGAAAAATAAGAATATTTGTTTACCTTTTCTGGCAATAAATCAGGAGGTGTCAAGATGTTCAGGCACCTTTTTCAAGGAATACAGTCTGCATTAGCCACCAAACAAAACGTGCTCTGATTATAATGCATGCATTGTCTTTTAAACTGATTGTCCTACGCCAGAGGCAGCCTTATTTATTTATTTATGGCCTGGATTCACCAGTGTAAGACCAGAGAACTCCAAAAGGCGACCAGTACAGAGACAATTCCCGTATCAGAGTATTTATAGCTCTGTGTTAACAGCTATATCATGGGACTTTTTTTCCAGTATCACAGTATGAAAAATTAGAATTGGTTCTATCCCTTCTATCAGAGCATGTTTTTGTTTGCATGTTTCACCACGAGTATGCGTGGTTAATGCAGACTTGATTCCTTGCAATATTTTATATTTGGTGGTGTTTGAACATCTTAACACAACTCCGTTTTCATGCCAGAAAGGGTAAAACCTATTCTTCTTTTTCGGAGATGCTACCGTTGGTTCACGTTGCACGTTTGCATACCCTACGACAAACTCGATCGGAATGCGTCCCAATCTCATCAGATCTTGCAGGCTAAGCAGGATCGAGCCTACACACGCCGGCAACGTGCAGGCGGGGGTTGGCGGGTCTCACAAACACTCGGTGCCGGATCGTTGATGAACCCGATTGTCGGATGCGATGGCATCCATCGCCTAATCGCCACGGTGGCTAGGAGATGTTAATTACCTCGCCTGGTACGCAGGAGGTCGTGGGTGCGATCCAGACCCTGATGCCTGCTGTGTATTTGCAGTTTGCGGTGTCTCTCTCTCTCTCCCCTCGTGGTGGTCGCGTGGATTTTTCTCCGGGTCCTCTGGTTTTTCCCTTCTGCGTTTAGCATCAACATGCGCTTCGAGTGTTTTGCTCCTGCTCTACATTTCCACGTGATAAGCCACTTTGTTGAATGATCGTTTATGGCTAGGTCGCTTCTGAAAAGAAGCCAGACAGCTCAGAGGGCCTGACCCAATAAAATAAAAAAATAAAAAAAAGCTTTCGCTTAATTGCCACACTTAAGATTCTGGCTCACTCGCCCTCCAGCTCGCCCACCCACTCGCCCTCCGGTCCGCCGACTCGCAGCACTCTCACCGTGTCTTCTCAGTGAAGTCCATCCTCGAGGTGATGGAGAAGCTGACCTCGGAGTGGATGGAGCCGAGCTTGCGCTCTGCCTTCTGGTAGATCTGCATCCCCTCCAGCAGGTCGAAGCCCTTCTCGTCTCGGCCGCGGGACGGGATGCGCCCGGGACACACGGTTTCTGAAAAGCGACGTTCACGCGCGTTCAAACTCGCACTCATTCACTTTGGCACGCTCATTCACTCACTCACACATTCACTCGCGCGCACTCGCGTGCACTAAATCGCACCCATTCACATGCATACCTGCAATGCACAATCCACAAATACGAAGGAGAAATCACGGCAATACGCGACTCCGCTGCTCCAGACGCGGTTGTCTGGCTTGACCACCCGAATGTGAGAAACTGTGGTTCGTTTTGCTCTCTGCATCTACATCAGCTGCACGAGAGGAGAACGGCCGAGGAGTGATGTGGGGTGACGTCCTTGCGCGCCACGTCACCTTCGCACAGCTTCTGCTTGATGGTCTCCTTGATGCGCGAGATCGCGTTGTAGTCCTCCACGTAGAAGACGTACGAGGACGAGGGGCGGTTCGCGATCTCCTTCAGCTCGGCCTCCTCGATGGCCTGGCCCACGCCGATGGCGAACATGATGATGCGATTCTCCTTCGCCTCCAGCGACGCGATCTGCACTCGCGACGGGAGATGTGGGGGTGGGAAGGGGGGGGGGGAGGAGGTCATGCCATGGGCATTGAGCAAGACACGTGGGCCCCAAGGGGTGCCCACCCACACCAGGGACCCACTTGCTCAGGGGCCTGCTCAATCAGGGGTCCATCCACCCAGGGGCCCATTCACCCGGGGGCCCAACCACCTAGGGGGCCCAACCACCCAGGGGCCCAACCACCTAGGGGGCCCAACCACCTAGGGGCACAACCACCCAGGGGGCCCAACCACCCAGGGGCCCATTCAACCAGAGGTGAATGGGCCTTACCTGGCAAAATTAAAAATAGTTGAATAGTTTTAGTTCAAGAGTTTTGTATTTCCGCAACTCAGATTTGAACATAGAGATTTTCTGACCGCGAGTCAAACATTCTTTCCACACCAGAGCCACTGGTGCCAGGATCAACGAACGAGAAGTCAGTCTCACTGGGCTCTCACACGTGGGTAGAATTTTCAACCCATCTGCGTTGACCGTCTGAGTCATGTTCTCTTTGTATATTTATATTTTTTGTCCCAAACGAAAACTAACAAATCAATACTCAGCGAGGCTTTACTGTGACTGGATAAACAAATGCCGTGATCATTGTTTATATATGCATGTATGTTGAACTTCTTTTGCACCATACACCGCCAACCATGACTAATCAGAGTGCGCGGGTGAAGGACAACGAACTGAACACAATGAGCAGTTCTAAATAAATTAGTTTATCAATCTATATTAGTGGTTCTTAACCTTATTGGAGGTACTGAACCCTACAAGCTTCATCAGTGCATTCACCAAAACCTTCGTAATTGGAACAATAAAATATGATTTCTTCAAAACATAGGTATATATTTTATTAGTCCACAAAATGAACCATGCATCAGTTGCACACAAAATCACTGTGTTCAAAGAACAAAACCAACAAAGCATGAATTTCACACAAAAACATAATTCAATGAATATTTACTGCAAATCAATGTGACTTTTGCTGTTGCCTTTCAGACACAAGTTCAGAAATGCGCGGCTTCACCTGGGCAAGTGCCACTCTCATATAATTTTCGCAACAAAGTCTGTTCCTTTTCTTAGTTTTTATGTCTACCATCCTCGAAAAAGATTGATCACAAAGATACGTTGTAACAAACGGTGTGAGTATCTCAAGGGCTTTCTTAGCAATAAAAGGGTATAGTACGGTTTGGTGACACCAAAACGTTGAGAGCGTTGTTGTTCTGAAGAGTTGCTGTTGAAGCTGGCTCTGCTGAAGTTCAATGATTTCCTCGAGGTATTCATCGTTGACATCTGCTGTCGCAACACTAAACGTGAACGGCTGTCTCACCCATGCTGGATATGACTCTCTGGTGGGCAAGTATCCGTCGAGAGACTTTGCGAGCTCATCTAAGTGCATGGCAATTGCTTGCTTCAGCTCCCCAGGTACAGAAATGTCTCCAATTCCAGACACGTCTTCGATCTTACTTACATAGTCGTCCAGCAGGGGAAAGTTTGCGAAGTTATCATTCTCTGTTCGTCGTTTCCATGAAGGTAGCTTTTTTTTAAACACCTTCAAGTTTTATTTCGCCTCGATGATGTTGACTCCATCGCCCTGCATCTGTCGATTGAGATGATTGAGAGCATCGAAAATATCGGCCATGTACGCCAACATGAGAATGAACTCAGAATTTTCGAAGCAATCTGCGTGACAATGTTGGTACTCTCGCAAAAACAGGGCTAATTCCACACGCATGGCAAAAACACGATTCAGCACCTTTCCCCGGGATAACCACCGAACGTTAGAATGCTACAGAAATACCTCGAATTCAGAGCCCATTTCCTTACACAGCTATTTGAATATGCGGTGCTTCATAGTACTATTTCGCACGTAGTTCACACATTCAATTACAATTTTTAATACTTCTGCCAGTTTTGGAGGCAAGGTTTTTGTTGCCAACGCATGCCTGTGCAGAACACAGTGCGTAACAATGATGTGTGGTGCATCGGATTTTACCAGCGCTCCAAAACCAGAGTGTCGTCCCAGCATGGCTGGAGCTCCGTCCGAATAAACTGCAGAAACCTTATTCCACGAAAGATCGTTGTCTCTGAAGAAGTCATCCACGAGCTTCTTCACATCGACTGCCTTGGTTGTTGTTGTAAGAGGCTTACAAAATAAAAATCTTCCTTTATCACGTCGTCTTTCATATAGCGCACGAATACAACAAGCTGGCTTCGATTGGAAACGTCGGTGGTCTTGTCGAGTTGGAGGCTGAATTTTGCTGGGCTTGAAATCAGATCTGCAACTACTTGAGCCAATATGTCATCACTCATGTCGTCTACTCTGCTGCTGATACTGTCATTTGAAAGAGGAATTTGGGATAACTTATCTTCAGCAGCTTTTCCCAGCATGATATTCGCCATCTTCAACGCAGCTGGTTTTACGAGTGTTTCACCAATGGTGTGTGGTTTGCCCTGCTTTGCGGTCAGGTACGCAACTTCGTACGATGTTGTGAGGATCCGTTTGTCGATGCGTACAAAGCCGAGAACAGGCAGAGTAGCCTTTTCATCGAATCTGGCTCTCTTCACCTTGAATTTAGCGAGCGTTGTGTTCTTGTATTTCCCATCTCCATGCAGCTTTAGGAAGTGTTCCTTTAGCTTTGCTAGACTAAAATTGCTCAACTTGGCATTGCAAATCATACATTGAGGACACTGACTCCCATCACGTTCCTTTATACACTTGACTCCATATTGTACTTATTCGTCCAACCACTTTCTTTTTTTGCTTGACATAGTTAGTATAAAGGGATTGAAAGATTAAAATAAATTCACAAATGACGTACAATCACAACAGCCACAAGTCGACTACTGAGCGCACCAAGTTCCTGATCACGCAATGTGGCGTGATCAGCTGCAGCCAATGATCGCCAAGTGGAGCGTGACGTCACGAATAATACAAGTGGGCTGAACTTATTTTGTGTAACACATTTTTACTAAGCAACTAAATATTTGTGATCTAACACGGCGAAGAAAAAATGTGTGTTGCCAATTTTTGTGACGGCCGACAAAAACGGCCCTGACATTGCTAGTGCGAACCGGGCTGCTATACTGTGTGTGTCTTGAACCCTGCCGAACCCCCGGAGAGTGACTCAACGAACCCCTGGGGTTCGATCGAACCCAGCTTAAGAACTACTGATCTAGATGATGATTTAAAAGTGCACAGCTCCAGTGGCTTCCTAACATTGGAAGGAAGAACGTTCCAGACGGCCGCAGAAGCGCATCGGAAAGCGCGCGATGCGGTGACCATCTTTGTTTGATGGCTGGACAAAAGCCGCCACCGCTGCTGCTGCTGTGAGGATGACCGGAGTTCTACATTATCTATGCACATCCATTTGGAGCGGTGGTGCAGTGGTTAGCATGCTACCAGCGACTCTGATGGCTGCCAAATGAGGACGATTGCCAATACGATCAGTGCCGGATTAAGCTCGTGCGGGGCCCGTAGCATATGCTGCTTTTGATACTCGGATAATCGGCCACTGACGACGATGCACGTGCAGACGAAGGGGGTGGATGCTCTCTCCTGACTTGCCCGTTGTTAGAAATGAGCTATGCCGGTCGCAAATTGCTCAGGTCGAGCACTGGCATCCCGCAGAGGCCGGCAAAAATAACGACGAAACTAAAATCGCGCACATGGAACCCGGGCGGTGGTGCCGATGAAAGAATCCAAGAAAACCATAAATACAATAATTGTATATAAAACAGTTTACCATGCTTCGTGCGTCTGTTTACACGGGCAAGCGTGCTTCAAAGTACTTCCAGCAACAATGAAAACAAATTTTGTCCGTAAAAAAAAAAACAATCTGTTCTTAACTCTAAAATATGTTCAAAGTAAGGTACCGTGGTTGTCTGCGCAAACATCAAGCCTGACGTTCTAAGAAAGCCTCAACAACCTTTGAGGTTGCTTATTTTAAATATCCGTTTGGTTATGAAAGCTCTTACCAGGACTGGTGGCACTTACGTCGCACACTGCTTCGACTGCTTCTTTTGGTAACTATTTGCTCTTCGGGGCATTTACTTTGGCATTAAATTAATCCATTGGCCAGCAAGCAATGGCCACAACAAAATGCATGTTTTTTTTTATAGCGTGCCCCCAATAGGACATTAAAGGGATCAGATGAAGGCTGGCTTGGACGCACTCCACTTGGAAACGGGGCAAGCAGACTCCTCTACCCCAGGCCACCTCAATAGCTCCTTGGGAACTCATAAAAACGTGTGCGATAATAATACAAATATAGCCTGCCAGTTTTTATCGTTATTATTATTTCGTCAATCCGAGTGCATTGCAATTACGCTTCTCGCTGGCTTACCACAGTCTTGTTCACCAAAAGTACATCGGCGAGGTCTTTACTTGCGTAAATAACTGACGGTAGCGTCCTTGTGGATGACAAGAGCCTTTCAGCATGAAGTTTGAGCGTCTTCCACATTCACGGACGCGCGCGGTGCAAGCGTGCTCCCCACGCGCGTCATTTGCGAGGATGTTCAACGCAGACCGACTGCCGGTGTCAGGGCCCTCTGCTACATGGACATTAGCTGACCCGTCCACCTCTAAGCCTTTATAAACAGCTTGCCCTCAGAGGCTAACCTTATCATCACTTTCCAAGTGATGATAAGCCACTTCGTCGTGCAATCGATTGTGGCAAAGGTCGCTTCTGAAAAAGAACCACGTAGCTCAGTGGGGCCTTAATACCCGGTTGCAATAAAGCAAAACACCGCAGTTAACAACAGTGCCAGTCCGGAGACGAGACTCCGGCAAAATCCACGCCCTCCCGTCGGGTTCCTCACCGTGACGTTGTCCTGAGACTTGCCGTCGGTCACCACCACCACGGTGCGCACCATCTTGTTGTCGGCGCGGGGGGACGCGGGGAACACGCTGCGCGTCACGAACTGAATTGCGCGGCCCGTCTTGGTGTTGCCTCCCAGGTAGGAGATCTGCCCCAGCGCGGCCATGAGCTGCTCGTTGGAGGTCTGCGCGCCCAGCGGGATCTCCAGCTGCGGCCAGTCGCTGTACTGGATCACGCCGACCTGCTCGCGCCGTCGTGCGGCCACGACAACGACGAAGGGCACGTGTGGCCGCGACGCTCGGCCGAAGCGCGGGACAAACACCGTAGAGGAGGAGGAGCAGGAGGAGCAGGAGAAAAAAGCCTACGCGCCCCGTGCGAGGATTGCGCAAGGCGCTTTCTGGCTTGCGTTTACACATCGGAAGCGTTGCATTTAGCGACAGGAACGCGACGGCGTGGAAGGGGGTAGTGCCAAATGCCCTCTTGAGCGCCCTGTAGTGGAGCCGCCTTCCGTCCGCCAGCCGGCGGTGTGCTGGCGGGCAGCTGACAGGGCTGCGCCTTTTTGCCCGCACCTTCGTTGCGGTAAACGTCGCAATTTCGAGGCACGCGGCGCGTTGACGCCGCGGGACGACGTTGCGCAAGACGAGGTCGTCGGGAGTGGAGCGGGAGGCGCCGTTGCCTGCCTCGGGCGGTGAAGGCTGAAAAGTTCGATAGGTCGAAGACCTTTTTGCTGCTGATTTTCTTTTTATCCAAAGGTTTGGGCAAACCCACCTTCGTTCAAGTCAGCCAGTTATCGATAGGGTTGAGTCTCCAATAAGCAACACGGGTTTATGTGAACGTTTGATTAATGTTTTAGCCACTGTCGCCAGATTCATATTGCAATGCGCAAACCACTGCACCACCGCTGCACCCCCAACGACATATATAATAATAACAATGAATGTGTTCTGAATGATACCTCTTGTTTATCCACGAATGCCTCGCCGGGTCTCATGACTGTTTCATGAGGGTCATGCCACATTGGGATGTTTGGGCAACACCACGAATGAGAGTTTGGCTTCACCAGGAAGGAAAGCACAGAAAACCCGGCAAGCGCACGCACGGGGCAACATTTAAAGCTCTGCACAGAAAACATTCAAGAATCTGCTGCTGCACTGTCAATATCCTGGACCCCCCTCGAGATCCCGTAAAACAGTACTTGACATCTACCGGGGTAAATATATTTACGTTTCTGTAATATATATAAAAAAAAACTTTGGCCACGCCCGACTGCCTTTGTCTTCCCAGATAACACAATGCGACGAGAATGAGACCGGCCGCTCACACCTGTGTGTACTGCAGGCCGATGTCGAAGCTACTGGAGATGTTCACGAGCCACCTCTTCACCGTCTCGAAGTTCTGTGGCTCCACGCTCCACGACCCGTCGAGGACGAACACCATCTCGTTGGCGGCCGTGCGGCAGCCTGCGGGGTGGGGCACGGCGCGTGGGAACTTCATGGCTCGAAGCGAGAACTTTGCTAGAGGCTAAACAGCAGCGGCGGCGATGGAATTGCGTGCGAGAGTGTCGCTCGCAAGGTCACCGGAGCGGCGGGGCCACTGGCAAAATAAAATTAAAACGAAAAGGAGAGCGGCGTGAAGCGAAAAGCAATCGGATCAAAAGAAAACAACTATCGCGTTATGGGAGAAACATAATAATCGTCATGATGACTCCTATGGAATTGTGGGGGGTGAAAGTTAGCAGAATCTTGCTCCTCAGCAATATTCGCTGATGGCCAGGGTACTGAATCTCACTCGCAAAGAGTAAACCCCCCCTCCCCACGCCCTCCCAAAGGGGTCACAAAAACGGCGGAAGGCAAATTAAAATAAATACAAGTAAAACAATGAAGTGAAAAGAAAGAATCACTTTATCGAATAAATTGAAACGGAAATACTCCGATGGAATTCTGGAGGAAAAGTTACCAAAATCTGTTTCCTGCCACAGATATTCACTGAGGACCCCCGAGGGAGCCCCCAAGTGACCAAAGCTGACAAGGCGAGCGTGCTCGAGTCTGCGCTACTCACACACTCAGAATCAACATCACACGTGTTGAGCATTTGGCTGTTCTACATGTCCCACGTGATGATAAGCCACTTCGTTGAGCTATCATTTGTGAATAAGAGCTGTAACAGCTTAGTGGGGCCTTACCAGGTTTAAAAAAAAAAACTAAAAAAAGTGGTCGTACTTTTTTTTTTAGATAATAACAGGTCACACCTGCCAGCACGTCTCGCTCAAGTGTGGCTCTCGTTCCCCTGCTCTACCCACCGTTTTTTTAATATCTGGCACGCCAGCCTTCGGCAGTGTGCCAGCGCTAGTACCGCAGAGGGGGACCGAGGGACGCTGTCCTTTCGTTGAGGTGTCTTGGGAGGAATTGAACGCACGCAGACTTGGTTTACTCTCCCAAGGAAGACGTGCGATGCGGGCAGGAAGGGGACGGTGGTGATGGGGAGGGTGGTGTCGGGAGACCGCCTTTATTTTTCTCGAGGCCCCCCCCGCACCCCCCCCCCAAAAAAAAGAAATGAGCGCGGTTGGCGACGTTCAGTGCGAAAGAAGTTCAGCGTGCATACGCACCACACGAAAAGGGAATGGTTTAAGGCGCGTTGGGCGACGACGTTTTCCCGTGCGAGACCGAGCGCCCAACAGCGCAAATCAACGTTGGGCGACAACGAGCAATGCAATGCGCAGCACACACGCAACAATACATCGTACACACAGATTGTACACGGCACGCGGAGTACACACACAACGCGTGCAGCACACACCGCACACAATGCACGCACGCGGCACACATAATTCACACACGACGCACACGCATTGTGCACAGCACTTGCACAATGCACGCACACGGCATGCAAGGCACGCACCTGCCCTGTAATCAAGCTCTTGCTGGGCCTCTCCCATGGCGGCGAGGAGGACGAGGAGCTTCAGTAATACAACCATGGTCTCGTTTCTGCTCGTGACCCTGCACACGTTCACGAGCTCCGCATGATCCTCCAGGCCGAGGTCTGGAAAATCGACGTACATTTCACGGCACTCAATCGCCTCCACACGATATATATGTGTGTAGGCAGCAATGTTAATCTTGCACAATTACAGCCACTGTTGTCAATCCACTGCTGTATGAGGGCCTCCACGTGGCGAGCGGGACCACGGGTGTTACTTGACCATCCTTCACCACGCTGGTCAGCACGTGTTGACGTAGGCAGGGGAGCATAGACGTTGGGGCGTAGTAGAGTACAACATTCGCGTTTTCTGCACTTGCCCTCTGATGCCGACAACACAGCCCGACAGCCTATAAACGACCTGCTGTGCATGGTGGTTGCACATCCAAGCACCGTTCAGGTTAAAACATTTCTGAGCTTTCCAGATCTGATGAAAGTCAAGCACCACATTCTGGGTGGCGCGGTCACAAACTATAACCCCCAGAATCCACTACCGGAGAGCGGAGAGCACAGTGGGAGAGTTGAGAGAGGTGACAATGGAGAGAGGTTGGTGAATTAGGTGAGAGTGGGTGGGGTGAGTCAGGTGTGTGAGGGCAAGTTGAGATAATTGAGAGATGGTGGTGAGTTTGGTGAGAGAGGGTGGTAGACTTGGGTGGGAGAGAGCAGTGGGTGAGGGTGGGGGGGGGGGGGGGTGGTGAGCGGCCGATATCAGTGACGAGCATATTAACCGGTTGTGGGTCTCCCCTAGGTCTACTCAGCCTCAAATGAGTACCTAGTGCTGTGTGTAAACATCGTCACTCGGGAGACAAAGGTGGCCGGGCGTGGTGCTGACCACCCACCGCCTCGTATGCCGTGCCGGCCTTAATAGGTGCTCGCTAACGCCACTTGCCCTAAGAGTTTGTTGAGGCTATACGGGAGATATGTATAGTGAGCGAGGGCAGGAACCTTAGAACCACCCTGTGTGGTCACCAGGCTAAGGGCCTCCTCAACATCCAACGGGGACTCTGTGCAGGTGTAGGGAGACACAACACAATAATAATCTGGCTTTGAATTCGAATTCCAACCCAAATGTGCCAAAGTGGTCATTCAGTTGCATAGGAGAAACCTATATATGCACATTCGTGACGTGTTGCAAGGCGGTGTTAATCCAGAATACCAACAGGATTCACGCTTACAAACAAAAAAACACGGAAAGTGATGGATCACAAACCTGACACTCAACACGAAAACGTAAGCTAATGCTGACATTTTTTATTTGCATCTTTATTTTCATCTAACCCCTGTATAACTCATGACCGTGGCATTCATGAAACAAATAAATATATTTTATTCATATGTTCTGAAAGAAGAGGCATCTGCGACTCACTACCAACCCGCAGATGTGGCAGGAGAGTTGTTTAGTTCCATCAAAGGGATGCCGGGGGAGAGCTGTAGTTTCTGATTTATGCCGCTTTCCCCAGGCAGATGCCAAGACGACGCTTGCCACAACGCTTCAGCTGCCTCTTAACCTCCCTCCTGAGCTTGACACGCGAAACCCAAATCATTCTGACACAACCATCTCGGCTCACAATCCCATCGAGATGTCCTGGACTGCAAATATTTTCGAATCCCCCCAATCTCTCCCCCATGCCCCCTCCCCCATACCCCCCCCCCCCCCCCGCCTCGATAAACGAAAGGGACGTAATTGTAGATTGCAGCTTTTACTGAAATCTCGGAACCCCTGAAAAAAGACAGCTTTCCCTGACGCGTGTTCAACTATGCAAGTTTGCCAATTTGGCAACATCTGGGTGCCAGTACCGCCGGCACACATTGGCCCACTCCTGCGAAAGACATCAGGGGGTGTTTTGACGTCCCACTGCAGCTAAGCAGAGCGGGCGCCATGTAGCATCGTGGCGGTAATTAGACCCCACAGGAGTCATCATCAGGGCGGCCGCTGGACACGAACGCACAACCTCTGCCACAATAAGCGGCTTGCGCGCCTACCGCAGAGGCCAGGCCTCGGTTGAAAACGCATTTCTTTAAAACTGCTTCTTGCTGTGTTTAGCTTGTTGTCCTTCCCTGGGCACCTCCGATTAGCACGGATGGCTACGCACGGTGCGAAAGACGTTCAACGCACACGTACATACAGGCGGGCAAACCGCCCTCCAAAGAGATTCACCAATTCAAGAAAAGCAGCCGTGGCCGTTGGGATGGCTGCATTGAGGCGGTCTTGCTTCTTGGCCAGCACCAGAGAAGCCAAGGCAGCGGCCAGCTGCCCCCCCTACCCCGCCCCACCACATCATCGGTCGGCGACGATTTTGCGAAACAGGCAATCAATCCTCCGTCCGTTGGCGCGCGTAGACACGGGCATGGTAAAAAAAAGGACTCGCTGAAAAAAAACCGCAACATGACGTGCGTGTTCGCAACAAAAATAAATAGCGATGAACAAAAAAAAATCCACGCACCGGACCTGTGCGTCGCACTTCCTTGACACTGCCCCCGCCGTGTAGGTCAGACCTGATCAGAGAGACAGAGAGAGACACGGAGATAGAAGAGCAAAGAGTGGTGATGATGAGTTTGTTGGTGTCAAATAAACAAAGGTGGGGAGTGGGGGGTGGATAATGACGTCTAATCACACGGAGAGAATCAGCCTCGTGAATGTTTTAAGGGTGTCGGCAAAGCTGCTACTCCGGAGCCGCGTGCGGACACTTCAAGGACTGCCGCTTCCTGGCGTTGCGCATTAAAGACCACCGGACCTCGTATCCCGCACACGTTGCATCGCGGCTCGTGAAATATTTGAGTTTTTTTTCTTTCACCGAATTCGAAAGGGCTCTCCTTGTTATCTCGGTTGTCGACCTCTGGTTTTAAGGCCAGACCAGGACGAGTTTGGGACACCACTGCCAGCAACAGTTGGCATAACCCACAATCCGAACACACTCGCCGCATTCATCACGAACGAGACGGTCGGGTCAGCGTAGAAGAGTAGGCCAAAATAGGCCCAAATAACCCGCCAGAGGTGCTCTCTCTGGAGCTCCCCTCTGGTCCAGTGGAAGCCCTGCGCGAGTCCGCGGCGATGAACTTCCAAACCATGGACCAAGTAACGTTGCACCGCCCCAAGTATAGAACGCATGAGGGCGGGTGAAGTGGTTGGGTGAGTGGGCGTGAGTGGGGAAGGTGACCGGGTGGGAGGATGTTAAAGGCTACATGGGTGGTCTTTGTTTTTGTATCTGCAATCCACCGATTCGTAAAGCAGTCATACGGGCTGACTCGCGTGTAAAACTCTGAAGAGTTGCCCTGCAATAGGCCATGCAACAGATTGATTGATTGATTGAATAGGCCATGGAACAATTGGTGGCTTGAATAACACTCACCAATAGCACTGGCCTTATGACTGAACGGGGCAGGGACTGGTGGTGCAGTGATTAGCAGACGTGCTATAAAAGCCAAGTACACCGGAGTTCGATTTCCGTCCCAGGCTAATATCAGCAACGAGTGATATCCGAACGAGTCCTGGGAAATCACCTCTCCCTTTCAACAAGCGTGGGGAAGTATGACCATATTCCTGTATGTATGTCGAACTTCTTTTGCACCGTACGTAGCCAACCGTGCTAATCGGAGGTTCGAGCGAATGACAATAAACTAAAAAAAAAACAGTTCGGAAGAAATTAGTTTATAATCTAGATGATTTAAAAGTGCATGGCTCCAGTGGCTTCCTAATATCGGAAGGAAGAGCGTTCCAGACGGCCGCAGAAGCGCATCTGAAAGCGCGCGATGCGGTGACGTTCGATGGCTAGCAGCCAAAAGCCGCTGCGAGGGCCTTCAGTGGATTGACAATTAAATAATTGCCCATTCCCTGTCGACAAATGCACTCCCTGGGAAATTCACTGCGAAACACGCTGATGGATCGTAAAGTATCGCGTGTAGGCACAGCATTGTAATGCCGCAATAATGCAAATCCAGCTCGCCCTTATAAACTATGCAATTAGAAGACGTTTCGCAGCGCCGATTATTATTAGCACGGTTGGCTCCGTACGGCGCGAAAGCAGTTCGACATACACTATACGCAGAGTCGCTCAGATATAGGTTAGAGGCAATCTGGAAACCCTATCCTCTCTGTCGAGAGAGAGGTGGAAAAACCCCATGGCGTGAACGAGGGCGTAGCAGCCGCGTCAACACCCGATCGGAGGATGCGATCAATTACTCAATCTGGATAAGTCAACTTTGCAAAGGAAGGAACCTGTACTCATCTCCAGCGGAGCATGACCGGTAGAGATACAAGATGATCAAACACAGAGAGAGAGGGCTGAGCGTGTTATATGAATGCAAAGGGAAGGGACACGCTATGGCTCCCCCTCCTCCTCCGATGGAATGCAACGCAAAAGGGAAGGGCGCTATAAATGCTGCTGCTGCTGTGGAGTTATGCTCGCATTGTGTGAATTCAATGGACAAAAAGGACGAAGGCGTGTACACATTCAGGCTGTATAGAGTTACAGGGCAGACACAGTGGCTGCAGAGCACTTGGGGGGGGGGGGGGACGTGGGGGGTGGAGGAAAGAAAGTTAATCAAACTTTGCAAGCGACCTTCATTCGACCAATCATGCCATCGTCCATTTGTTGGCGTTATGCGATAATCGAAATGTCACAGTGCAGAAGACAGCCCTGTTTGTCTTATCCGCTGCTGGATTAGGGATTCCAAGACGGTCACGTCTTGCGGCGGGAGTTCGCTCGACCGGACATCGCCACGCTTTGAGTTATGGTGCTGGGGTTGAAAGGAAGCCCACTCTGAACCGGTTTGCATTTTCACTCGCCACTGACGTTAGCCGTGGCTGGGTATCAAGACCGTTGGACACGCCCCGGTTCGGAGTGCAGCGAGCTCCCTAACTGGCCGGCGTGGTGCGGAGCAGCAGCAACACCCCAACGCGGCCACCCCAACCCCAGAACACAGACCACCGTTGTGCAGTCGATTTATAAAGCGGTGTGTGCGTTATTATTGCATGTACATTTCTTGGCGCTTTCCCCCCCTCCCCCCCCCCAAAGAAAAAGTCTATATAAACTCCTACTATTATACATGCATAACCGACAGTGGAAGTAATTTCCTGTTAAAATGAGGCATTTGGGATCATATCCCGTTTACAGCTCTGGGCCAGTTGTGGACTTTCTACATTCCTATGGTGGGGGTGGCGACCGTCTCCGCTGTTGAGTGGTGGTGTTCATTTGATCGATCCCAGAGGAATGATGGGCTGAGACAATCCCCTTCAATCAACATGTGCAACCGTCCGATTGTACTCGTGTACGTTTAACTTCTTTCGCACCGCACGCAGCCAACCGTGCGAATCGGAGGTGCGCGGGTAAAGGACAACAATGTAAACACAACAAGAGCGAAGAAGCAGTTCTAAAGAAATGAGTTTTCAATCGAGATTTAAAAATGCAGGGTGGCGTCGTCACGTCGGAAGGGCGTTCCAGATACGCATAGCCCACGACTGGCGAAATGTCGTACTCGAATTGTAAATGTCGTGGGTTTACTCTCCCAACACACCGCTGTTGCTGAACTAGTAACGAATCGGCGCGTCTTGTTTACGTGACAAACCTTACTAATTTGGCCGTGTCGGGTGGTGGTGGGTTTAACGACACACGTTTACATTTACGAGATTTAACCCAAAACCAATCCACCCCCCCGCAATTACGAACCCGTGTCTGTATAGAGTGTTCCGCCAAATGAACACAGACGCGCGCTCGAACACAAGCCAAGTGAGAGCGAGACCAAAAAATGTTAAGAAACAAGAGACAATAAAGACCCCCCCCCCTACCCCTACGCCGACCCCCCACCAAAAAAAACCCCGGCCCTCCAGATGTCTTTTTTAACAAATGGGGAAAAAAGTTGGTCTTGGCAGAAACTCTGGCTGTATTTTTAAAAGAACGCTTTTAAAGTGAAAGCTTCATAAATCCAGACCGCCCCTACAGACTCGTCATGCTACACAACATCTCGGGTGACCAATGCATACCAATTACTTGAATAAATGACAACTTTTTATTTTGTACTACCACCAGAATGACGTGCGCATTTAAAATATATAAAATATGTTCTGTTACTAAAGCCGTGTGGAGTTACAGTTTAATACTTGGTTATATAACTTCTAGGGAACGTATTTATATTTTTGTCAAATATTATTTTTGCTTACCTGGATTAGTAACGCTAAATAAAAATTCAGGGAAAGGGATTATCCGGAGGAAATGCTATCGTAAGAATCTCGACTGTCGGATTTTGTTAAAACAAAGCTGCAGCAACATAAACTTAACTCTCTGCATACTTTTGTGGAGCTTTGTAATTTTGATTGGATTAATGATTAAGAATCAATGCTTCACAACTATTAATCATTCATTTAACGAGATTTAATTTTTTTAAACCAACCCCCAAACACGTGCCAAAAGACAAAAAAAGCCTTTTCTGTAAAATCGAGTTCACTCCTTTCTCACAAAGTTGCATGCCAAGTTGTGACTTGCAGACCACTACGAAGCATCTTAACTTTTCTCAAGTTATAATCGTCGAAAACAGTAATGCGACCGCAAAGAGTAACTTAAATACTAAAGCGTGTGAGCAAAATAAACGTGAATGCGCCTGACACTGCTGCATTTCCTAAGAGTTTTGGACAAACCTCTGTTTAAAAAAAAATCCCTTCCGCACAGAATCCTGGAAGAAATGTATCACGCTTAAGAGACACAAGACTTTTGCAAACTTCAATATATTAAGAGCGTACAACCGCTTCACTTGAAAAAAAAATACATTTCATTAGACGCGGTCATTTCGATTTCCTAACAAAGGCAAATCCTCGTCTCTTGCATTGTCCTCGTGGTGCATCGTTGAACAACCGCGAGCCGTACCCGTGCGTGCGAGCGAGGTCCTTCTCTGCCCACGTGGAGTCGAGGGCATCAGCCGCTGCCGCCGCCGCTGCTGCAACGTGAAGTTCAGCTGCACGTGAAGTAGCAGTGCTACGGTCTTCTGTGCCACTTCACCTGCCCCATGTCACACCCCCACCCCCTCCCTCGCAGCTCACTCAAGCGGAGCAGCAGCAACACCCCAAAGTAGCCACCCCAACCCCAGAACACAGACCCAACCCCAACCTCCTCCTCCTTCCAACCGGCATTCGCCACCCGTCTACACCTCCCCAGTGCAACACCACGCACACTTACTCTGTTAATGCAATGGTAATAATAATACAAATCCAATGAACAAGCTTCCAACAATTCAGTCTCCTCCTCCTTCAACACCGCCACCTCGAGGCGCACGGATAACTTGTTGGAGTTAAGCGCCCTCTGCTGCTGGCAGGAGTGCTTGGGTTGTTGTTGGAACGTGGGAGAGGGAGTGGTGGTGGCGGGAGGTCTCGCCTAGAAGGGCTGAGAAGGGACCCCCAGCCGTCATCAGTGGAGATTGGCTATGGCGTGTGCAGGCTGTGCAACTGCACCCAGAGCGTGCGGTGCTGGAGTGGCCCAGGATGAATAGTGGAGAAATTCCACGCACCAGGGCCCACTGTCAATCATGCTTACACCGATCGTCGTGCACCAATGTTATTTGCGCGGTTGTATCTCCGTGAACGGGTGCTGTGTACAGAGGGACTCCTTGCATCCGGACATTTGGCAGTTAACCAGCATTGGCGGGAGTAGAGCCGAACTGCTGATGAGACAGTGGAGATCACAACCAATGCTGCCGATATTATGCCACTCCCAAAGGCCATGTGACTGACAAGACGTGTAATAAAAATCTAATTTGTTCTTGACATGAAGGGACAGATATTGGAAACAAATTATATTGCCCGGTCGTTTTTTTGTTGTTGCTTATATTTCCCACGATGTAGGCAATTATTATTTTGCAGAGTGAACCGGGTCTGTCAGCGTATGCGTGTCTGGTCCTGTGTGCCAGCTTTATTTGTCTGCTCCTGCAGACAATTCAAATAAAATATCGTAATTAATTGCATATAGCGTCGTCTTTCATGCAAATTGCATCGCACAATCACTGCAAAACCACAGACCAAGATTGGGGGAGGCCAGACGGTGAGCCGGTGCCAACTATTTGTCTGACATTCTCTATATACTAAGATGTTTTCGGCCGATTAGTGACGGTTTATACACGCGCGAGGGTGCAACGCTCTATCACATACAGCAGGGACAGATGGCACGAGCCCATACTTTGCTGTACTGCATTCCGCTGGCGAGCCAGGATATGAGGCCTCCTCGTCGATGTTCACGGGAAAGGGGAGTCACACTTTTGTCCCACTCCGCCAATCCTCGCCGCTGCCTCCGCAATGCCGCTGGATTCCACAGAGGCCACCTTGCACAGCCACCGCCGCCCATCACAAAATAGCACCTGTTGACAAAACGCAGTCCTGCTGGGATATCCCTCGCAAATTTAAGATGACCGACGCCCAGGGTGTGCAAACATATACCACCTCTTGAAAATAACAGGGAAATATTCCGGGGGCGGGGGTATAAACCTCGTCGTTTGTTTTCTGACGCCGTTTGTTGCAAGCGCTCGCCCGCGTTACAACGCCATCGGTTGAGATTGGACCAGATGCCTCGGAAGGTCTCCGCGTAACGCTTTGATTTCCGCAAGGCTCCCACCGCCGCTTGACCAAACGACTAAGTGTTCACCCTCCCGATCGGCCGACTCCGAAGGCCAGGCGTGCGTTGGAACACCCACACAACCGTTGAACGGAACAGGACAGCGACGTCTTTTCTTTTTTGCGGTCGGGCTGGGTCGACCAGGAGACCTGCGAGGAACGAAAAGCGTAACCGTTTGCGGGCAAATGCGTTAAAGTTTAAGAGACTTCAAAACAATACGAACTCTCTTGAAAGCGTCCAAGCGCTGCAATTTAAGTCGACGACGAGTCGATCAAAACCGTTGTTCCACCGGAATACTTTTTTTTACGTGAGAGAACTGACCCTGCGATTGCTGGAACGGACTTATTTTTTTTGAAGTCTAAAAGTTACAGTGCATTCGAATTTTTTTTCTTTAAAAGCCGACAAGCCAGTCCGTTAAGGGAGTCCACATTTTTTGGTTAGGGGATTTGTGACCGTTACAAACAAAAATGCGCACGCTGCAGCGTGCAACGCAACCCGCTCGCACACACGGGATGCACGTGTTCTACAATGCACGGCCGATAATCTGGCTGGCATACAACCAAAAAAGAGCCGGCAACTTTGTCAAAGCGTTTGATGCTACATCATGCTCCATAAAAAATGACACATCTGGGCATTGGTGTTGGTAAGCTGCGCGGTGAGTTTTGCAGGAATCGGTTAAGGTGGTGGGGGTTGTTTTGAAAACATAAAGTGGTCTTGTGTGAGAGACACACAGAGAGAATGATGAGCGGACACATTGATGGACGGACACTGCTTCCCAGGCAGTGAAACGAAAATATCTTATTCCGTTCAAACTACCCCCCCCCCCTTTAAAGGAAAAAAAAAACCCTACAATCTACCACATTTGTCAATAAAGCAAAACAATCGGTCTTCGTGGGTCTAAAATTGGGCTGGGACGGGTTCTCACGGATATTTGTCAAGCGGATGCACACTTCGGCCAATTTTTTTGAAGGACACCAAATTTCCCGAAACGCTTCGCTAACGATTTTCCGATATAAACTTTTTTTTGGTTCGGCTGTTCGGGCTGCGCAAAAATAAGGTAGTCATGCGTTTTTTGTGCCCAACGCATCGGTTGCAAGCCGATGCTATTTTGCGTGCACAGTACGCGTAAAGAGAATACAAAAGTTTGGCCAATCGCTGTGAGATTACAAAACGCATGTGCGCAGACTGGCAGCTATATCTTTTTTTTTACAACGTGGCCATCCCTGTAGATGATGTAGCCTCATCATCATTTTGAATATATTAAGTTGTTGCTTGAACATATGCCACTTGCGGATTAGTGTGTTATTTTGGAATGAAAATTTTCTTTAAAAAATATTACGTTGCTATATATCGCCATATATATATAAACGGCAAAGTTGTGATTATGTGTGTATGTTCAAAATGTTTAGCGTACTTCCCGACATGCAACAAACTTGAAATTTGCCATGTGGGTACTTTCCAGACTGTACACCATGCAAAAATTATAAAAAGACGCTTTTTTTTTTGGGGGGGGGGGGGGGAGCTCAATAATGCATTGATTTTTTGCACGGCAAGTGAGCTGTGACGTCAAATCTGTCACGTGACCCGCGCATTCGGAAGCGTAACGCATTGTAGTGCAGTGGTTAGCGCGCTGTGCTGCGAACCCGGCGAGCCGAGTTCGATTCCCGCTCACGGCCACCACCGGTGACGATTATTTTGACCCGTCCTGGGCCTCCCCTAGGTCGACTCAGCCTCAAACGAGTAACTGGTGTGGTGTGTTAACATCGCCGTTGGGGAGGCAAAGGCGGCCGGGCGTGCTGAATCCAAGTCCCGGGCGAAGCCGGGTAGTAAAAGCCCAGTAATAATATATTTGACGAAATGTGTAAAGGAGCAGTCCTGCAATTGCCTGCTCACGCCGCTGCTGGTGGAAGAAACTCCACAAACAGAGCACTCAAGAGAGGGCCCCCTTCTAGAGGGTACCTGGCCTACTCTTCTATGCTGGTCAGACCATCGTGGAAGGTGGGAGCACCCACACTCTATCCCACCACATCTGACCTACCAGTCAACTTAAGAAGCACCCATTTATATTTCTGGCTGGGCAGAGGTGGCGGTGAGGATTTTGCAATCTTGCTCCGTTGTTTCAATCGCCGCGCAAGGGGAGATGTGCTCGAACCGGCAAGTCCGGGAGCCCTGCTGACCGCTACACCACTGCCGACAGCGTACGATTACGGTTACTTTGAATTAGCGCACTGTTTAAAATAATAAAAAAACCGACACGTGCCAATGCACGTACGCGAGAGCGAGCGCGGAGTGGACTGGCTTCCAACTCCGTAAGACGAGACGCGTGTTCCATCGCAGGTGACGTGCCTGGAAAAATGCCAACTAAACTAAACAATGTTTTATTTTTATTTTACCAGATTAAGGGCCACTGAGCTATATAGCTCTTTTTCAGAAACAACCTGGCCACAAGTGATAGCCCAACGAAGTGGCTTATCACGTGGAAATTTATTGCAGCCAAATACTTAAAATGCGTGATGTTGATTCTAAGTGTGGAGGGAAAAAACCGGTGGACCCGGATAAAAATCCACGCGACCACGGGGAGAGAGACACGCAAACTCCAAATATACAGGCGTCAGGGTCGGAAACGAACCCACGACCTCCTTCATTGCACGCGAGGTAGTTAACATCTCGCCACCGCGGGACCCTAATTGTTTAACGAAGCCCTTACATGGAGCGCGTGCCAAGCGCGACCTTTCCAGACGTGCACCGCAATTAGGGGTGCCCCCCCCACCTCTCCACCCCCCCACCCTTCCACCCACTACCAACATCATTCCCCGCGTTCGAAACGTCAACACGCAAATCACAGACGGGCCCCCAATGGGTGCCACGTGTCCGTCGTGGGTGTTCGGCGATCGCGTTTCTTCTCCAGCGCTCGTTCTGACGTGGGGGTTTTTTTTGGGAGGGGGGGGGGGGGAGAGCGAAAATTCGTGACGGCAAGGGGGTCATCTTCCCTGAATCCGCGTGGCGTGGCCAAATACTGCCAGGCTCTTCGCAGGTGAAGAGGTGGAGGGAGCGATCAGATTCCGTGTTCCACATTTTGAGGCGCACCAGATTTGTCTGCAGCTTCGTGTTAGTTCATGCCATCAAAACCACACACACACATACACAAAGATGACCCCCCGTGTAGCCTTAACATACTTTTGGGACAAGTGCTGTTAGCGAGCACCTATGAAGGCCGGCACGGCACACGAGTGGGGTGGGTGGCCAGCACCACGCCTGTCCGCCTTTGTCTCTCCAGCACCGATGTTTTTACACACCGCACTAGGTTCTTATTTGAGGCTGAGTCAACCCAGGGGAGGCCCACGACCAGTTCAGATAATCGTCGCTGGGTGTTGGCCATGAGCGGGAATCGAACTCGGGTGAAGAGTTTCGTAAAAGTGGGCTTAACCGCTACACTACCACTCCCCCTCCCACCACCACCACCACCACAATCAAACCACAAAAAACACACACGCTGTGACAGGGGGAGTACGATGAGCTTCCACAAGTTAGTCGATGGGCCAGGATGAAATGTACGCCGCCACCTCGTGGTGTACCAAAAACCCGTCTGTGGCCCATGGACTAATTAAATGCCTCGTGCCCGCCCGCCCGAACCTAAAACGAAGACGAGGGCGACGTGTCCGTTGGGGTTCAGTTTACGATTTTGACAAACACCGACAACCACCTGCAGTGTGCCACCCCCGCGTAAACGTAAGCTGGCCGTGCTTTATTTACCCAGATATTCTCATCAACGCCACGTCATGGGGTTTCAAGGTCCATGTGTAACCAACTGCACTGCACATGCGGTTATATTTGGACGTACGTAAAAAAAAAGAAAACGAATAAAGGAACACGTGAATCACGGAGTCAACACAGATGAGACCCAAAATATTGACCGTTAAGAAAGGTCAAGAGAATGCCCACTAAACATTTATTTTTTATTTTACCAGGTAAAGCCCACTGAGCTATACAGAGGCAACGTCAGTGGCACGTAATGGCCCACCTTGTCCTGGGATTCCCTCTAGGTCAGCTCAGCCTTAAAAAAATAGCAATTGGCATGTTCCTGAGCTGTGTAAACGTCAGCACTGGTGAAACAAAGGCAGCTGGGTAAAGTCCTGGCTTACAGCACCCCCCACCCCCACTGCCTCGTCATCACCGGCCTTAATAGGTGCTCACGAACAAGACGTGATCCAACAACAGCGTTAATGATGCACGAAAGTTACCCTGCGCAGGCTTCTCTGTAAGACAGCGGAGTCTATTCAGAAACACAACACTGTGCCAATTCCATCCTCTTTATTGCGTGTTTAAATATATAAAAAACATCATTGGTAAGTTGGTGGATTAGTTGTTACTGCATATCGCCAAACTTGATGCGCCGTGTAATATTTGTGCCTTGTGCACAAATATTACACAGTTGACCTACTGGGGCAATCACATTCACTGGCTTGCTCGATATTCATACGGCCGTAAAGAGGTTGGAGGTTGACACTGCCGCAGCAATCGTAACGCGAAGTTCAGTTACCAAGCTGGTAACGAAGATGCGAGTTTCACTTGGAGTGCGTGCGTCAAATTTTACAATCACCGCGGCCCATACTTCCACTTGCAGTGGAGCAGTGGAAACCGAGGGTACCGGCGGATTGGATTGGATGGATGGATGCAAGAGCCCACGTGGTCAGCGATCGCGCCGGTAGCGCGGCAAGAGACGGGCGCAAAAAAATAATAAACGGCCGATGGGCAACCCCGCCACCGCGGCACCCACGGCAGCCAAACGGCGATCGTAAGTCAAGGGTAGGAGATATCCCCGCGCCAAGCGATGGTGGGCACCGAGAGAGAATCACGTGAATTCCGTGGATAACAATGCGTTCCGTTATGATGGCAACCAAATAGCGCGCACGGGTAAGAGCAACGCAGCAGAGCGACGGCGCTTTGCGCGCTCGGCGTGACTTGTGCCAAGCGTTCCGTCGGCGCGGGGTGTCGAAAAAAAGACCGTTTGCGCCAATTCCTTGGTAGTTTCTGGCCTTTATTTGAGGAACGCCGTGCAGAGTGCAGAGACCCGAAAAGGAAGATGATTTTGACTGTAATGCACTTTTTGCCACAGTATATTTACATCGATTGTTGTGTTCACTACGGGCGCGGGGGGGAATTCGTTGAATTAACAACCCCCCAAAAAGTCGTCTTCATCTCGACACCGAAACCAAAAACCCGAGCCCTCAAGGGTAAATCTTCCAGCTCGACACGTTGTTTGGTGAACGCACGTTTAACAATTTGATGATGTAATGACATGCTCTTTTTGTAAAAAACAAATGTACAGATGTTTTATTTTTTTTGCACTCAAGTTTTTTCCCCAGGTGGTTTAAAAATAATAATAAGCGTCGTATAAACATTTTATAGTCACCATTGTACACTATCTGAATTAAAAAAAAAAATTCTGGACACCATCACTCTGCCGTTCTTTGCACAGTGAATCCACCGGGTTATTCACAGCGAGGACAAGCAAATATAATAATAATAAAAATACGACTTTTAAAGTGACCAAAATCAAAGAAGCAAAATAAAAAAAACTGGCGATTTGCTCAGACCGTTCACAGGCCATCTGGGAAGTCCCAAGGCACATAAAGGGAAGTATGGACTGCACTTGTATGAACACTGGGCACGACATATTTTATAATAGATTAGCACCACGTGAAGGAACATTTGCTTTAAAAAAAAAGGTGTGCATTCCGATCAACCCAACTCACTGCTCCGGCGGAATGTTTACTTTTCATTTATTATTTTTTTTTACACCGAAAATAATTAAGAAAATAAACTGCGGAGGCGCCAGATCAACTCCTCGACAAGATGGGCCACAGCGCAACATCGCACCGCCCTCGCGATTTGTACCCACTGTTGCCGACGAGCATGTCGATCGACGCGTTCTCTTAAAACATTTTTCTTTTTAAGTTTGACCGTTAAGGAGGCGATCGCCAACGACACATGAATCAGGCGCACGCCAGGCTTCCCAATGCGTGCGCTCACACACGGTAACATTAAAGCAAGGGCGCACGCGCTTTTGCCGCACGCCGCTTTAACCCACACGGGAACACGCGCACCACCCGCGGTAGCTCTTAGAAACTGCCTCCATCGAGAGAGCCGGATTTGAAGACGTTCTCTCGCTCTCTCTCGAGTCCCCCCCCCCCCCGCGCGTCTTAAGCGTGTAACGTTGGCCCCGGGCGGCAGCTGAAGCCACCACGTTCCCAAGGAGGCGCACAGGGCGAGGACCGTGCTGCCCTTTTGGTAAAACACGGAACCGGTGGAAGGGGTGGTGGGGTTGGTGGGGCGAGGGGGACGGCAGACGGATGACGAAGCGTGGGCCAAGAAGTCCTGCGCGCGAGCCTTAAGACTGTCGCTTGTGGCTTTTGAGGAGGCCGATGGCGGCGTGGAGGCCGAAGGGCGGCGCCCCGCAATCGCGCGCCTCGCACTTGCCACGCTCGCCGGGCATGCCGGGTTGGCCAGGGGGGCCCGGTCGGCCCCGGTAACCCCTGGGGCCCTCCATCCCAGGCACGCCGTCCTTCGCGATGCCCGGTATTCCTGGCGCGCCTGCGTCCGGGATAACGGGGCGAGACAGGCGACGGAGAGTAGCACATCCGTGTAACGCTCTCTCTGGTTCAGGTTTACGCGTGTTTGATGCTATTAGCTATCGGCGCTCCGTCCTGCCTGTGCGTCCGTAACGGTGGGCGGGGTGGGGTGTACGATGGCTCTCGTGAAGATGATCAAAGATGAAGAACGCCTTTAGCGTAATGTTCCGTTGATATTCAGGACTAACGCGAATGACAACCGGCCACGTTGATAACAAAGGGTTACCCATACACTTGGAGAGACACAAACCAAGGACGGATGCACTACTTGCAAACAAGAACATGTGCTTTGCCCAAACGGTGCTGCCAATTAAATACTTGACGAATCTCTACGCGATCCACCAACTCTCTTTTCCTCCGATGTGCTGGAGTTGACACGTCGCGCGTGACCACACAGCCTGCAACTGGAGCACGCGTGGGCGAAGTGAATGTTGCGACCCTGCACTCTCCACTCACCGACGGGACCCTGTAGGCCATCCAATCCAGGCAGCCCAATGCCTGCCGTTCCTTTGATTCCTTTGATCCCCGATTTACCTTGTATTCACACACAAAAGACAAAGACAAAGATCCCCCCCGTATAGCCTGAACAGACTGTTGGGGCAAGTGCTGTTCGTGAGCACCTGTGAATGCCGGCACGGTGGCACACGAGGGGGTGGGTGGCCAGCACGACTGCCGGGCCACCTTTGTCTCCCCAGTGCTGATGTTTACACACTGCACGAGGTACTCGTTTGAGGCTCGGGGAGGCCCAGGACCGGTTCAGATGATCGTCATCGGTGTTAGCCGTGAGCGGAAATCGAACTCGGGTCGCCGGGTTCGTAGCACAGCGCGCTAACTTTTGCAGTAATTCTCCCCTCGCATTCACACACACACACACCCACAATGACAAATATATCCATACAGTTTAACCGCACACCCTGCTGGGGCAGGTGTTGTTAGTGAGTGCCTATTAAGGTCGGCGTGACACTTCAAATGGGAGGGTGCTGCCCAAACTTACCTTGGCCACACCATTGCCACCTTCCCCAACGCTGCTACTCAAGGCACAGACCGCACCACGTGATCATTTCATGCCGAGTTGACCAAGAGGAGGACCAAACCAGCTATAGACACTCAATGCAACTGCTGTCATCCACGACCAAGGTATCTAACTCAGGTCACTAGAATTGAAATGCAGTGCATTGACAACTGTGGCATGCTCCACGTAGCCACACAAGACACAAATTTACAGCAACTAAACCTGTAGTGGAATAACATTTATATTTCCCTTCGCGAGTGTACACACACACACAGCCCATTTGTCAATCCACTGCTGGATGACGACCTCTCAACGTCATAGGCGTCACGAGGATCAGGCAAGCATTGTCCACGAGGCTGGTCGGTGTGGGTTTTTGAAGGTGTAGGAAGCATGGATATAGTGTATCATGACGCAGCAACACGGTGGGTCGGCAAAACCTGCGAATCCGGAGCCGCATGCGGCTCTTTAAGGACCGCATTGCAGCTCTTCAAATGCTGAGTTTTTTTATACCGAATTAGAAAGAGAAATGGCGCGTCTTGTTATTTTGGTTGCCGACTGTTCACTATGTGGGAGTCCGGTTTACCGTTTACCGTGGGAGTCCGGTTTACCGTGGAAGTTCGGTTTACCATGGGAGTCCGGTTTACCATGGGAGTCCGGTTTACCATGGGAGTCCGGTTTACCATGGAAGTCCAGTTTACCATGGGAGTCCGGTTTACCATGGGAGCCCAGTTTACCGTGGGAGTCCGGTTTACCATGGGAGTCCAGTTTACCGTGGGAGTCCAGTTCACCATGTGAGTCCGGTTTACCGTGGGAGTCCGGTTTACCGTGGAAGTCCGGTTTACCGTGGGAGTCCAGTTTACCGTGGGAGTCCGGTTTACCGTGGGAGTCCGGTTTACCATGGGAGTCCGGTTTACCGTGGGAGTCCGGTTTACCGTGGGAGTCCGGTTTACCGTGGGAGTCCGGTTTACCGTGGCAGTCCGGTTTACCATGGGAGTCCGGTTTACCAATGGGCAGATGTCGGCAACGTGCGACTCTGGAGCAGCAGGCGGCTCATTAAGGAGTGCCACGTGACGTTGTTTATCAAGGGACCCACCGTCTCATTATTCGCATGAATTGCGGCTCTTGAATGATTTTTTCCGCCGAATTCGAAAAGAATGACACTTCGTGTTGCTTTGGTTGCCGACCGCTGGTATAGCAACAACCATTGATTTGCTGCACTGCCCTCTGCTGACAACATAGCTCCACAGCAGCTGATAATACAGGCTTCATGACCAGTGGTTGCCCATCAAAGCAATATCTAAACTCAAGCCTGCTTAGCTATGATAGCTGACTAGACTGCTGCATTCTGGGTAATTTAGTTGTAAGGCAGATCTCCATATACGAACGTAATTTCCCAGCTGATAAAACTAAATAATTAATCTCAAATGTATTCTCCAGCTGCTTCCAATGACAGTCAGGGTGCTTTTCCCACTGTCAATTTGTCATTCCAAGTTGCAACCAAATATTCCGGTCTAAAATGACATCTGAATCTGGCTCAGGGCCAAGCAGGACCAGGGGTGAGGCTAATGACGCATCCGTTGTATGTGACGTCAGCCAGTATGACTCAAACGCACCGGCATATAAGGTCGCACTCATTACACACAAAGTGCTTGCCACAAATCAACCACACAGCCTTGCTGATCTCGTCAAGGAGTGTAAACCTTCACGTGAACTCCGGTCATCCTCGCTGCAGCGGCTTTTTGCTGGCCATCGAACAAAGATGGTCACTGCATCGCGCGCTTTCAGATACGCTTCTGCGACCGTCTGCAATGCTACTCCTTCCGATATTAGGACGCCACTGGGGCGATGCACTTTTAAATAATCTCGATAAAAAACTAATTTCTTTAGAACTGCTTTATGTGTATAGTTTGTTGTCCTTCACCCACAACTCCGATTAGCACGCTTGGCTATGTACGGTGCGAAATAAGTTCACATACGTACAATCACGTCCGTGGCACGCCTTGGCTGCTGCAGTAGAAAATGGGTATGAGAGTCTTTCTAAGACAACGTTCAGAGACGTCAGGGTCACACGCACCTCTCTCTCCAGGATCGCCAGGCTGGCCCCCGTCGCCGGTCAAACCCCGGAGTCCAACATCGCCATCGAATCCCACGAGGCCCTGCTCTCCCTGCGCAGCGAGACAGACGGAGCGGATGAACGAATTAACAGACGAACAGTCAGACGGAGGGACGGACAGAGAGACAAACAGAAAGACAGTGAGACAGAAGCACAGATGGATGGACAGAGAGTTGGAGAGGTGGACGCACAGTTAGATGGACAGAGAGAGACAGACACACAGATGGATGGACAGAGAGACAGACAGAGGGATTAACAGACAGACGGACTCACAGACGGACGAAGGCACAGATGGAGAGACGGAAAGAGACTAACGGGAAGTGGATCAATGCTTAAGATAAAGGTAAACACGGTTTGAGTTGATGATAATTCTATCCACAGAGACCAGGCCAAGGCATGTGCGACCTTGCATAGATATCGCAGAACTACACAGCGGCCAACACTAACTTATGAATGATGACAGGAAGATGTAACCCAAAGAATAAAGAGCTCTTATGATGTAAAAACACAATTAATTATGCATGCGCTGTCGTGGAGGATTAGTGAAGGCACCGTAAGTTAACAGAACATTTCACTTTTTTTTACACAAGAAAAAAATGACGAAACTTTTCTAGTCCATGGTCATCTGAGTCACCTGCACTTGTGCTTTTGAGCAGCATTTGTATAAGCAGGTAAACTCGGGAATAGTTTTGACCCTCTGGGTATCATAAGCAGAGGCAAGCCCGTCAAACAAATGTTGCTGGGTTTTCAGATGGTGTAGGCAAGATCATTTATAAGTTATCACGCTAAAGCAGCAAAACACTGTGAAAATACTGCTGTTGCGTACCTTGTACGTATCTCGGCTGTGTGTCCATGGCTCTCTCCGTCACAGGTTTGAAGTTTCATTAACGACACATAAACGTTGAACCCACTTCGGGGTGTTCCCTAGTGATGTCGCCGGTGCATGACTGATAAAGAGGGCATTGTGTCGCTGCAGCGATGTCACCAGAACATCGTCTCCTGAAAGTTGCTTAAATGTAATTTGCCATTCGTGCTGTTCTAGTGGATCCAGAGTGGCATCATAGTGAACGGTGTTCAAGTGTGTGCAGAGTGGCATCATGGTGAACGTTGTTCTAGTGGGTACAGAGTGGCACCATAGTGAACGTTGTTCTAGTGGGTACAGAGTGGCACCATAGTGAATGGTGTTCTAGTGGGTACAGAGTGGCACCATAGTGAACGGTGTTCTAGTGGGTACAGAGTGGCACCATAGTGAACGGTGTTCTAGTGGGTACAGAGTGGCACCATAGTGAATGGTGTTCTAGTGGGTACAGAGTGGCACCATAGTGAACGGTGTTCTAGTGGGTACAGAGTGGCATCATAGTCAATGGTGTTCTAGTGGGTGCAGAGTGGCACCATAGTGAATGGTGTTCTAGTGGGTGCAGAGTAGCACCATAGTGAACGGTGTTCTAGTGGGTACAGAGTGGCACCATAGTGAACGGTGTTCTAGTGGGTACAGAGTGGCACCATAGTGAATGGTGTTCTAGTGGGTACAGAGTGGCACCATAGTGAACGGTGTTCTAGTGGGTGCAGAGTGGCATCATAGTGAATGGTGTTCTAGTGGGTACAGAGTGGCACCATAGTGAACGGTGTTCTAGTGGGTACAGAGTGGCACCATAGTGAACGGTGTTCTAGTGGGTACAGAGTGGCACCATAGTGAATGATGTTCTAGTGGGTACAGAGTGGCACCATAGTGAATGGTGTTCTAGTGGGTACAGAGTGGCACCATAGTGAACGTTGTTCTAGTGGGTGCAGAGTGGCACCATAGTGAACGGTGTTCTAGTGGGTACAGAGTGGCACCATAGTGAACGTTGTTCTAGTGGGTGCAGAGTGGCACCATAGTGAACGGTGTTCTAGTGGGCGCAGAGTGGCACCATAGTGAATGGTGTTCTAGTGGATACAGAGTGGCACCATAGTGAACGGTGTTCTAGTGGGTACAGAGTGGCACCATAGTGAACGGTGTTCTAGTGGGCGCAGAGTGGCACCATAGTGAACGGTGTTCAAGTGGGTGCAGAGTGGCACCATAGTGGATGGTGTTCTAGTGGGTACAGAGTGGCACCATAGTGAACGGTGTTCTAGTGGGTACAGAGTGGCACCATAGTGAATGGTGTTCTAGTGGGTACAGAGTGCCACCATAGTGAACGGTGTTCTAGTGGGTACAGAGGGGCATCATAGTCAATGGTGTTCTAGTGGGTACAGAGTGGCACCATAGTGAACGGTGTTCTAGTGGGTACAGAGTGCCACCACGGTGTGCACCCGTGGGTCACAGCGATGACCGCGGGGCTTCGCACTCACCGGTTTGCCGGGGAGTCCCGGCGGGCCTGAGGGCCCGGGCAAGCCGAGCAGGCCGCGCCCGTTGTTGGGGCAGGCCGCGATGCACGTGCGGCGCAGGGCGCCCGCGTACTTGTCCACCGTCTCCATGACGACGCGCCGGCACAGCTCCGCCACCACCGAGTCGTTGAGGCTCGAGCCCTGCGGCAGCCACAGGCGGTCAGGTGGGGGCAGCAGAGGCCCAGCAGCAGCACGGAAACCACCGTGCCCCCCGCCCCCAACCCCGGCACGTTAGCCCAAACGCGCCCATGGCACGATTTGGGGGCGAGGGTTTGGTGAATCGCGGCGAGATTATCACGCTTGGCTACGTACGGTGCCAAAGGAGTTCAACGTACACGCGTACGCCGTGGGGAAACCTCCAGAAACCTTGGGCGTAACTTCCCGCTGCGCATTTTCACCGGGGTCGCCGGTACACTGGAGTCGATCGGCATGTCACTGATGCCACCACCGCACACCTCATCAGCCCCAGTGCCTTTCAAGCCCTCCGCCAGATCCCACAGCTGCTGCACGGTAAGATACCCAACCTTGACGATCTGCCCTAACAGCCTCCCACCACCCGCTGCTCGTCGGTCTACTCTTCCGCCTGGATGCCGGACTCGTTGAAGGCCGGAGTAGGCATGTGGCATGTGACGAGCAGCCAATTCCAGTGGCCGCCATTCGGCACTTAGTGACGGTGATGTCACCATGGCGCCTGTGCCAGGCCAGGTGAACTTTGAGGTCACATGAAGTGTCCATAGCTCGCTGACAGGAGGTCACGGGACAGACCCAGGTGCAATTGGTTGAATGACTAAGGAAACTGGCAGATGCACCAAGTTTGTACCTCCTACAATGCCAACTTGCTGTATTTTAGCCACCCGGCAATCCGCTCGTTGTTGGAGGGCAACTGCCTCCAACTACCCAGTAGCATCCTTCACGAGCCTCCTCCATAGAGCAGACGAGTAGCCACAGCCATTGCGAGGGGTATTCCGAACGTGGTGTGGCCCGGTGTGGAAATATTCTCCGTGTCTGCGGACCCGACCGGATCCGGCTGCAATTTAGACCTTGGTCCAAATGCCCCGGTCGGCGAGGTGACCACATGTACGGCACAGCAAGTAGGTTTGTGGACCGGTCTGTGTGTGGACTTTTTTTTTTAGTGGCATCTCCCTCAGATGCGTTCACAGGTGTTGCAGGTGTGTTGGGTCGTACGTTTGGCCAGGAGATGTCAGTACAGTTCAACAAGTCTAGTTGCACACAGACAAAGATCCCCCGTATAGCCTTGAACAGACTTTTGGGGCAAGTGCTGTTAGCGAGCGCCTATGAAGGCCGGAACGGTAAACGAGGGGGTGGTTGGCCAAAACCACGCCCGACCGCCTTTGTCTCCTCAGTGGCGATGTTTACACAACGCACCAGGCACTCATTTGAGGCTGAGTCGACCTAGGGGAGGCCCAGGACCGGTTCAGATAATCGTCACCGGTGTTGGTCGTGAGCGGGAATTGAACTCGGGTGGCCGGGTTCGTAGCGCAGCGTAGCGCTAACCGCTGCGTGACCGCTCCCCACGTACACAGACAGACGTGACCAGATTGTGAGATTGCTATTACCCTCCCCCGCCCCCAACGCTTGCTTTAAAATGACAGGGGAAAAAGTACGTCTTGCTAATACGGCGAATACGGTCTTCATTTCAACCAGACTGCCATGGTTTCATGGCTAACAACACCGTACTTGCAAACCAGAGGTCGCCGGTTCAATCTCTCGTTCGAACCAATGGGCACGTTTTTAGTTAGTTTGTTTGTTAATTCCCCTCGCCTCTGTCCACCCCGGCGGTATAAACGGGATCCGTCACAGGCTAGTGGCCAGCGTAGAAGAGTAGGCCAAAGGACCCTTCTAAAATTTCTCATTAGCGGAGGCGCACCCGTACACGGTAGTGGCGCGGGCAAGTCAATTTATGGCATTCTGAAAAAGGGGAAAATATCACCTCACCGGGAGAAAAAATGTAGCGTAGGCCCCGTGGGTAGGACCCAGAGATAAATTCCAATTACAACTCGGGTCCCTGGCCTCGCAAAGAAAACAATGGCGATGCATCACCTTCATTATCCGCATTGTGTTTAGCTTTCGTCTTTGTTAAGGAGTGCCCCCCGCTCGCTTATAAATGAAGCGGATGTATTAAGCTCGAGTTTTTAAACGGGGGGAGCGGGAAAGGGGACATTAATTTCCAAATTTAACCCGCATTTAAACCGCCGTGTTTTGTAATTTAGCGCATGACTTCATATTCAACGTAATTTTAAAACTTTGTACTTTGTAAAACGATATTTGTTTTATAAAGTACAAAAGTTTTTTGTCTGTCAACTTGTGCCAACCCAATTCCGTCAAGTCTAAAACCTCCGTCACATGCCGCTACGTAGGTTTTTTTTGCGGCTGTGCTGTACAGATAGCTCTAAAGAGCGTGGTTTCAGGTCGTAACGCGTATCATTTGGGGCGCCACGGTGGTGAGATGTTCACTACCTCGTGTCGTGACCCTGACGACTGCTGTATATTTGGAGTTTGTGGTGTCTCTCTCCCCGTGGTCGTGTGGATTTTTCTCCGGGTCCTCTGTTTTTTTCCTCCACATTTAGAAACACGCGTTTAGAGTATTTGGCTGCTATACATTGCCACATTGTAAGCCACTTCATTAGGCTATCATTTGTGGCCAGGTCGCTTCTGAAAAAGAGCTATATAAAATAAAATAAATAAAATATTTAGTCCAACGTTTCGGTCTACGTGCTGAGAGCTTCTTCAGGAACTGAAAAATTAGACGTGACGCTGAACAACATGTGGTAAAAGAAACGAAAACGCACCGGCGAGCCTCCATCATGTGTCTGGGTTTCACTGCCTCATTTTCTGCCTAAACCCACCACCGGGATTATTTTCTTCTTCGACTCCCGGAGTGCCTTTTGGGAAGCTTCTCGTCTGTTTCCCTGCTCCACGCACCTCCGAATAGCACGGTTGGCTAAGTGCGATGCGTGAAAGAAGTTCAACGTACACACTGACGTACACGCGCTTCTCCACACGTCTCATCGACGGATTTTGGATGCGACTCTGCCCGTCTCTTCTCCGCACAGAGGACAGCGAAAGACAAGGCTGACACTTGTTCAATAATGTGTCGTTCCCTTCATTCGCTTCTCCGTCATATGGTGTTTTGGCTTCTGCCTCCCCCCTTCCCCCTTCTATTTATATTCCACAATCACGTCACAAGGCAAAGACAATTCCATCCGAAATTATTGCAGTGAGCAGTGGACCTACCCCCCCCCCCCCCCTTGTTTGGACAATGGTCACGGGAAGTTATCAAAACTATTTCTGAAGCCCTTTCGGTAGGATCTCAGCAGGGCCTGTGTCAAGAGAATGTGTTCCCCCGCCCACCCCCGAATGTTTGTTCTGTGAGGAATGAATATCTGTTCCATTTAGGAACCAATATTTGGAAATAAAAGAACCTATATTTTCCTGAATATTTGTACCCAACTGTCGTTTTTCTAAGTAACCAAAGTGGATATTTTTTTTTGCCAGCAGGAACAAATAACCATATTTTCCCGGGGTTGTGCAAATATTTTATCGGAGCCAACATTCACATAGACTGGCTGACTCAGCGTGCGTCCAGCACGGCAGCAGCCGCTCCGAAGCATCGAGCCTCCCCGCCGTGAGCAGCGACGCATACCCCCAGCGGTGGCGTGTTCGTCGTTCGCCGCAGAGGATCGTGGTTCAAACCCAGCGGCCACCCTGATCGATTACTGCGAACGTTATTTACAGTAGTGATAATGATAACAGCAATAACGAAACACGCCGTCCGCTTCACAGCGGGATCCCCTCACCGGGATTAGCAAGAGTGGGATGTTGCATACTTGCGTCGCGGTCTAAAATTTGGCAAAACATTTTAATGATGCTGAAAATTACTCAATTGAGTTTACACAACGCAATCGTCGCTCCCTCCTGGGAGACTAATGCCCCGGGTCAAATTTGCCAAGTGAGATTATGCGGGACCCCTGGAGTTCTCGGCAGGTACATTTATTTTTTATATATATAATAACTTGAGCGATCCTGTGGTGGTACCCTTACCAGCCATTCCTTAGCGAAAGAAAGAAAAACGCTGATTACAGGCAGACCTCGCAGAGCGCTTAAGATGCGTTCGTGGAGAAGTGAGCGCTAATCAAATCGGTGCTAAAAGGAGTCGTTATACCATTGCATATACGGGGGATGCGTTCATGACAGCGTCATTGTTCTCCTATCAGCAATGTACGAGGGCCTCTCACTGCGTATCGGTAATAGACCTAGAGTGATGATAATAATAATAATGCAGGTGGTGCACATAATTTCATAAATAAAAAAAATATTAGTTAATATAACGTCCGTCAGTATTATGTATTGTACTAACGAGTGCATTTTACGTGGCAGCGGTGGCAGTGACGAGGTTGGATAAGCTGCTGCTGTGGTGAGGTTTCCTTTAGGTGGAGCACGAGACTCTCTTACCTTGGTCTCGTGAGTTCTCGCACGGCAAAACAAATGAGTATTGATTTATTTTCAAAATAATTATTGATATATTTTCAAACCAATTATTTATTTAATTCCAACGTTATCGTGAAAAACCAATCGTGATAATCGAAAAGGGGCGGCGGCTTCTGATTGGCTGAGAGCGCGCGTCGCACTGTCTGTACTTAACGGTGCCACATAGGGACGGCTGCCATTAGGGGATCCCCTAAGCTAAAATAAAAACTACTACAACGGGGGGCACAGTAGGCTATTGAGATGAGAAGCGACGCAAAGACGCTTTGAGTTGCCGAGGCATTTATAAAGCAAGCGCTCCTTACATCTCGCAAAATCCTACAAGTCATAGAAGCCTTACCAATGGGCCGGCTGGACCTGGTGGCCCAGCAAGACCCTTGCCTCCGGGGCTTCCTCTTGGCCCCGTGATTCCTCGGGAGCCGGGGTAGCCGGGGGACCCTCGCTGGCCCAGAACGCCCTTCTGGCCGGCGAGGCCTCGTAGCCCTTTCTGGGACCAACACGGCCGCGGGGAGAGCGCGCCCATCAGGCGCACGCACACATGGACACACACGGGACACGCACACGGACGCACACGCACATAGACCCCCCCCCACCCCCCCCGTATAGCCTGTAACAGACTGTTGAGCAAGTGCTGTTAGCGAGCACCTGTGAAGACCGGCACGGCACACTAGGGGGTGGGTGGCCAACACCACGCCCGACCGCCTTCGTCTCCCCAGTGGCGATGTTTATGGCATAAAATACAAGGCACTCGTTTGAGGCTGAGTCGACCTAGGGGAGGCCCAGAACCGGTTCAGATAATCGTCTCTGGTGTTGGGCCATGAGCGGGTCGCCGGGTTCGTAGCGCAGCGCGGGGCTAACTGCTGCGCCACCGCTCCCTACGCACACACACAGTAATAACAATGATACTAACAAGCATATTTGTCCTGCGCCATAATTTAGTGACGACTTCGCTAGGCTGAGGCCTGTGGCGATCCTCGCGTAGCGGACATGCCGGTGACCTTCGGTGGAAGGCCCAAAGGCTTTCGTGAGACGGGATGGATTGAATGTAGTCTGGCCAGAGTGCTCCACACCGATGGGGGAGGTTGACTTGACACATTAAAAATAAATGTAATTATAAATAAAGATACAGGAAATCACGATGTGTGGACAAATAACAATTCTGACCCTAGCCCCTGATGTTAGCGGTGGCCAGGTTCATAGGCCAGAGTGCTAACCAAGGCAACCAGCACTCCACTTCTTTTAACTTACAATAAACAAAAATGTATGTGATAGGTGACGTTTCAGGCAATTGGACCTTCTTCTATGCCAGAAACGTCACCGCCAATTAAAGTTAACCACACACACACAAAAAATTTCAACGGACAAAAAAAGCTATAATTCGCCATTCATCAGGCAGGGTAAAACGTCGGCAATATAATAAATGTAACTGTGGAGCGTGTGTGGCAATGTGATTAGCGGCTAAATAAAGAGCCGCTTCAGGTGGTGTTACCTGTCCTTTGTCACCGGTTGTGCCCTTGTCCCCCTGAAACGGTAGGCAAGATAAAGTGTCGAGTAAAAAAAACCATAAATTTTTATTATTATTATTACGGTGCTCACTCATTGCGGAGATTAAAAATTAACGATGCCCCGCGCGATACAAGCGGTGTTTGCCGTTTGACTGAAGGTTAGTTTTACAGGTTATTAACATTATTCAAGCGCCGGGAAACGCAGGGTGGGTGATGAGGGGGAATGATTTAGTGGGCTGATAAAGAGGGGAGCCACTTCTCACCTTGGGTCCCAGAGGTCCTCCCTTACCATCGCGACCAATGTCTCCCTAAAAAAAACAGACAGGCGTCTTCAAGCACGGCCACGCTTAGAGCCGAAAGAAGCGAGCTTTTCACATCGTTTTCGCACATCGTACGCTGTCGGATGCGCGAGGCAACAGTTAAAGGACGAATGCATGTGAATAATAATAATAATGGTGAAAAAAAACGAACAGTGTATGTGTACAGCTCTTTGCCAATCCACTGCAGGATGAAGGTCCGTCCATTCGACAGCTTCTTTTACAAATCTTGATTTGAAGCTTTCGTGACTACAGAAATCGATACTCTTTGGTTCTTTCGGTAAAGTCACGTAGGTATAAAATAAATCACGACGTTTCGGGCGCAACACAAGCGTCCATCATCAGGTGGGAAAGCATGGTCTGCTGCTGAGGCAGACTGTTTTAAAATGTTTTCACTTCACCAACTTTTGCACTGATCAGCTTGGTGAAACCTGCCATATCGTGAACATGAATGTTGACGAGTGGCAGGTTTGTGCAAAAAAGAACACGCGTGTGTGTGTCCGTGTGAAACAAATAAAATACATATACAATTGACTTGGCATTTAACGACAGTCGTGTATGGGTTGTTTTGGGCATACATCAACCAAGCTTATCAGTGCAAAAGTTGGTGAAGTGAAAAAGGGGAGCCAGGGACCAGCTTGGATAACGCTCACCGCTGATTGTTGGGGAATCGATATTCGACGCGCTGCTCACTCACCCCACCGCTCCGCGCGTATATACGCCAACTCATTTCGCTTGTTCACAATCAAGGGCCCTCACATTTCCACAGGCGATGCATTTAACGCAGTCATAAAGATACATTTACAGGGCTTAATTTCCTCCAACTCCTCCCCTCTCCCCCAACTAAAGTCATATAAGATATTGCGCAGCATACGCTGACATTTTAAAGTTTCAGCCGATGCGACATAACGCACGCGCACGTCAATGTTTATTTTCCCAGGCAATAAAAAAATAATTTTAACCGCTCCCTCAATGTGTATATATTCTCCCTGTAATCTATTAAATAATGCTTTTATTGACGCATTACCCCCGAAGTGGAACTAAATATACAATTTAACCAATTCAGGGCAGTCGACTGTTATTATTAAGGGTTCCACTTTTTGTACGCGTGCGTTTATACCTCAAGTAATTTCCTATAAAGCAGGTGAATGGGAATTCGATTTTTGTTGTTGTTCAAGAGACACTGCGGTGATGTTGGAAATGGAAAATTAGTTACAAAACGTAGCAAATAAATGTTTTTTTTTTGCCGAGATGGCAATCACGTCCTACGGTAGCAGCCTTTTTGTTCGTAAAAACGCGAATTAAAACACTCGTCGCTTCAAATGCAATTGGTCAAATATCCCCAATCCAAGACTCCGCTGAAAATAAAGTTGAAGCTCATAGGCGAATTTGATGAATGAATGAATACCAAGGTTATTGTTGTTGTTACGTCCGTCTATTTGTGCACTCCGGTGTCACTCGAGATACATAATCAGCCGCTTGTGCTTATCACTTGTCCGCGTTTATATAATGCACAATTTAAACATGAAACAAACATTCTAACTAAGCCGACTGTAATGATATTAATAATATCCGTACTCTGAGACGTACGTCATATATTAAAGTGCCCACCGCAAGCGTAAGCCGCTAATGTTTGTTGTGAGTGTTGTTGCTGTGTTATGTCCATTGTGTATTTTTTGCCAGACAGACACCAGTAATTGAAGCAGACTCTCCAACACGGGCGGAGTGGAAAGTGTGCGTGTGTGAGCGCGTGTGTGTGCGTGTGCGTGCCTGCGCATGTGCGTCTGCGTGCGTGTATGTGCATGCGTGCGTGCGTGTGTGTGCGTGTAGGCATGTGTGTGCGTGAGCACGTGCGTGTCTGCGTGCGTGTGAGTGCGTGACGAGTAGTTTTACCATGGGACCTTCTTCACCTGCGTCTCCGATCGAGCCCTGCAACATGAACATATTAAACGCCAAAAGCCAAATAAAGCATTTCCATATTCGTTGTGAGATATATATAATTAAAACAAAAACACCTTTAACAATTTTAGTTTTCGCAACTATAAAGTAACGTTGCCCGTCCGTGTGAAATACACAACCGGGATCGCGGTGCAGATTTCAATTTCACATTCGTCTTGTGTCGTCCTTTGTCAGCTTGTCGTTTCATGCGTTTAGTTTGCTCGCACAAACAACAGTGTCCGTTAAGGTCCGCGGGGGGGGATAAAACACTGTCGTTTTAATTCGTATGTGCCAACGTGTGCGTTCACAAACGTGTCCTGTACACGGAGTACGGATCGACGGAGCGGCACGCAGTTCCGTGTCTAAAAATATCTCCCTCCCCCACCACCGTCTCTCTCTTTTTGTTTGTAAGCATTCTTTATCGTCTTTCAAGATTCCCAGAATACGCTGGGTATATATGCATATATCAAAGGGGGAAAATGAACCTACACGTAACGTATAACAGGCCAGGGGTAATGCACCCTCACCATTAAGGGGACGAACGAGGGCACCCTACCGATGCGACGCAGAGAAGCCGAAAGCGGTCCCAGTATTTGGCTGCTTAAAAGCTGAAAACCGTTGGCACATAACGGGTTGCCAAGTTCGCAGCGCAGGGAAGACTCGCCGCACAACAGCGACCACGACCCCGAGCAACAGATCGCGTGATTAAGGCGCCACTTATGAAACGGTCTTCAGCGTGGGCACGGCTACAATCGAAGCATTCCCCCATCGAGTCTATTTGGTCACGGCGGCTCGAGTGAGGCTGGCGGCCACGGTTTGCCACCCAGGCGTGCCGTCCCCAAGCGACGAGGAGCCACCACAGGCCTCAAGCCTGTGCGGAGGCAGGCCACGCCGTGAATCGCGAGGCCGCAGTGAGCCGGCTCGGACGGATTGGCCAAAAGGTCAACGCCACGACGAGTGGCCGCGTTGCTGGCACTGGAGACTTCGGCGCGTTTCCGACAAAAAACTCCCCGATGCAAGACCAACGCTCGGCGGCGGCGAACGCGTGAAATCGAGCGGGTCAAGATTTAGCGTGTTTCCTTCATTTGCATATAAATCCAATCTTTAAATAAAAAAAGTTACGTAATTTATCTTCGTCTAAGGCCTTGACCCCCAACCCCCCTCCCTCCCCACGCGTCAATAGGCAGCGCCGGCGCGTTTTTTAAGCCGGAGGCGTCCGTCGCCCTATCAGGACTCTGGCACCCAACGTTGTGTGGGAGGCACGAGAGAGCGGAGTGGGCAGGCGAGCGGGGGGGGGGGGGGGGAGGCGTTTGAGAGCGCAAACGAACGCCCCCCCCTCTCCCACCGCCCCCCCCCCCCCCGGAGTGTTTCGCTTGAGACGGCGGCAGACTTACCCGCATCCCCTTGGGGCCTGGCTTGCCAGGCTTGCCGTGACGCCCGCCTGTCCCTTTGTCTCCTTTCGGTCCCTGGGAGACACGGAAACAACGGGCAGTGAGCCGCTACTGACAACAACAACAACAGCCAAGAGCGACAATAGCACGAGTGTAATTTTGATTTCCATTAGCAGCGGGGAGGAAACTTCCGTTGCGTTTGTATTATTTAGCATTCATCTAGGGCGGTTCGGTGCTTCGGATAACGCGACTCGCTATTGGCAAGTTGCGAGTTCAAACTGCAATTTGGAGGTGTATATTCGTACCATCATCCCCTCCGGAATCAATAAATTAGGTATCACTTTGTTCTATAAATTAACTGGATCCCACTAGAAGAAAGTGGAATTTCCACACGTGCATAGGAGACGAGCACTCAGGCAAGTAACGATGCATCGATCCAACTATTACGATCGCTTCCCAAGATCACAATCATTGCAGTGTATCTGTGAGAATCAACAGTTTATAATTCGTGCAAATGATAAGCTCATGTTTAGGTGCAGGTTTTTTTCTTCCTTTGGATGACAACTGTAGCCTCCCCCCCACAAGTTGTATCGTACTCAACTTTATCGACACAATCCCTCCATTCGGAATGTCCTTTTAACATTGGATGTCCCCCCCCAATGAGGTTTTAGTCACGCGTTTTGCCCATTACAACCGGTCGGTACACAACCTGACACAACCAGCCAATTGCACTTCCAAGGTTGATTAAAAAACACAAGTCCTTCTGGCGGAGAAATCAACATTGGTTGCATGATGAAACTCACCCCTGCCATTTGGAATCTGGAATTTCCCACAAATGGCTCTGAGCTGTGAACGGCTGATTAATGCTCCCCCCCTTGCTTGATTGATCTGGAAACCACTGGCTTTTGACCAAGGTGGCAATGTTCTATTCTCAAGACTGGTGCATGCACACCGTGTTCAGTGACTTCCGATATTAGGAAGCCACTGGAGCTATGCACTTTTAAGTCTTGGGAATGAAAACTCATTTCATGAGAATTGCTTTTTGTGTTTAGTTTGTGGTCCTTCCCCCCCCCCCGCACCTCCGATTAGCACGGCTGGCTACGTACGGTGCGAAAGATGTTCAACATGCAACACGCAACACATCAAAAGCTGGCATTCGCCACTTTGTGCCAGTGACGTCACCACGGTGCTTGTGACAGGCTGGGTGCACTCTGAGGCCACGTGAATATTGGAAGGCAAGCACGCAGGACGTCAGTCATGGGACAAACCCATGTGCTATGATGTGATCCACTTTGATGACTGGCAGATGCACCACCCTGTATTGCCAACTGTACCGACTCCCTGTGAGCGTCGCTTTTCCGCCCTCGATTTTCTTTGGAAGGCGACTGCCTCCAACTGGCCAGTAGCGTCCTTCACGAGCCTCCTCCTCCACAGAGGCCGATCTTGATACTGCCGGTACCGGCCATCAGCGAGTCCACTCAGCTCCACATCTTTCTGTACCGCATCTGCTCCATCTCCTCTCCACCCCATAACAGACTCCAAACAAAACACCATGGCACGGACACTTTGTAGGGAACTTACGGCTCGGCCAATGTGTCCTTGGGGTCCTTCAATGCCCTTGTCTCCCACGTCTCCCTGCGACACACACAGCATCCATCACGCCAATGTAATCGGTTCAACAATATTATCATTACGAGCAGGAACCCTCGGTACTTCGGCGGGAAAAGGATGGCGAACGTGTACATAGACTAACTATATTCATAGACTAACTATTTCACGAACCGATGATTCCACTTCACCACCCCCAGGTCTCGTGACGGCATTCTCCCTCTCGTCACCCCAACCTCGAGTGACGTCACTACTCCTCTCCTTGTATTGCCGTACAATTGCCGAAGGGACACGCACACTTGTATTGCCGTACGATTGTCGGAGGGCCACACATTTTTATTGCCGTACAATTGTCGAAGGGATGCACACACACACTTGTATTGCCGTACGAGCCCAGGGGCGGAGGAGGGAGCTGGGCTTTAATTAGCATGCGGAAAAAAAAAACCTAAACAAATTGATGCGATTGTCCTACCGATGTCAAGGTGTAACGTGATAAGCCACATTCATTTTTATTTCTTGCGTAGCCACCGATGAACGAGCCGGCCGCTGCATTTGCACCGCAGCAAGCTGCCCTCATTTTGGAGCGAGTTTGGCCCGTTGCGTGAAAAAAAAAACCACCTCCTGCAGTGGAATTTCCCCTTATTCTGCCACCGACAGCTCTGCACGTTAGGAAGTCATTTATTTTCAGGTGATTTATGCAATTGACCCGCGGGGGTTCCCGTGGGTGACCGTTCACTCAGGCCACCGGGCCAGGGCTTGCCACGTTATCCTGATTTTTCGCGGACCGTGGTGGCTGTCCGGTGGAAACCTATAAGTCTTCCTGGGACATTGTCAGTTGCATAATAATAATAATACGATTAAATAGCCAACACTCCTTCACGCGCGGTTCTCTCCTCCTCGGGTCTTGTGAGATTCCTCCCCGCACGGGAAGTCCCCCAGGTTCAAGCGCACACACGCGCGCACGTCTGCGTGCGTGTGTGCGTGTGCTCATGCTGGTGTGTATGTGTGCATGTATGTTCTGGGCATCCCCTAGGTCGACTCGGCCTCAAATGAGTATCTGGTGTGGTGTGTAGTAAACATCGCTATTGGGGAGACAAAGGCGGTCGGGCGTGGTGCTGGCCACCCACCCTGTCGTGTGCCGAACTAACCTTCATTAGGTGTTCGCTAACAGCACTTTCCCCAACAGTCTGTTAAGGTTATACGGGGGATCTTTATCTTGGTGTACATTTTTGCCTTTGTATATGCTCGTACATACACAGACACACTTGTACAATTGTGTGCATGTGCTGGTTCATTTGTGCGCATGTACGTGCATGTACATACGTGTGCGTATGTACGTGCGTGTACATACGTGTGCGTATGTACGTGTGCGTATGTACGTGCGCGCACGTCGGTTGCTCAATCATTCCGCGTCCATCGTAACAACTTCGCCACGCCCGTGACACACGCTCCGCAAGCGCCTGCGAGCAGAGCACGCAGGCGCTTGCACGCAAGTGCCTGCGTGTGTGCGCGCATGGGCCCTCGACCGCGTGCCCCACGAGGCAAGGAGGAGTGGCACTCCTCAAGCGTCGCCCGTCTCCTCTCACCTTCGCTCCGGTAGCTCCCAAGGGTCCCGTTAGCCCTTGGAGTCCCACAGCTCCCTGAGAACAACAAAATGCAAATCTACGATCAGCAAACGCGCGGGCGCAGTGTCGAGACGCCCACTCCACAACCCCCTACCCCCCCCCCCCGCCCAACACACGTCGATAAAGGGCGATCGAAAAAGCCTCCGTTGCGGTGGAACTGTTTTATCGTAGAGTCACAGTAATTGCTGAGATTGGGAACCTTTGATATCCATACAGCCCTAACAAGTCAATACTTGTTTCTGAGAAACCCGATCGAACTCCTCCGGTTGTACGATCCTCGCCGCGTCGGTTTATTTCCATCTTCAGCACGGCTAGGGCTGTTTGTGTGGACGTGGACATTCGCAATACAGAGGCGTATCGACCGCCTGTGAAACAATACCAACGCCACTAACACCCGTTCATTGATTGTATTAATTAAGCCACGGTGAAGGGACCTTATTTGCCAGGGAGACCCCATACCTATTAGCATGTACGAGCGGTCGTTGTTGTTTTACTTAAAGTCGCCGCTCCTATTCCCGGAGTTCATGAGAGGCACGTGATTGTTGTGCTCCGCACAGATTCGGTGAAATGTCACCACTTGAGGGGCTCTGCGATTCGATTTGTGCCGTTTCGCGTTTCCCTCCGTTCGGTTCGCACAGTTTTGTCCGCTACATTGGCCATAAAAGTTAACGACAGGAAAACCGGGTGGGATAGACGCAGCGGTAAGAAGCAAGCATAGACGAATCACGGCTCTGGGTGAACGTCAGCGGTGATTGCTGGCTAAAGAAAGAGGATCGTGGAAAAGTATGTACATCCTCTTTATCGACAATCAACTGCCAGAAGGGATAGATGAGGATGACCGCTGAGCAACTGATTCTGATGTGCACAACCGGATGAACGTTATCATCAAATTAATCACTTTAAATCGATGATTCGCCGCATCGTCGCACGCCGACTAGCGGCAAGGCGGCGGGAAACCATGGCGGCCGACCGGGGCACCTCGACATTTAGGGGCACCCAGTAAGTTGCGACGAGGAGTCTGGGCCGCAGCGACACAAACGCCTGCGCTTGACACCCCGGAACGATGCAACTCGAAGGCATCGCAATTCCCTCCACCGCCAAACGTCCTTCCGCCGCTGGAAGACTCCAGCGACTTACTTTGAAGGGAGGAGCTAATTTGTTTCATTCCGCTGCAAACTGCAGGATAACAGAGGGCATCGTTCGACGTGCCCAAGGCGGGGTGCGGGGGGTGAATGGTGGCGTGGTCATTCGTCTGGGAAGAAGCGTGAATTTCCCACATTTTACCCCACCGCACCTCTTTCGAAGCTCCACCTTCTTCTCCATCGCCGCCCATTCTCTTCCTCTACCTTCCCCTCGCCCCTCCACTCCGGCCCGTCCCTCCCCTGTCGCCCATTCGTGACCTCCGTGTGCCCTCTGTAGCGGTCACTCATTCATAGGCTCTCGCACTGCCACTGCAACCTAAATCGTTCCATGTTTGTTCCCGCTTTTCTTTTTTACTATGTAAAGCACCTTGAGCTAAGATGCTCTATAAATAAGATCGATTACCTGTGGTGCACCCATTTATACTGCTCAGCAGGCAGAGAGGGGGGCAGGGGGGGGGGGTGGTTTCAAGAAACTTTCCCATTATTATACTTAAATCGACAGTTCATTTCTCTAAGGCATAATCGTAGCCTAGCGTATGCGCTCTTTAGTTATGAGTTCAGACAATAATGAAGAAATAAGGACGCGCTGCAGAGCACCTTTTAATATCCTGGCCTGCGGAGTGGTTTAACCGCTCTCGGGCAGTTATGAAAAATAAGCTAATAAAGCAAACGATGGGAGAAAAAATCATCATCATCATCACGATACCGCTTCGGCAATTAAAGTGGAACCTGGCGGTCCCGAGTTATTGAAAACCGCAATGCAAACAGCGGGGAAATGAGCATCAAAATATTTGGGATTCCGATCGCAGACAGCCTTAATAACCATGCACCGAGCGACCTGCGGAAACATCCCCATTCCCCCGCAAGCAGCTAATAGCGGCCAAGCTCTGCGTGTTGTCGGTTATTGGGCATTCCATCACATAGCCGTTTGCAGGCTTCCAATGTGCACGCTGCGTCGTGAGTGGCGGTTTTTTGTTCTTTTTTATGACAAAACATTGCTCCAGTACTCTAATGAAATGCATTTTGGGATATGCAAAATGCGTGTGTGGGTTTAAATGCGTTTGGTTATACGCGGTTGCTTTGAATATGTAATAAAACAAAAAATTGGCATTTTTTTCTTCTTCCCTATGAAGTTCGACGATTCCAATAAATGGAAGTAGCATTTTTTTAATTCGCCTCTCATCGCATGTAACGCTTTGCAGGCTGACTGCAGCTGTTGGACACGTTAACACAGCTCGGCGGGTGGAGGGGCCTAAATTGGGCTGCCTGGCAAAGTCCATTTATAGTTGATTAGCGAGTGGAAATAATTCAATGCTCGAGGCTCTGCAAAGATGGATTTCAGAATCCATTGCCATACTGCCGTCTCTCCTGGTCACCGTAAGGGGCCCCTCCCCACCTCCTGGCCCCCACGCCCTCATCCAGGTAGAAAAGCCACAATACACACAGGGATCACGTGTCCACGTGCCGCATACATGTTGTGTTTATAAGGCAATTGTTTCAATTCCATATATCCGTGCGTTTTGTGTTGGTAAGGTAATCGTGTCACGTTGCGTATCAGTGTGTTTTACCGTTGCACAATGGTGCTCGCATTGCCCGCACACATCCTGAACTTCTCCTGCACAGTGTCCTTGCCGCAGCCTGCACTCTCTCGCAGCCCCTAACCCACGAGTGGGTGCCACCCATTTGGGTTGCGAACCGGCTCTTTAATCCCTTTAACCCGTCGCTCCCGTGGATGATTCTACTCACGTCCATGCCTTGCATCCCGTCCCGGCCCGGAACGCCGGCGATCCCGACGTCTCCCTGCCGGAGAAATCATCGCAGCGACGTTAACCGCCGCGAGTGGAAAAACAATCGAGCAGTTTCCTTTGTTCAGTGGAAAGAAAACACAGGCTCGTACGAAACTAATGGCCCTTGAAGTACAGCAATTAAAAAGCGAACACCTCACGACTGGTTACGAAACGCTTGAATTTCACCGGGGATGCCGTTTCAGGGCTGCATGCGGGCACATCCGTAATGTCGTCTGCTCGGAGAAAGAGGTCAGAAAACGCAATGAGGCGGCATGCGCCGTGCCTCCGCGCGACGTTAGTGAATGTCTACGCGCCGCAACGCTAGTGGAGTAAATCACCTTTCAGCGGTGCAATACCTACGTAACAAGATCACGTACGCATTTAACAATAATTCAGAAGCGTTTCGACTTTTAACACACCGCACAGCATTCGCCTGGCTCTCCTAGAGAGAGAAAATGACTCGGGCGTGCGAGGAGCAACTGACAAGCGGGAAAGTGGCCACGTGATGAGCCGATGCCAACAATTTCCCAAGCTCTGCGGTCCTCTATATGTGAAGGTGTCATCGGCCAATTAACCCGGAAGATCCCACGCACGCGACGGGGAAACACTCCATGCCATGCACACATACGCAAGGGTCAAGGGTGAGGATGGAAGGGGGCAGCCAGAGGAATGGAACACAGCGGAGAGGAAGCCAACGGAGGAGCGGCACGACACAGAAGTTGTTGACGAATGCTTAATCAACACTCAATGGTAATAGATAGATATATTCATTTAAATATCGCGATATGCGCGTGCTTGCAGCCTTTTAGTATAACACGTAGGCTGTGTCGGGTGGTGGCGGGTTTAACGACACATTTATATATTTACGCAATCTAACCCAGGTATCCCTCGAGACTGGTTATAAAGGACTACCTGGTCGACTGAAAGAAGGGTGTCCCCTTTAATTTGTGAGCAGCCAAAAAGAAGGGCACACTGAGCCCGGGAGTTTATTTGTCAAAGAGGAAAACTTAAGCGTTTGGATATTTCTACACGAGACTTTTGAGCTTTTGTAATTTGTCCGAAGTAAGAAAGAAAGAAAAAAAAAACTCATGACGACTACTTTTCTACCTCTGTCATCCGCAGCGCCAAAACAAATCCGTGGCGATGGATATCTTTGCCTTAACAAAATATTATGTCGGTTTCGGAACGGAGGTGGACACTGAGCAATGACTACGGTCTGCCTCCGAACACAATAACAACCCGGCCAGTGCGGCCCTTCCGTGGCTCCAAACCAAACGGAGCGTTGCAAAAATTGCAAATAGGCTAAAGGGGGGGGGGGGGGGGGGGTGGGGGCGGGGTGGGAAATGCTCGCCATCTCATGCTTGCTTTCTAAATTGTCTTTTTTTGCGAATGGCAAATCGCAGTGCCAAACCTCCCGGTGCTGTGTATTTGAACGTATATTGGCGGTAGACCAGTGTTGCGATATTAAATAACAAAAAAAAAACTATTATAAATTATATGAAATATATTACAAAATATATATCGTAGAAATAAAAATATTTAAATAATTCCAAATAAAAAACACTTATGTTAATAAAATAAACAGTAAAAAAAAACATCATACCTAATAAGATAATAAAGAGCACATTTTTCGCAAAACTTACTTATTTTCTCGAGGTCAGAAAATCTTGCAGGGTGGTGGTGCGTCAACATCAGTTCTCGTGACATCGAAGCGCTGGGAAGACGAACGTTCTAACGTGGCAACTGATTGGCTGTCTCCGTGTTCCAAAGGCAGGTTTCACTCCTCGTGTCCTCGACCTGGTTCGGATGGTTCGTCGATTCATTTCCGAAATAATTTCTTGGCGGACGGTGGCATCAAAAAATCATGACTCATGGTGTCACGCGTTCGAATGGGAAAGCAGCTAAGGCAACTTCTGATGGAGAGCCTGCAGCTCACTCGATGGCAACAGGGAAATCGTCAAGACTTTTTTTGAGGACCGGTGTGCTATGCTGCACTGGTTGTACCGCCAATACGTCCATTTGTTGCTCAACACATACACGATGAGGTCACACACATTGCACACGAAGTGCTTGCCGCAAATGAACCACAACACCTTGTTGATCTCGTAAGGGCACAGACACCGTCACGCAAACTCCGGTCATCCTCGCAGTGAATTTTTGGCTCGCCATCGAACAAAGGCGATCACCGCATCGCGCATTTTGAGATGCCCTTTTGCGGCCATCTGGAACGCTCTTCCTTCCAACATCAGGAAGCCACTGGAATGATGCACTTTAAAATCTAGATTGACAAACTCATTTCGTATTTACTGATTGTTTTGTGTTCAGTTTGTTGTCCCTCCCCCGTACCTCCGATTAGCACGGTTGGTTAGGTACGGTGCGAGCGAAGAGGCACATTTTCAGAAACGTCTCTTGGCATCTTCAAATTGAACCGTTTGTGGAGATGCACGCTCGGCTCGCAGAGGGCCACTGTGGATTGAGGATTGCGACCGCTCGCGCGCGATTGGTAATCCTTGCCCGCGATCTCGTTTGAGAGGCAAAGCGAAGGCGCCGTCGATGACGATCCGCGGGTGATGGCGGCGGCGTCGTGTGATCGGACGTCGTGCATCCAACTTCAAGTCAGCGGGTCCACCGCGCTTGCTCGTTATCACGGTGGCGAGATGTTAACTACCTCTCCTGGTGCCCCCCCTCCCCCTTCCTCCCTCCCCGTCCCTTTCTTTCCCACAGTGTGTGAGTGATCTTACCCTTTTCCCCTCCCCATATACATCTTCAAGTCCCCCGCTGGTGGTCCCCCTCTGGCATGGGGCAGTGAGCCCAATTCTCCCCCTTCGCATAGCCCTGTTGCGCCAAAGTCGGGCTGCTGATCGCGGAGTTTCTGTTCCCACCCCCCCCCCCCCCCCCCCCCCCCCCCCGCCCTGTTTTGTGGTTGGCGATGTGTATCGGCCTCAGGTTATATACAGGAGGTCGTGGGTTCGATACCGACCCTGACGCCTGTTGTATATTTGGAGTTTGCATGTTTTTCTCCGGCCCCCTCCAGTTTTTTCCCCTCCACATTTAGAATCGACGTGCGTTAAGAGTATTCGGCTGCTATAAATGTCCAAACCTGACGATAAGCCACTTCGTGGGGCTATAATTTTGTGATGGCCAGGTCGCTTGTGAAAAATCGCTACATAGTTCAGTGGGCCAAACCTGGCAAATAACTAAAAAAAAAATGCATCGCTTAAGAGCGCATTTTATGGGCTCGTGGAAAATCGCCCGATGGCGCACGGCGATGTTTTTGACCTGCGAGTTGGAGAACGGCGCGCAGCTTGATCAGCGCTCGCTCGCGACGCACTTCGCATCGCGGCCACGGGCTCGCGCACCGCCGACTTTTGCAATCGCCTCCTCGGCGAGCGGCGCATCGTTTGTCCGCCGGAGCCGCGCGCTCGACTCCTTTCCCATGTCGGTTCCACGTGCGTCGAAATGTTGTTGTTGTTGTCGACGCGATTTGGTGCCAAGAACGAGCTGAAGGAAAGGAGCAATATGTTTTGGTTTTTGATTCCACGGAACGTACCTTGTCCCCCTTTTCACCCTGTGGTCCCATTGGTCCTGGGAACCCCTGCAGAGAGAGAGAGAGAGAGACTTGTTAAAACGCAACATGTATGTTGAATCTCTTTTGCGCCGTGTGTAGCCAACCGTGACTTATCGGAGTGCACGGATGAAGGACAACAAACGAAACACAATGGGCAATTCTAAAGAAATTCGTTTTTCAATCTAGACGATGATTTTAAAGTGCATGGCTCCAGTAGCTTTCCTAGTATGGGAAGGAAGACCATTTGCAGATGGCCGCAGAAGCGCATCTGGTGCGGGAGAAAGGAGAACACGTGGTTGAAGCTGCAATAGCTCATGCTTCTGCTTCCCAACGATATTCAAATCGCGCCATTACAGTCGCCGAGACAAAGTAATTCCCATTTGGAGCTCAGAGAACTGCCCTGGAACATGACGCCACAGAACTACTTATGAATTCACGTCGATGAGCGGTTGGGCATGTTAATTAAAACACGTAGACTTTCATGACCAGCATTATGATTCACAAGTGATTTCGTGTGTCGTAAACCCTCCTCTGCCCGACTAAGCAAATTAATGAAGTTGCCACGTGACCACTACAATACCACTCCACGCACAAAAACAGCGAGCACCTGTGAGAATGCCACCACACGGCACACACCACACACACCACATGCTTTGTATCCCCAGAGCTAATATTTACACACTGCATCAGGTGCTCATTTGAGGCTGAGTTGACCCTAGGGGAGGCCCAGGAACGGTTCAGATAATTGGCAACTTGTGTAAGCCGTGAGCGGGAATCAAATTTGGGTCACTGGGTTCGTACACTACCGCTCCCCAAAGACAGATATCCTTCCGTATAGCCAGATTGTTGAGGCAAGTGCTGAAGGCCGGCAAGGCACGAGGGGGTGGGTGGCCAGCAACATGCCCGGCCGCCTTTGTCTCCCCAGTGCCGATGTTTACACATCGCACCAGGTACTCATTCAAGGCTGAGTCGACCATAGGGGTGGCCCAGGATAGGTTCAGATAATCGTCACTGCTGTTGGCCGTGAGCAGGAATCGAACCCGGGTCGCCGGGTTCATCCATTACCGCTCCCCACACACACACTCGCTCATACGTTAAATTATTATCTATCACAGTCGCCTCCCTCTCTACTCGGGCAGGAGAAACTTGCAGCTAGGATCACTGCCCTGGCTCTGAGGCAGTCTTATGGGCATGCTGGGGATAACACACAGAGATTAGCACATCAAGTGCATCCAGTACTCACGGTGTAGCCTACATCTCCTCGGCTCCCCGCCAGCCCCTCCACACCTTTCATGCCCTGGGGAGGAAATCAGCATCAGCATGGCCATTGCAACGGGCGACCACTCAGAAGTTTCCCGGCAGTGCTCCGTGGCCCGTAATGCAATCTGTTATTAACGTCGGCTTTGGCTGCGGCTTAGCGCAAATGACCCGCGAGCGATTCCTTGGATACGGAAGGGGAATTAAAGCGCATATCGCCGTGACGTCTCCTGCGCTGGGTCTAAATGCAGCGAGCACTTTCTCGAATATCAAAGAGGCAGAGTTGCAGCAGTTCTGTTGAATCAATTAATCCATCCAGCCGCTTGACTACGCGTTGTTGTATTTTTTACATCCTTTTTACTAACAATGTTCTGCTCCTCTTCCCGACAATTGTATTCCAATTGCGCCCTCCGATTTGGTAGCTCTCCGAAAGTGTGTCGTTTCCGGATCGTTCCGCGCATCGTCGGGCGTTGCCGTCAGATGTGTCGCTGCACATGCTTGAGTTGGGGAGGTGGGGGGGCACCTTCAGTATAAGAAACATATTCAAGAGCTTTTCCAAGCACATGCAGCGAAACGTCGGACACCGTACGGCCACCGAAAAACACGCCGATGAGCGGCGGTGTGTAGGCTATTGAGAGTAAGGGGGGCACTCCCCTGATCTAGATTTTGGGGTGGATGCCATGCTGAGGGACTGAGCTGAGGTGTTGTGTGACGTGGAGGGTCATAAGGAGGGTGTGTCTGGTTCATGTGGTGCATCGGCCAGTCGTCTCAGTCGGTCAACTCATGGCACCTGGGTCTATTCCGTAACCTCCTGCCAGCGGGCGTTCGACGCTTCACGTGGCCTAACCGTCCACATAGCCTGGCACAAGCGCCGTGGTGACGTCACCGCCACTTAGTGGCGAATGCCGGTTGTTGTTGTTGTGTCTGGTCATTATTGCAGGCACGCAAACGCTCCTTGGAAGAACACTTTTAATTAAAGCGTTGTTGCCGTTTCGCAAAACCTCTGGTGCTTATCTGCTGTGGAGTCGCCTCGCTTCTCAGGAGGACGGAACGCAAATGCACAGAATCGACTCATTGTTTCCCAACTTCATCATTTGATATTGTTGTCTATTTAGCCGACCTGTCCGCCCGCTTGTCACGATTCACGAGAGGAGAGGGACAAGGCAGGCCGCATGCGGCTAGTTAAAAACTATTTCAAAATAAACGATGTTTTATTTTAGCAGGTAAGGCCCACTGAGCTATGCAGCTCTTTTTTCAGAAGCGACCTGGCTGTCACAAACGACGGCTCAATCTTGTGGCCGATTTGCGGCTTCGCGCCCCACGTGGACGATAACAAGCCAGTGCAGGGAATAATTTGCAGAACTGCTTCTGAGATGACTCCAAGGCACCCTTTTTAGCCACACAACGGAGAGCGACACACTTCCCCGTGCTCCCGTATTGAACCAACGTTCTTGGATTATCATGTGGTGCAATTATCGCGCGTGTAATTATCACATGTAATGATCACATGGTGCAATTATCGCAAGGTGTAATTATCACGTGTGTAATTATCACGTGGTGTAATTATCACCGTGTGTAATGATCACGTGTGTAATTGTCACGTGGTGTAATTATCACATGGTGTAATGATCACGTGCGTAATTATCACATGTAATTATCACCGTGTGTAATGATATCGTGTGTAACTATCACATGGCGTAACTATCGCCGTCTGTAATTTGGCAAGTTTAAGTGAGTGGAAATAAGAAACAAAAACAGATCTGGTATGATGAATGTCTGCGCGGCCATTGTGGTGACCGGCTCCGAGGCCCATCGACTCACTGCACCAGAGAACACAGCCGCAGGGCCTCGACGGCCTCCACCTCGATGACCGTGCGCTCAAAAGACGCGCGCGTGCCACGAACGAAGCCATCGGCGACGGCGGAGACAGGGTCCGCACGCGCACCGTGCGGTTGCGGTGTCTCACCTGAGGCCCCATCGGACCGGCAGAGCCTTCTTCTCCCTCAAAACCGGGGTCGCCTGACAACCGGAAGAAGCATGGACGGTTACAAACATGGCGGGCACGCAAAAAGACAGTGGCTGACCTTAGTTTGGTGTAGCTTTTAAATCGTGCGCTCAGTGCACTGCCGGGTTGGTCACACTTGTCGTTCGAATAGTAGGAGGGGGGCAATGCATTGGTCAATCGATTGTTAAGTCCGTGTTGAGCGCGTACGTGTCTGTATTCAACTGCATGCTTTAGCTGAAAAACGCAGCATGTTGGCACAGTCGGGGGGACAGGTGGTGCACCTGCCAGTCGGTCTCAGTCAGGTCAAACCATGGCACCACATGGGTCTGTCCCGTGACCTCCTGCCAGTAAGGCTTCGACACTTCACGTGGTCTCAAAGTGCACATTGGCCATGCACAAGCGAAGTTGTGACGTCGCCGCCACTTAAATCGCGAATGGCGGCCGTTGTTATGCTTTCGTTAAGGCAAGGTCCCAAAGCAACCAAAAGTCTCTTGATTCAAGGGGAAGCCTGGGTCACGAAATAAAACAGTAAACTAACCCTCAATATGATATAACAATATGTTTTACTCTTTCTGGCAATAAAACAGGTGTCAAGATGTTAAAACACCAAACAGAATCCTTAATTTGATTTAAAGCTTTCGTGACTGCAGGGATTCATATTCTTGGTTATTTCGGTAAAGTCACGTAGAAGGGAAAGAATAAAATAATAAAAATATAAAACAATACAATTCTCACGACGTGACTTTAACGAAAGAATCAATAAAAATAATCCTTATTAACATTCGATAAAAAGTGGCAATTTAACAGTATCAATACATTTACAAATGTAGCTTAATTTCCAATTACACGATTTTGCTCTATGATGCAGGGAATTTATCATGTGTATGAATGAATGCAATGGGCTCACATTGCCCCTGCAGCCACTAGAGGTGTTTACATTAACCGGCATAATAAACTATAAATAAATAAATCTCAGAGTTTTGGGTTGAATGGCAACCCCTAACCATCAAAAACTTAATCAAATCGCCATGGGGGGTTGTATAATTATTCCACTCCTACCCTAATTACATCAATACGCCTTAGCAATGAACATCCCAAGATAGCGTGACAACGTAATTCTGTGTGCTAATCTAAGTACGGTCATCAGTCGAGTTATGACTACAACCACGCACGAAATTGTATTTACCAGAGAGCCACCCGTTCCACCAGTCCCGGATTGTCCAAACAGCCCGAGGTTTCCCTGCGTTGGGTGAAAGTTGGGGGGGGGGGGGGGGGGTGGCGGGGTGGGAGAGAAATACGCATCGGAGGGAAGGCATCGACGTGTTCACACCAGGATGAATTTGCCGCGTTTTCCCCTTCCAATCTGCGCCTTGCCGATGAGCGCACAACCCAGGGGCAACAGCGCGACTGCGATTCACAGAGCGCTTGCGGCCTGGCAAACCACCAGCAGACGTAGCCTGTTTCTGCTCGGCGATCAACAGAAAGCAATGACGACACGTCCGGGAGAATTTTGGTCTAAAATTGCCCCGTTTTTTATGATTTGCATAGACGGAGTAACAGATCGCTTTATAAAAATGGAATCGTTCCTGAGACGTGGCCATTTACCGGCTCTCGCACGCTGCGTTTTTTTTTATCACGGTCAGATTCTGATTGTAACTGGTCTCTGATCGGATGGAATCCATCACGTGTAGCTAATTTTACATTCATAGTGATTTTCCGCTCAAATCAGCAGCATCGAGGTGGTTTACAGCTCTGAGCCAGCCGTAGGAAATTCCACAATCCTATGGCAGGGGTGAGTGAACCATAGGACAACCACTGCTGGCTGGTTGCCTTCTCCGCACAGTGGGGTAACTTATTTGAATCAATCCCAACCGGCCCAAAATCAGGATTTGAACTCGGTCTAATGCCGGGGCCTATTTTTTTTTACATTGTAGCTTCTTGACAATAACCCTCTGCGATTGGACGATGTCTGTCACGAACTGCTTATTTTCAACGGATCCAAACTGCCTTCACTTAGCCCCGAATGCATGTATGCAACAAAAAACGCAAGGCACGTGTGTACAATTGTCGATTCTGTCCGCAAGTTGGACACATTTTTTTATATTTCGGAAGGACATGTGCAATTATTTTTGTGTCCACCCTCGATTGATTTTTTCAAACATCTTTTATTCAAAGTGAATTGTACAGAGAGGGGTACACGCACACACACACGCACAAGTGTAGTGTCAGCCCACTTGAAATTCTCAGGAAATGCATGCTTAGCGAGAGCGGTAGCAGAGTGTACATTCGCTAACTGCCAAAACACTTTCCAGTCAATATTAATCCATAAAGGGGCGACAACAACAAAAAAAAACCTTTTGTGGGAATGGCCACAATTTTCGCCGAGGTTAAATGACAACTCGTTAAAACCTCATTATTTATTCAAAGTTTTAAAAAACAATTATGGTGGGGGGAAAAGGCACGGCGGTGAGAAGGGGCTGTAAATGCTAAGAAGTGAGGCAAGCCCGGCTTTAAATTATTAAGCACAAGAAGGAAATTACTGTGATGGGGGAAAAAAACACAACGTGAAGCGTAATTTCAGGCAGTTTACCTGGTCACCGTCAGGCCCCAGCTCTCCCTGGAGTCCAACAAAGCCCTTTGACCCCTAGAAAGAATAAAGAACAATGCATTATTTAGTGTCATTCCTGGAATCTTGGTATTGCTGCATTTGTCTTACATATGGAAAACGCTCGGGGGCATCTTGGAAGTTCACTTTTACATTATATTCGGGTTTGAAAAGCGATTGTCCATTTTGCCATTGGAGCAGCGTGCACTGCTGCGTAAACGCTATTTGTATTCATGAAGCATCTGGACGTGGTTGCGTCTCAACAACACGCCGACGTGACGCAACGTGGAACTTTGTACGGCGGCGGCGTTAACGCAGCCGCATCTACAAGGGCTGCGCGGGGACGGCCGAGAAATTCTTCATTTCGTGGAGGGAGGCAGCCGCAGGTGTTTCTGTCTGTGTCCGTGCACAGAAAGGGACGGACGTGTGCCCCTTGAATGTTCAAGAGTAACAGGGAGACGAGAGCATCCGAAAGCCCAGATGCTCGATTCGGACTCTCCGGTTTATCCGCGGACCGTTGTGTGCGGTGGAACTGACCATTAAAAATTCGCTCGCTTTGAAAAGCGCGCTTCCTTATGATTGAATTCGGACCCTCCGCGGTCAAATCGGGCGACATGAAAGATGCTCGGTAGATCCGAGCGGCAAATTTTAAACGCTTGCAGAAAACGTGAGTAAAAAAAAAGCAAAGCCAGATTGTGACGATTTTCTTTCGGCCGTCGGAGGCGCGCGTGTCCGCTACTTCGGCGGGCGCGCGGCGCGCGCATCGAAGCGGCGACATTAAGGCCGTGGCTGCCGAAGGTTTGAAGAATAAGGCTTCGCATTCGTAGGGCTCATGCGAATTGAGAGGAACGCCTTTCTAAAAGTTGGGCCATCAAGCAGTCTGGTGCAACTTGCCTCTCGCGCACAGCGCTGAACAGTAAGGTCAGCGGCGACATTTTCGACACGGAATTCGTGGCCCCTAACAGCGGCTCTCTCGAACTCCCTCTCGCGGGGAGAGCCCTTCCGCCAGCATTGGCGCGAGCGGGCAATTGCAGGGCTGCGCCTTTTAGGTCTTCCCGTGCTCTGTCCCGTATCTGTATAAGTACGTACGGCAGCCGAAATACGTTCGCATCGTAACGCCACCGAGACATTTCTATTTTTATTTTACAACTGAGAAATGTGACCTTGTAATTTTTATTTGTCCGTTGTTTTTCTTTCTTTCCAGTTTATGTACGTGTAGCTCAGTGGGATTAGGAGCTTTCGAGTGTGAAGTGAACACGTTGGTGGGCTTTTCTTTGTCTGTGCTGAAATAAAATCGTGATTTGATAACAGCGATCCGGGGAGCCCGTGGAGGAAAAAAACATTTTTTACAACGATACACAAACTGGTGCGTTTGTTTATTTTCCTAACAGTATTGCTCCGCAACAGCCGCATAAGCGAGGTTTTTTTTTTCGTTCAACAAAACTGTCGTGGATTGCTTTTTTGTTTTGTTGAATGGCACCCCCCGCCGTGATGACCGAGACCTCTTGCCAACGACACTTCTATTGGCAACCCAGCAGTGTGTGTTGAACGGGCCTGCCTGCAGAAAGGGGGGCTCAAAAAAGTCTAAACATGCTCGAGTAAAGTTGGACAGGTTTAAGCAAAAACGCTGCCAAATATGATTGACCCGTAAAACTGTGGAGACACGAATGGAGGAGCATTGATCTATTTTGCATGACGACAACAGTGACACGTGTATTTGCATGCAGTGTGTAAATGCAGTCGCATCGCAAGGCCCTTAAAAATAGAACTAAAACATACTTCATGGTACAATCGGTGTAAGGCTCCAAACATTAAATTGTATTGAGTGCAGAAGAGTTCCCTTTGTTACTTCCCTACCTTGTCTCCTTTTTTTCCAGTGAGGCCCATAGGCCCAATTGGACCAGGATATCCCTACAGACACAGTTATAAAACACACACACACACACACAAACACTTAAGACGTCTTGCAACGTCCACAACGGAACAAAAAGCATCGCTTGCGCCTTGTTAATATTTCAGGTTGTTGGCCGCCCGCAGCTGGAAACACGACGAGGAAATGCGCTTGAGGAGCAGAGTGGAAGCTGCTCGCAGATCTTTTTGCTGGGCCTCATCCGGGGCACTTGGTCAACATGCCAATCGCACGAGAAATGAAAACCGAGCAGGGGCTGGCCTGGGTTAGCGTTTCGATTAGGCGGCCGCACAGCGCATGCCCTAGGCGTATGACTGCAACTGATGCGAGGTCCCGTGAAGGCTGCGGTACGGCGATGGCTTCGGTCCAGAGGGAGATTTGGTCCACTCAACGGGTTGAGTGCGTCTGTGCATTGATTTTATGGGTCCGGCCTTGGGTTATATGCGTGTATGGGTTTTTCCAAGTGGTTTCCCCACACCAAGGTGAATATTCACGAATGGACTCGGCAAAAAATCGCAGGGCAGGAGCATTATTAAAAAAAGGAGTTTGAAGACTCAATCAGGACTCATTTGTTAACGAGTGGCTTTTGAACCGAGGGATGGTGGTTCAGATGTATTTGTGAAATTCCAAAATCCACTCGGCTATAAGGTGGGCAGGAGATTGCAAGAACTGCAAGTGGGTTCCTAGTGCACCCGTGTGGATTCTTGAGGGGCGTTTACTCATAAGAGTCTACATCATCCAAACCACCCTGCTGAAAAGGATCATGCCAAACATCCTACTGCCAAGCCTTGAGACTCAGTGAGTCGTATCTGGATAAAACAATTTCGTCTGTTTCTTCATATGTTATGCTTAGCAGGTACTATGTTTCATATTCCTATTAAACTTGATGTATTTTAGTGTTTGTTTTGATGCAGAATGCTGAATTCTTCATGCTGAAAATACAAAAAGCATAAATTCACGTGTCTAACAATACAATGCATGCTTTTTATAAATTATCTGGAAAGTATGTGACAATTCACCTTCAGGTCAATAGAATTAGGCAAGATACTAATAATAATTTACATTTGTAAGGCGCATTTCATCCGTAGATACCTATGTGCCATGCGTGGAAAGCAGGAAATCAACGGAACCAGGATAGATTGCCAGAACTCGGGATTAAAGGACAATTAAAATCGGTGAGTTTTCAAGAGAGGCATCAATAGCGCTCACGGCTCAGTAGTAGAACACGAGACGGACAAAACAAGAGTGATGGCACAAACAAGATGGAAACAAATTGATTCAGGAATCAAAACGTGGCCCCCGAATGCCGACGATCTATCGAACTGCTGGGGGAATTGGATTATTTCTTGTGACTCGCTTTGTTTGAATCGACACACACTCTGTGTTCAATAATTAAACACCAATAGCCAAACAAGGAAAATGAATGCCGAACCGCTTGCTCGTTCCGAGATTCGACGATGAACGGGACCCAACCTGCAACTTGGAGTCTTCTCAGGACAGGAAACGGTTAATAATTACATTAACAAATAAACACACGGTATAGTCATGTCTCGTGGCATGCCAGGCGTGATGGGAGGACCGATACTCCAAGGGTCACAACGATTCCATTTGGTGATGCTTGCTATACCTGCCGGCAAAAACGTCGGAAAACATTGAGGCGGTCATAAATCGGCACGCTTGTTTACCACGTGATAACTCTATTCACTGGACGTGTCTGGTGGAGGAGGCTTTAAGAGGCACATTTTTGCTCACGGGCGGGTGATCTGACCCCGACGAACTATCACGAATCTGAATAAAAGGTCGCGAAACCCTGCTTCGTGTTAAAGTCACCTACCGCGCGCATTGTTGTACGTAGTACGTATGTTGACGCGGCTGTTGTCGTTTGTTGTTGCTGTTGTCACTATTCTAATTATTACTGCCATTGGGATGGCTTAGCTAACAGCGCACCGCGGCCTCCGTGAAGAAACAAGTTTCTCAGCCGCCACTTCATTACCTTGGGTCCATGGGGTCCCACCTCACCGGTGGCGCCAAAGCCCCCTTGCTCTCCCTGTGGTAAACAATCGGGGAAATAGGACAGAGGGACAGAGAAATAAACAACACCACAACCGATTGAAACCAATACTCGGGGCTACGGAGACAAATGAAGAAAGTGACGACATTTATTGAGCGGTAACAGAGGCAGGGTCCACAGGGATCTGGAAAAACGCAGAAGCGGCAAACTTTTAAAATTAAATTTTCAAGTGGCAATGCAAGGCACAGAGGTAGCACGCGACACGCAACTGTGTGCGTTCACAATGAAGGTTATTTTTTTTAGTTAGATGGCGCGAATATACATGTGTCGTTAACCTGCCACCACCCGGCCAATTCGTAAGGTTTGTCACATAAGCCAAACGAGCCATATTAGTTACTACTTCAGCACACCGGTGTGTTGGAGAGCAAATCCACAACATTCAGAATTTGGGTACGACGTTTCGCTGGCAGGCACGACACATTTATACTTACGAGATCTAACCCAAAAAAAACTTTATTCTGAATAATATTGGCAGCGAAAGCCATACGTGTAAAACTGCGTGTGTGTGTGGTGTGTGCATGGATGCTTCAGTGAGGCTGCAGTCTCAACTGATTTGAATGTATCGATGCAGTATGTATATTGAGAGGGAGGACTGATAAGGACTTAGATACCAATATTCAAATCTATCAGCCTAAAGGCCTACATTGCTCTAAGTCTCCTGTGAAACATTCACACATGTGCGATCTCGACCATCAATGAACCAAGCAGTCTTCTTCCTATGGGGTGTGAGGCTAAAGCCAAGAAAAAGCGAGCAAAGTCTGCTACTGATAAATAGCACAGGATAAAAATTGTACCAGTCTTGTTGCTGTAAAAATGAACTTGGATGCTTCCCAGATTTTTTGATTGATCCGAATTTATTGGATGATTCTAAAAAAAATCAGTTGTTTCGAACTGATCGGAAATATTAAGTGATGTCATAGGAAGTGACATCACTTAATTAATATTAAAATTAGTAAAACGATTACAGTGTGTGCATGAGAAATGAAACCTATTCACATTTATCACATCTCAATCCCCAAAATGCAACAAAATTCCAAAAAGGCCTCATCTTAAATTTAATTGCAAGTATACACAAAGTGTTGCCTTTACGCATTTGCAAGCTTCACATTCAAACAATATTTTTTTCCCCATCAAAAGAGGCTCTAATAAAGAAGACGGTCGTTAGCCCGCAGCGTACATAACGCGGGATTGCGACTCGCCCTTGCTCGGTGATCATCAGCAAGGCACGATCACTCGCGTGAACACCTCGGGCGATAAGCACGCACGCTGTGGCGGGGGGGGGTCGTTGAACGAGCAAATGCGGGGCGGGGGGGGTGGGGGTGGATTTGTGTCCAGTGGGAATGCAGCGGCCACAAAGACGACTGAACACACGGGCGAAGCCATGGAGGAAAGTAACTTGCCGTGAGGCCACCGTCCCCGGTTCTCCCCATGGCTCCTTTAAAGCCTCGGTATCCCTGCGAGAGAGACAGAGAGGGAGGGAGAGAGAGAATAAAGAGAGACGAAAAAAAAGGCGATATAAATAAATGCCAGAGAATATAATTAAAATATGTAACTAAAAACAAATCACTCATTTCACTCCTTAAATTAAATTCTGCCCATTTCCGCGAGTCATCAAGATCTGGCATATATATAAAACCCAAACACATTTGCATAAATTATCACGGAACTGTCCAACGGCCCAGAAATAAATGAAATCCCAGTTCAGAGAGGTGATTACACAGATTTTCATTGCCCCTCATTAATAAACATGAGGTTGATGGAACCATTAAGGGTCATGTACCTTGAACAAAATTATTTAACTTTTAGTCGCATTAAACTTATATCAAAAAAAATTATTTAAAAGTACCACCATTACCGTCAGTAATAAATTAGGTGCGAGAGCATTCCACAGAACCCGCTTCTGTCGACGTGTCTTTTACGTCCCATTAACGAAATAGAGTTGGGATGTTACCCCGCACCAGAGCCTCGATACCTGGCTCTGTACCAAACCCTAACTATTGCAACCGGCCCCTGTGACGTCCAAATTGCCATAATCCAGTTGTCGAACCGCCATCCGCGCGCGAATAAAATGACTTTTGTTCCCAGGCGCCTTGGTGAAGCGGCCGCGAGTTCAATTCCAGGCCACGGCTAACTTCGGCGGCGAGGTGATAGCCGAAACCGATCCTGCCTCCACCCCACCACGCCTCTTTACCAGCCCACACTGACCAGCATGGTGAAGTATGGTGATATATATATCTGATTCTGCTTAGGATGTTCTCTGGCATGGGTGATGGGTGTGTCGCAAGGGCTCTCCGCGAGAGCACTGAATGGATTCGTCGCTTCGGGGCACGACGCTGGTCCCTGTGCTTACCGCTCGACCTTGCTTCCCGGGGAATCCAGATTCTCCCTTGTTGCCTTTTGGACCCCTGGTTTCAAAGTAAAAAAAAACATAAAACAAATAATGAAATATGAAATACGGCACAACGGTGCAAAGCCTGCTGCTCAAACGACGACAACAGGAACAAGAAGAGCACACAAGTGACGTCATCACATCTACCCCTCTATTTGAGGAACGAAACAAGAGGATTTCTCCACAAATCTGGCTGTCGCCTGATGAAGCTAGTCGTAGTTACTGGCAAAACGTCGTGCTCAGATTGTTAATATTGTGACTTTGCTCTCCAACACACCGGTGTGCTGTACCAGTGACGAATTGGCATGTTCTGTTTACGTCACAAATCTTACTAATTGGCTGTCGGGTGGTGGCGGGTTTAACGACACATTTAGATATTTACGCGATCTAACCCAAAAAAAAAACCACCTGTATTATGGATGTAATATATGTGTTTGTTAATCTTGTGATGCTCAGAGCTGTTGAGTATCAAGCAAAACAACATTTTGTAAATGAGAGCATAGGCAAGTTGAATGTCTCCCAGGGGACACGTCGCACACAAACTGCATGCCAATGAGGTGAAGAGACGCCACTGAAGGCACGCACGTTTTTCACGCTCTAAGGCTGGTGGTAACGACGACGAGCGAGATCATATTTTTCCTTTGGTTTGAATTATTTAAAATCCTGCCCGAAGCTTGCTCAAGAAAACAACCGTGGGTAAACATTTGTCCGTGGAAATGCACTTTGTGTAGGTCGGTGTGTGTGTGGTCAACTAGTCGACCCATGCCCCTTGGGGAGCGGTAGCGTAGTGGTTAGCACGCTGCTATACGAACCTGGCGACCTGGGTTCGATTTCCACTCACGGCCAACACCAGTGACAATTATCTGAACCGGTCCTGGGACTCCCCTAGGTCGACTCAGCCTTAAATTAGTACCATGTGTGGTGTGTAAACATCACCACTAGGGAGACAAAGGAGGAGACAATGGCGGCCGGGGCGTGGTTTTAGCCACCCACCCCCTCATGTGACGTGCCGGCCTTCATACGTGCTATTAAACACCACTTGCCCTAACAATGTATTAAGGCTATACGGCGGGGATCTTTGCCTTTGCGTGCGATCGGCCAGTCAACCAATGGCACCTGGGTCTGTCCCGTGACCTCTTGCCAGCGAGCCTTCGACACTTCACGTGGCCTCGAAGCACACCTAGCCTGGCACAAGCGCCGAATGGCGGCTGTTGTTGTGCGGTGCTTGGGCCTCGACTCATTCTTAAATGAGCCACGTGGCGCGGTCGGTAAATATCAGCAGTGGGAAGAAAAATTCGGCTGTGGGTGGTGCTGCTGCCCCTTCACGGTTACTCGCGTACGCAGCTAACCTATTTCTACCCAAAATGTGCTAACATGCAGCTTGAATTCACCCTGCGTGTGGCTATCCAGTCGGACATGGGACAGCGTCGTGTGTGCAATATGTGTGTACTATGTGTGTACTGTGTTTGTACTGTGCGTTTGTACTGCGTGTGCGGTGTGTGCTACTGGGCAGGCAGCTGTCACCTTGCACGGCGGTTTCACTTTGCGTGCCCCTTGTTTGGAACGCATCTACTACTACGACGACCGCATAGGGCGAGATGTCAACCTGTGTACGCATGGCTAAAACAGCGCATTTCACATCGATCATAAAATTTCTACCTCTAAACGACAAACGACTGGGACGCAATGTGGAAACAAGAATATCTCACACGGTGCATTATAATTATTGTGATTATTACTACGCAACCGACAAAAACACAAACCCAGGCCTTTTCGCGTCGCCATAAGCCGTCGACTAGGCTTTCCTAGGGACGCCTACACCACATGAAGAGGGTGATCCAGAGAACACGTTTTTTTTGTTTGTTACAGCTGCCAATGCCGTTCATTCCGACGCGTGTGATCGCGCGCGTGTGCGCGTGTGATCGCGCGCGCGCGTGCGAATGCCTTTGTCCCAGGAAACCCCGGCTGTCCCCGGCGTCCGATCCGGCACGTGCAAGGCTCGGCGGCCGGCGCGGGCTGCGGCGACGGGAGCGGCGCCGGCGTCGGAGCCACGACGACTCGCGGGGCGCACTGGGGGGGGGGGGGGTGGGGGGCACGAAGCGGGCGTCGTGAGAGCGCGCAAACCAAGCGTGAAGAAGAAGGCGGCACCTCACCATGGCGGGGTTGAAGAACAACTTGAAGAAGATGGCAATAGCAATCTGTGCGGTGGTGCGTGCGCGTATTAGAAAAGTCTCATCAGGCATGTAGATGATCAATCGGTAATAATTATACGAGAGTAATTAATCTGTTTACACGGAAAAGTCTCGCCAGAATCTCATTAATTATTTCCTAAACTTTTACTGGATTTGAACAGTGTGACAAAATATGTGTTTGTTGATGCATACATTATGACACTTTTCGTTTATAAAATTATAAATGATATAAATAAAACGCTGCTTTCGGATAATTACTTTTTAATCAACTCCCCGTGCCAGTATTACTGTGCGTGGGAGCCGACTGCAGGGCACAAATTAAACTCGCGCAACGGACAAAAGAAAATCAAACAACCGCTCAACGCATGCGTCGAATGACAACAACAACAGCAGCAAACAAAATACTCGACGTGAATTTCACGTGCGTTGAATGGCTTCGTTTTTTTTTAATTCAGGTCAGTCCTCAATAAGCCTTACACACGAGCGTGAGAGTTGAACACCGGTTGCCGTGTCCTTAGCGGGCCCCTGCCAATGCTAGCGCGCACAAATTGTGGACGCTCACGTGGTGTGTGTGTGTGCAGGAGGTGGCACAAGATGCGCAACTCACCCTGGTGTCAATCTGAAACGGAGACACGCGGGCACAACGATGACACACAAAAAAACACAAATTAACAAAAAGATCAGCAACATATCTTCAAGCGTCCCCCCCCCCACTTTCACTGTTGCGCGACAATTATTATTTTACAATTATAATTCCTGCGGTCACTAAAGCTTCAAATCAAGTTTGAATTATTATTATTTTATCCGCGTCTCGCCGCGCGAGGCGAGCGAAGCAGTGCGAACGCCGCCAAGCGAGAACCCTCCCTGCCTGCAGCCCAAAGGACGACACACGGCTGAGGGTGCACGACTCCAGCTACCGACCACTACGACACCCACAGAGATCCGACGGAATTTCCACGATTCTCCAACGTGACGATTCCACTCTACATTTGTTATCTTTCTTTTAGTTATTAACAGTGAGTAAAGTGTAACGCGTAGTAAGCTATCGCGACCAGTATTATTTACAATAGATGCGTTTTTTTATGCGGGGGGGAGGGGGATATATCGAGTAAATATAAATGCTGTGTCGTTAAACCCGCCACCACCACCACCCGACGCAGCCAATTAGTCACGTAAAAAACAGTTCAGCAACACCGGTGTGTTGGAGCGTAAACCCACGACATTATCTAACCAAAAGATTATCTAACCGAAAGAACCAAAGAAGATTATCTAACCAGTGAGTGAAACGTAGAGCCCTCTAGCGGCTACCAGGGGTCCCGTGAACAAGTGGGCATGCAACGAGAGAGAATACAACGTCACGTGATTGAAAGCTTTCGTGACTGCAGGAATTCATCATTTTGGGTCTTTCGGTCACGTCGCGTAAATAAAACAAAATAGATCGTCTTCAGACGATCTGTTCGCCTTCACTTGAAGACGATTGCTTGTGTTGCGGTCGAAACGTCGTGATCTATTATTAGTATGAACAACGTCACGTACTTCAGGTTTACATTTGTTCCCACACTCCGGGCCTCGCGACCCACGGCCACGCTCCGTCCCCCCCCCCCCACCCCCGCTGACCAACGCACTCTCTCCATTCAAATACAAATTTCACTCAACGAACGCACCACGCGCCCGATGTTTGTTCGGCGCGTGCGACGTGATGCGCTAGGCAATTCCCGCCGTCCACGATTAATGGAGCGCATTCGCACACGAAGATCGAAAATCTGGGCGCGCGTGCGTGTCGCGCGCACGTGCTCTGCGTGACGCACGTAGAGTCGATCGCCTAGTGCGTCACGTGGGCCGTGTACATCAATCATCAGGCGTGTGCAGCGAGGAACGAGATCATTTGCACTGTGTTTGAAAGGGAGGTCAATTGGTAAAGGGGAGTAAATGTTGGAACGTGGAAACTCCTGATGACTCGATGGATGTATCATGGCTGGGAAGGTGGATTTCAATCAATGAATCAACACGTGGATACACGACTGCTCGATTCCTTTTTGTCTCATTTTGGACCACATCATGTCCGTATATTTTTGTTTGTTGATTACACTTCGTACAGTGGTTGTCCACGCCTTAACCCAAATAGTGACGTGGCGAAATAATTTGCATTGACTGCTAAATAATACAATTCCACTCGCATCTATCGGAATCGCGACAATTTCAACTGATACATCAACGCATTTGCCACGTGCTCGGTGGAATCAACGGTCGTCTGTGTTTGCACGAATCATCATCGATGCTCACAAGCGCCGCCACCACCTCGGAGGTACACAAAACCCGGGACGAGTCACGGAAATTAAAAAAAAGAATACCTCGCAAGGGCAAACGAGGGGAAAAGCGCACGAAAATACATTGCCTTGAGCAGCGCATTATATTACGCAACTGACAAACGCCAGAACTTGCAATGTCCCACACTACCGATTAGCACGGCTGGTGCGAAAAAAGTTCAACATACATACGTACCTACTTCCCGGGAAGACTTGCAGACTTCCCGGAAAAGCTCCCTCAATAAAAAAATATCGGTCAATTCTGGGAAAACCAGAACGTGTGGCAACCCCACTTCTTACCGGCACAGCGCTAATGTATTTTTTTTACTTTTTTTAAAATCAACTAATCGATGCACGTTTACATTCATACGCAGAGCTAACCCAATGCAGAGGTGGGGGGGGGGGGGGTGGGGAGTATTCACTGCTGTTGCTCAACAAAGATGACGAACCCGAGTCTGGGCCAACGCACGAGTGAACCTCGTCTGTCGGGGAGGCCAACTTAACACAGCGGGGAGGGGGCCAGACAGCTGCCAATGGGACCGTGGGATTCATTAAGGGGGGAGTCGGAGAGAGGGCAAGCTGGGACCTACTGCAGACGTGAACTTTGGATCCTTAATACAGGGCGCTTAAAAAATGTTAACACTTATACGGGACTATCGTTTTTAATGGAAAGTGAACGGATAATACACTGTAACATGATAACAAATTTATGTTAATAGCTTCAAAAAGTTAAAGAGTCTCCCACTTGTTCGCCATCGTTGTCAACACGTGTGCCTGGAATCTTCTCCAGGTGGGCTCCAGAGCCCGGAGGCAGCAGCACATGTCACGTGGTATTGTTGCAAATTCTCAGAAGTGTTCACATTTTGTTTTGAAGCACCCTGTATAGTGGCAACCCGTGGTGGGAACCGACAAGGCGAGTGGCAGCCCTAGGCGAGTGGCAGCCCTTTCTTTGATCCTTCCCCGGCGCCTCCGATTAGCACGGTTGGCTACGTACGGTGGGAAAGAAGTTCAACACACGCACACCTACGAGGAATGGGGAGGCCTTCATCTAAAGCAGTGGGTTGACAATGGGCCTTAGTATTGTTATTGATGTCGAGTCGGAGAGGTGAGTACGCACGTATGCGTGTTGAACTTCTCGCATTGTGCTACAATATAATCGTTGCCCCTACGTGAGTAGGGCGGTTGAGCCCAACCATCTTCCCTCTCCCCTGACCCAAGGGCACCTGGCCTCGGGGTTTGCTGTCCGCGGAACATCTGTAACCACCCACACCCTCTCCCACGTCGCTCGTGCTCATGTGCGCGTTGAACTTCTATCACGCCGTACGTAGCAAACCGTGCTAATCGGAGGTGCGAGGGTTGGGGGAGGACAGCAAACTGAAGGGTGCTTTGCACCGGCCTCTTGTTGAATCAAAACAATAATTACGACTGCAACAAAAGCAGCCCCTGCCACGGCGCCCTTCCGAATGGGTCAACGGAGGCGGCGGTTCCAGCGGCGGTGCTTACTCACCACGTTCGGTAGTTCGCAGCAGACCTCCAGCGAGGCCCTCTCGGGATCGCAGTACATCTGCAGCTGCTGCACGTCGATCTGCAGCCGGCACGGTTGGACACGCGATCGGGCGTCAGGTCGCAAAACCAGACGATGTCGCCACTTCATCGGCATGCAGAATTTTTTTTTGACGCTGAGTTGTGAAGCTCTTCCCCCCCCCCCGCCCCCCACGGATGTCCAGTAGGGGCACGGGGTCAGATCGTTACAACGACAAACAATAAAAAAAACACGGCAGGAGTGCAAAGTATAGGAAAGGTAAGCACATCACTGAACCACCTGTCGCCAAGTACTCCGCTGTGCTCCTCAATCAGCCCAACCATCGGGCCACCAGACCTCTGCCCCTACCTCCCTTCACTTACCCTCATCCATGCCCAGCCATAGCACCTATCTATCCTGCCACTTCACGCATGTGCCCTATACCTCCCGCTGTCTCTCATCCACGTTGCACCCATCTGTCACTCTCATTCATTATCACACTCCACCTTATTCCTCCTTCACTACCCCTTGCGACATCACGTGGCTCCATTTCCAGCCGCTGTCTCTCCATCCCTTCTAGTCACCTCCCTCGCTGACAGCCGCTCCACCCCACACGTTGCTCCCCTTTTGCCTCGGTGTGTACCGCCGTCGGTTTGCGTTGTAAAGAGCCCTAGAAAGGGCGGTGATACATTCTAAAATAGAATAGAATATCCGATTCTGAATGTGGAAGGAAAAACTGGAGGACCAGGAAAAAAATCCACACGACCACGGGGGAGAGAGAGAGACATGCAAAACTCCAAATATACAGCAGGCATCAGGGTCAGGATTGACCCACGACCCTCCTGTACACCAGGCGAGGTAGTTAACATCTCACCGCCATGGAGCCCCATATATGAAAGCAGTCACATTGGCAGTGGTGCCGGCTGCCTCTGCTGCAGAAGAGGACCCCGTTGAGCATCGTCGAGGCCTCCTGAGCAGTTTACCTGGGACACTGGCGAAGCAGACTGCTCGAATGTTAAGGTCTCGGCGTTGGCTGTCAAAACTCAGCCGGTAAGGGCCCCATCGAGCTCAGCAGCTCTTTGAACATGGACGGCCACAGCCCAAGAGGCGCGGGTGGTGGCAGCGGTCGCCCGCAGGACATCATTGCGGGTGTGCAATGTGCAAGCTAACCATCGCCAAAAACCAACAATCGTTTAGATCTTTCCCCTCCGCGTAGCCGTCGAGCCATTCGACCTGAAACCCCGGCCGACGTGCCGGCGGGGCGCGCGACGAACCGGAACGGTCGACCCGCCGGCCTGGCGCGCGACGACGGTGGGTGCCGCCTTTGACGACCGCCTCGTCCCTCGCTTCGGACACGTCGGACGAGCCGGCGGCGCGGCAGTCCACGAGCAGCGCCACCCGGCCGTTGGCGCGACGACAGCGCCAGCTTGTGCCACTTCGCCGTCGAAGAGCGCGTCCAGCCGGCCGGAAGGTGTGCCTCCCCGAAACGGCGCGACGAGAACTCGACGGAGCGCGAGGGGGCCGTCGACGAGCAGCGAGGCCTGCTCCTCGCCGTCGGGAGACCGCGCCGACCACAGGCTCCAGGGCGCCTCCGAGTTGAACCGCGATGGGCAGACGGCAGCGTGGGCCACCAGGGCGAAACTCGTTGGGCAGCCCGAACGGGTGGAGGGGGACCTGAATCAAGCGGTCAGATGGAGGCGACCACGATGGAACCGGGGTTTTAGCGATAGGTTCCACGGCACCTTCCCCACGGCCCCCCGCCGCCGTTGCGGCCTGGGATTCCCATTGGGTGCCTTGATGAGGGTCCAGCCAGCAGCAGTAGAAGCTGGGCCATAGGAAAAGGGTCACGTGCCAATCATCATCACCATTGCGGTCGGGATGGACATAATGACTAATTTCTCTGTTGTGATGGTGTTTTATTGTTGTTCGTGCCCTTTCTTATTTTGTTGTTTAAATATTTCTTTCTGAGGGGTTTTAATTTGCTAGGTAGTTGCTGTACAAGGGATGTGGCCATTATATATATTTAATGTACGGCGTTGTGGAATGCAATCAGCATGAATAAAACGCTCTCCAAAAGTTAAATTATCATTAATGTGTTGAGTTTTTTTTATTTGTGCTTGTTGGCACAACGACTAAGCGAGTATCATTAATTGTGGGACCTTTTGCCAGTATCAACAATGACGCAAAACAAGAATAGGCTTTACCCTGTCTGGCAACAGAACAAGGAGGTGTTAAAATGTTCGAACACCAAGTAACACACACCTCTTGCAAGGCATCAAGTCTGCACCAACCACGCGCACTTGTGGCAACAAAAAAAAAACATGCAAACAAACGTGCTCTGATAAAATATGCGTTGCCTTTGAAACTGATTGGCCTACGCCAGAGACAACCTTCTTCATGGCCTTGTCTCGCCACCACTGTTAAGACCACAATTTCCACCTGTGTCGCGACGCTACTGAGGTCCACGACTGAAGACGAAGAAAACCGAGGTATTCAACTCTTGGCACGCGTCAAAACCTCACGTGAAGGTATTCGTTGGGCCTCGTTGAGAGTGATTTTTTGTGAGCCCTTCCTCGCAATCAGGCAATGCATAGGAAGGGCGGGCGGCAGGGCCAGCGAGACACAGCGGAGGGCTATTACCCCCCATGTAGCCACACGGCCCTTGAGGTGCAGGGGATGGGAAATCAATCTCTTCTGGCCCATTGCAAGAGTGGGCCGGCCACCGGCAACGGCACTGCTCTTCGGCGGGACGTCCAAACGTAGTGGTTTGTGAAAGGATTCTGGGTACCCGCACGCTCCAGGTAAAGAAACGACCGGTGGGTGGCACGCGCGTTCAATGATTAGGGCAATTGCAAATGTTTAAGTCTGAAAGCAGGTGGCGGCTGAAAAATTGCGCAGGCGGTGGAGGAGGGATTTTGTGACATTTATCTTGAGGCGGCTCTTTTCGAGAGGCCAAGTGGGGGGGGGGGGGCAATTAAAGAGGCAAATGTTATGGCACACACCTGGACGCCTGATTCCAGGCCCGACAACAGCTGTGGGATGGACATTGATGCGAAATACAGGGCACGACCGGAGAAAAATCCACACGACCACGGGGGAGAACACGCAAACTCCAAATATACAGGGCATCAGGGTCGGGATCAAACCCACGACCCTCCTGCAAAACCATGCGAGGGAGTTAAACATCTCGCCACCGTAGCGCCCCAACCCGTCGACGACACGCAAAAGACGCGGCAAGAAACGGTCCACGGCCTGATTCCCAAACCAAGACGTTCGGCCTGCCTGCACCCAAAGTGAGCACTGACCAAAGCGTGACGTTAAACCTCAGCCGAGCCTCGCGATTTCAGATTGAAGCCGAACCATTGCAAGGCACGGCAAGGTGAGATTGACCGCGATCATCTTCGTCCACATCGTCTGTCATCTACGTCTTCAACGTCACAACGATGCCGCCCTCGTTGCGCCGCGGCCTATTGCCGCCCCCCCCTCCCCCCCCCCACTTCGCCGCTAAAGCCGCAGAAAATATCTCGCGTCGACGTCGGCACGGCGGGTGAACGACATTCTTCAGTGCGGTGGGGGGAGGGGGGGTTAAAGGGGCAAAGGTTCGGCCCTGCGACCGCTTACTCAGGCCACTGCTGGCAGCAGGGGGCCGGTTCCCAAGTAAGACGGAGCTCCTCTCTCGGGCGGGGGTTGTTTGACCGTGCGTTGGTGCCGGACTGGTGACCGGGGATTGTGGGGGACGGGGGTCAGAGGGGAGAAGCAGGGGGTGGGGGGGGTAGCTGGGGTGAGTGCGGGCAGACGAGGCGAGCGAAGCGAGCGGAACATACATGGTGTCCTTGCTGAGGCTCGCGGAAGCGTCGAGGTGGAACGCGGGATGATCCGAGGAGCTGCCCTCCACCGCGGTCACTCCAGGAGCCGTCGCCAGACCCAACTCCTTCACCAGGTCGGTCCCTGGGGCGATAAGATGTTGGAAGAAAGAAAAACAGCAGAAAAAAATCAACAAAGTGAATGCTAAACCAGGTGCCGAAATAGAGCGATGCACTACGGGTGCCTTTCAATAAACCAGAAGGCCTTTGAATAGATCTACAAGGTCGGTAAAAAAACACTTGTGCAGTGGTTGGGACATGACCCTGGAATCGAACTCAGTTGACCGGGCTCATAGCGCGGTGCGCTTACCAATGAGCCGCATCGATTCCCGATCTCGCAATACACGGCTTGGATCGAATCACGTAAGAGTCGAGTGTTTTTTTATTTATTTATTCCGTACACGTTGTATGTGAATGGGTTCAAGTCACCCCCGCAGTCACTAGAGGCACGAACATTCGCAACGATGTTAAACAAAATAACAATGAATCAACTCCTCAATGCCGTTAAGAGAGACGCGTACATATTTGCAGTTTGCTTATTGGTGAAGTATTTGAATGGTCATTTGTTATTTCTCAAACAGACCGAGGCGTGCACGATTTAATGAATCGCGCTTCATTTGCATACATTTACATCAACCAATTCACTAAAAGTGTTAAACTTCACTCCGAGGCATGCATGGCTTCAAAGCCAAAAAACTCAACTTTGGCATCGCGAGTTAAACCAAACCCCCTCCCGCCCCTCCCCGCCTGCCGCCACCACACACACACCCTCATTAAAATGCGGCCCTCATTAACGGCACACATTTGCCCATCATCTCATTAATAAAGACGTTGGGATATTTAAATATGCATTAAGGGCCAGCTTGGCGAGTCCTCTCGCTGTGTGTGTGCGTGCGTGCGTGCGTGAGGATAATGATGGGGGACAGGTCCTTAATCTCGGGGCTTCACGTAGCTCGCACGCTGCTGGGGCTTCGCAATGTTTGTCCACTTCCTTCGCGAAATGCAATTAATAATAATTACCGATATTAGTATTAGTATTTAAATGCTCGCTCGCAAAAAGCCTCGCCAGGAAGTATCTTCCGCCGGGAGATTTGCCCCGACGACTCCGTTCGAGGCGGGCGATCGTCTTTTAGCGTCGGTGCCCCGCGCGTCGCTCGGCGCGGCGTCCGACGTTTCGCACCCGCGTGCCGGGGTCTTCTTCAGGAACCGCGGCTTTTTAACCGATCAAATGTGCCCCTCTGGGTCTGCGCGGTGTCTCACGACGGCGCTCGCATTTAGGCGCCGCGTAAATCCAACGCGGGACTGCGTTTTGGGCTCGCATCGAGCGTGCGCGCGCGCGCGAACCGCGTCGTCGGCGTCGTCGGCCCCGGGTCTCACCGGGCACGCCGTCGCGTCCCGTCGCGCCCAGGCACGAGAGGCCCTCGCAGATCTTGCGCACGATCTGCACGCGCAGCTTGGAGAGCAGCTCGAAGTCGTCCACGTGGTGCAGGTAGACGCTGGACGGCTTCGACGCGATCGCGTCCAGCTCCGACACGTCCACGCTGTCCGTGACGCCGAGGGCGAACACCAGGATGCCGTCCTCGTGCGCCGCACGCGCCGAGGTCCTGGACACGCGCGCGCGCATTGCGTTGAACACCGCGGCAGATGCCGGGTGAACGTGTTCACCAAGCGCCGCGGAATTTGTAGTCCCGGGGTTGCGGTGAGTGGCGGGCGACGAGGTGCTGTGCAGGCGAGCGGGGCGAATGAGTGCTGGCGAGTCGGAATCAGAATCATCGGTGACATTTATCCTCGAGGAATCCGATGAGCTACGAAGCTTTTTTTTCCACAGATGCGCAATCGTGCGGGTGAGTAACCGGAATGCAGGCGAAGCGAGCGAGCGAGCGGTTGAGCGCAGGTCAGTGAACATGGCTGCCGTGGTCACCAGAGCCAAGACCATCGGTCTCATTATCCCACACCGACATCCACCAAGCTTCTACAGGGGCTAACGAATGGCTGAATCGCCTCGACATTCACTTTATTTTCACTAGATATTATTTTATCCTTATTATTATTTTTTCCATCTACGTTACTTTACCGAAAGAATTATAGAATGAGAATATTCACACGGCTGAACGTTGCTAAACTTGAACCTCGCCGTACAAAAGTGAAGAAGATGGTGATTGGGTGATTCCGGGCAACGAGCGATCGCGGGGTGAGCGGAACAATTGGCTGAGGGTGGACGAGCGAGAGAGCGTGGGCGAGCGCAGTGGCGATGGTGGTGGTAGCGGCGGTGGTGGTAGTGGTGATGATGGTGGTGGCGGTGGTGTTGGTGGTGTTGGTGGCGGTGGTGGTGGTGGTGGTGGCGGTGGTGGTGGCGGTGGATTGTTGGCGGTGGTGTGTTGGTGGTGTTGGTGGTGTTGGTGGCGTGGTGTTGGTGTTGGTGGTGGTGGGTCGCGCCGTACCTTGACGTCGTCGGCGGAGCGGCCGTCCGTCATGACGATGGCCACCCGGCGCACGCCGAGGCCCTTGGGTCGCGCCCCCTCCTCGGGGCTGAAGCTCTTCTCGGTCATTGTGGCTCAGCGCCTTGCCCGTCACGGTGCCCTCCTCCATGTAGCTCATGCGCATCACGGCCGCCTGTGCGGCGGCGACGGCGGCAGGGGAAACACAGCGATGTTGGCGGCTCGGGCAACCCGCGCCCATTCATTCAATTTGACACGCAGACTCTCATCAGGTAACGGTCAACGACGTTTCACGGTCGTCGTCGCCACCGTCGGACACGGTCCACCCACTGCTGGACTAAGGCCTCCCTAACCCCCCCCTCCCCTAACCCCTCCTCCCCTAACCCCCCTCCCCTAACCCCCCTCCCCTAACCCCCCCTCCCCTAATCCCCCCTCCCCTAACCCCCCCTCCCCTAACCCCCCTCCCCTAACACCCCCTCCCCTAACCCCCCTCCCCTAACCCCCCTCCCCTAACCCCCCCCTCCCCTAACCCCCCCCTCCCCTAACCCCCCCTCCCCTAACCCCCCCTCCCCTAACCCCCCCTCCCCTAACTCCCCCTCCCCTAATCCCCCTCCCCTAACCCCCCCTCCCCCTAACCCCCCTCCCCTAACCCCCCTCCCTAACCCCCCTCCCCTAACCCCCCCTCCCCTAACCCCCCCTCCCCTTACCCCCCTCCCCTAACCCCCCCTAATCCCCCTCCCCTAACCCCCCTCCCCTAACCCCCCCTCCCCTAACCCCCCCCTCCCCTAACCTCCCCTAACCCCCCTCCCCTAACCCCCCTCCCCTTACCCCCCCTCCCCTAACCCCCCCTCCCCTAACCCCCCCTCCCTCACCCCAAACCCAAGCTGCCGCCACCTCTCGCAGCGATCCTGCGATGAAACGATCCTCCGGTGCCCAGCACACGCGGGGGGTGGGGGGGGGGGGATTCATCGCTCCGTCTCCATCGCGGCGGGACGTGACGTCAGGAACGCTCCCCCCCCTCTTTGGCTGCCCCCCCCCCCGGTCACGAGTGTTGACCGCCGGCCACCGCTCCTCCCAGTGACGCGTGGCCGCCCCCCTTATTGTTCTTGCGACAATAGTTTCCCATTATGAAAGAAGCCCCCCCCCCCCACCACCCACCACCCCGTTTATTTACCCAGGGGATAGGAACAAACTAAAAAAAAAAAATCATCCCCCCGAATTGGCATCTCCAGCCCCCACAACGTCCCCACCCAAGCGACGCAGCGGGCCAGCAGTGCGGGGGGCAGGCGAGTGAGTGCACGCACCTTGACGGCCTCCTTGGAGTCGTACTCGCCCAGCGTGAACTCGGTACGCACGCGGCTGCTGTACTGCACCACGGCGACGCGGGTCGCGCTGGGCCCCACGCTGAAACGAGTCGACGAGGGCGTTGACGAAGTGCTTCACCTTGACGAAGTTGTGCGCGAGCACGCTGCGCGAGCCGTCCAGCACGAACACGAGGTCCATCGGCGTCGCGCGGCACAGCTCGTGCGAGGCTGCGGAACGGCGAAGACGACGGTGACAGAGTCGCAGCTGCGCCACCGCCGGCGTGCACCGGGCACCCGTCAGCGTCGCGGTGCCACGGCGCGGTGAACGCGACCCGTCGACGCTGGCAGCGGTGGCAGCGGTGGCAGCGGTGGGGGCTAGAAAATGTTGTCCCGGCCAAGAAGCTCCTAAGCTTTTTAAACTAAACTCTAAACTATTTTTTTGTTTACTGAACCAGATGAGGCCCACTGAGCTGTGGAGCTCTTTTTCAGAAGCGACCTGGCCACAAATGATAGCTCAACGAAGTGGCGTTTATTAGCAGCCAAATAATTCTGAGCGCACGTTTTTATAAATGTGGAGGGAAAACCCGGAGGATGCGGAGAAAAATCCACGCGACCACGGGGAGAGAGACACGCAACCTCCAAATATACAGCATCAGGTGTCAGGGTCGGGATGGAACCTACGATCTCCTGTGCACCAGGCGAGACAGATAACATCTTGCCACAGCGGCGACCCTGTTTTAAACAGGGTTGTGTATTCATGTTGCAAAATGAAATATTAAATGTATTTTCTCCAGTAATTATTCATACAATACCAATTGTCTGGATCTCAAGGAGTGGGGGAGGGGCGCAGAGCTGGAGGGAAGTGGTGGGAGCATTGCCCCCACTTTGGATTCACTGTGGTCATGGTGGTGTCCACAGTGGTGGTACTAATTTGAGGTTGAGTCGACCTAGGGGAGGCCCAGGACCGGATAATCACCGCCGTTATAGGTCGTAAGCGGGAATCAAACTCAGGTCGTCGGGTTCGTAGTGCAGTTCTCTCAACCGATTCAACAAAACAAATTTGAAACTCCTTCTTAACCATCAACCCTCGCCACTCAGTCGCTCGCCCGCCTGCTTGCCCGCCCGCTCGCTCGCTCGCTCACTCGCCCACTTGTCCGATCGCTTGCCCGCTCGCTCACCCCCGAGCATGGCCTCGGCGTCCTCCAGGTACGCGGCACTGTCGTCCTCGCCGCTCTCGAACCACAAGTGCAGCGGCGGTGGCGAGAGCGTTGCGACGGGCGGGATGGTGGGCAGGACGCTCTCCTCCGGCGGAGGCTCGGGGGTCGGGGCCGCTCTCCCCCGAGGTCGCCCAGGGGTCACGCCCCTGTGACGATCGTGGCTCCTGCCCGATGTTCCAGTACTCGTCTGTTTGCAGATATTTGCCACATCCTGGAGGAGCTCAGTACCAACCCGCTCGGTGGGGGCGGGCGCGCCGAGGGCGTGAAAGCGGTGATGGCGCGCTACCCACCCAGCGCGCATGGGATGACGACAATGTTGGTTTGTGTTCGGAACGTTGGTTCAAAGTTTTGGCCAACGCTGGTCCAACGGTTCAAAGTTGACTAGGATAGCAGTTGTAGGGCAATCATCGGTTAGGGTTATTATTATTATTATGAAGCTTGTTTTGTTTCCCAGAAAGTTGTATGCATTAGGGGGAGAGATGACGTTGTGTGTAATCTAAAATTGAGTAATTAGCAGCAATTGAGTAATTAGCAGCAATTTAGGAATTAGCAGCAATTGAGTAATTAGCAGCTATTGAGTAATTAGCAGGTTGTTTAATATATGGAACCCTTTTTGCCAGTATGAAGATGATGCTTGAAGGACAGGGTAAAGCCGATTAATTTTATCAGCATCACGATGTTTGGCAAATATCAGCTATGTCGTATGTTTTTTTTACATCGATAAATCTACGAGGAAACCAGAGAACCCGGGGGGGGACATGCAAACTCCAGGCAGAAAGCCACCCAAGTCGCCAAATTGAACCCAGGCTCTCGTTGCTGTGAGGTTCAAGTATTACCGCGGCGCCAGCTGGCCACCCAAGTCGTTCACTGTAAGCCGGTGTCCTTCAATAATTTTCAGGTTGGGGCGAGAGGGCGCACCTTCGCCGAGAAGACATCATCAGCGTGAGGGCCGCTGCACATTTGAAACCACTGTTGGGGTTTGACAGCAGCACGACGATGATTGGGGGTGTTTTCACCATTTGTGTATTGTCGGGGGGGGGGGGTGGGGGGCGCATGTCAGGGGCCGCGCTAAAAGCCACCCAAGGCCGCCAGTGGCCCGTGGGCCTTGCAGTGAAGAACAACTGCTGTAGGCAAACAGCGGCGGAGCAAGGACTGGGGGTGGGCGGGCAAGCGGGCGAGGTGGCAGCCCCAAGCGCCCTCGGCACATGGGACGCTGCTCGCACGTCCAACCAAATTCTCAGAAACAAAAGAAGAAGTGGCAGCTGATGGTTTCAAAAAAGAAAATAATTGGCGACGTTTTGGCCAATGGCCCTTTTTCATGGCACACACAGAGGTGAAAGAAACAAGAGTGGATAATAAGAGTTTGAAAATCCACTTGTAAACACTGTGAGGCCTGGTAATAATATAATTATTATCATTCTAAATTCCTGATAAAAAATTATTTTTTTTTAACCGGCCTGCTGTTTGTTGCTGACCACTTTGCGTTTTAGGCTGAAGCTCAGCAACCACCATGAAACAAAAACGGAACAAACGTCAACTGGAAAATGCACGACAGCCTCGCCGGGTCTCCGGAGCTACGCAGCGGTTGAGCCTGGACGGCTCATCGGATGGGCTAAAAATCGTCAAAGGTGCAGCACTCACCTGACGTGGAGGGTCGCCCTGCGCCAACGCCGGGCCTGGCAGGAGGCTCGCCATCACCAGCGCCGCCAGCGCCACCGCACACCCCGTGCCCAACTTCATCTCCAGCCGATGGGTCGCGAGCGCCAACTGCGTGCACAGGCCACCGACAGCGGCGTGAGGGTTCCCCGCGCTGGCGGTGGCCGGCTGTTCTGACCCGGAGATCGGCAACGCCAAATTGCGTGAGCGCGCCGACGCGGGTTTTCGATTCGAATGCGGTTCAGCAAAAGTGGTTAAACTTCGATTGTGCACCGAGTGAGTGGTGATCTGTAAGATGCCCCATTGCCTGGGACATCATCAGGCAACCTTGGGGGTGGGTGGCATTTGTTTAACAGGCCACATTTCTGCTGGTGAAACGCGGAAAGTTGTCATCAGCCCCGAGTGCTGCTTCTCTAACGAGAGACAGAATCAGCTCCCGAGTGGGAGACCGAGAGCAGGGAAGGGAAGCAGAAGGGAGAGAGCAGCAGCAGCAGCAGCAGCGAGAGCTCGGAGGTCACGACTGGACTGGAGCAGCTAGGGAAAGGAGGAGATGGGAGAGAATGGGAGAGATATTTGCCCAGGAGTGGGAACCCAAAGGATGACAACAACAACAACAACAACAACAACAAAACAACATCATCATACTGCTGGGAAACTTTGGTCGAGAGGGTCCATGGGCTGACGGCACGTCCGTCTCTTGTGTCTGTAACTCTCCCCCGTCTCAGAATGAATTTTATTATTTCAGAGAAAATATGCTCTGTACGCTTCCTCACCTTTCCTCCCGCGCCCGCTTCCAATGCGCTATCCATTACAATGCCAGTTAATGACTAATTTTAAGCGCTCACATCCGTTTCATCACGGTGCCCCCCGAGGCATCTCTTGCTGAAACGTTCGTATCAACTCGGCTACCCTGATGGGCCTGGATTGTGTTTAGTTAGATGAGCCACCTTCACTGTCACTGTAATTACCTTTTCCTTCCCCTTGGCGACGTTGAAACATCACTTGGATCGCAATGCAACAGTGGCAGATATGGGGGCAGGGGGGCGGGTGTGAAGCAGGAAGAGAGATTTACACATCCCCCCTCTGCCCCCCCCCTCCCCCCCATTTGACTCCCACCTTGAGGCCCCCAAACGTTGGTGTTTTATTGATATTCATCGGAAAAATACATTCGATCAGAATCACTGTGTATTTATATTGGAGGAATCCAATGAGCTAAGAAGGTCACTTTAACACGTAAATTGGCTTTCGCGGCCAATATTATTCACAGCGGAGGTTTTTGTTGGGTTGAGTCGCGTAATTATAAATGTGTCGTTTGACCCGCCACCACCCGACACAGCCAAGTTGGTAAGGTTTGTCATGTAAACAAATCAACACAATTCTGGCAAAAAGCGCCCGATGATACTGCATGTAATTAGCAGCGAAACATCGTACTACTCAAATTGTAAACGTTGTGGATTTACTCTCCAACACACCCGTGGGCTGAAGCAGTAACTAATTGGTAGGTTTTGTTTTACGTGGCAAGCCTTACTAATTGGGTGTGTCAGGTGGTGGGGGGTTAACGACACATTTATATTTACGCGATCTACCCTAAACAATCTTTATGATGTCCATTAGGGGTGCAAAGCATCGAGAAGGTCGAAATAATACTATTTTTTTTTATTATTTTACCAGGTAGGGCCCAATGAACTATTAGCTTCTTTTTCAGAAGCGACCAAGCCACAAATGAAACCTCATCGAAGTGGCTTATCATTTGTAGGAAGCAAAATAATCTTAATAATCGAAAACGGAAGTTTCTAAATGTATAGGGGAAAATCCGGAGGACCTGGAGAAAAACATCCATGTGACCACGGGGAGAGAGACACGCAAACTCCAAAGACACAGGCGTCAGGGTCGGGATCGAACCCCCGACCTCCTGCATACCAGGCAAGGAAGATAACATCTCACCACCGTGGGGGTCTCTTAAATAAATAAATAGTGTGGGTTGAAATGGAATGCTTTTTTATAATTATTAATGTAGGGCCTTGTTTAAAAAGACTGAAATTGTTAGAAAGCCACCCCTCCCCCCCAACCTCAAACTCTGATTGGCAATCGACTTAATTATTTTATACTTTTACATTTATTCACAATCGTAGATAAAAAAGAGAGACTTTGTTCGTTTAAAAAAAAATTAAGATACAATTTTTTTTTTTAAACCCCAAATCCACAACCGCAAACGATTACATCATAAGATCCGCACCCGTGCATCACATGGGTAAGCCGCTAATTAGCGGGCGGACAGATTAGTGTTCGTCGCCAAGTTTCAGCAGGCACGAGGTGAGAAGAGAGGCACGCCAGACAACCGGCGCAGGCGCAGAGCTATCTGCCACAGGGGTGACAATTTACAAAGGTTAATTCGGAAATCGGAGTGCGACACGGACAGTGTTCGTACCATTCCTTCATTCGGCGCGTAATGAGCGTTAAACGTCCATTCAATTTTAAAGCCTCGATTGAAAATAATAATGATATAAATAAAAAATAATTACGATCAAATGCGAGCAAGGAATGACGTCGCTAATACGTGTCTTGCGTGGCGCGGGCATTGCGATTAATGATCTTAATGCGTCATTTCGGTTTTGAATTGAGTGCGTAGCGATACAGAAAAAAATATAATGAGCCCGTAAATAATTTCATGACTTTTTTTCTCCCCCTCGTTCACCTCACCACCAGGTTACGCGCTTGACACACGCCGGCAGCAATAATACCGGCAATGGATAAAGCAGAGAATATCCTTGCTTCAGACTCGATTCACGTATTAATCTAACTTTGTGATAATATATTTATATCGTTGCTTCGCACTTATGATTCACTCCACATTCGCGCCTTCTCACATTTTCGCACTTAATTAATTCCCCCCCCCCCCCACCACCTCACCCCCAACTATTCTTTCAGGGTTTGGAAAAAGTTATCTTTTTCCCCATTATTTTTTCCTTCAATCTGGAGAGCAAAAATAAAGTCCAACTGCTCCATCTGCCGACATTCGGTGCCTCTGACATGGGCAAGTGTCAAAACGGCGACACCAACCCGTCCATTCAGTGTAAGGTCGTTGACTTTGTCGCACGGCCGATGGTCCCGTTTCGCCAATTTGCCCCCCCCCCCCCCCCGGCTATCCTGCGCACCCGGCCTACACTTGAATAGGAGCACGCTAGCCAAGGCACGGTCGCCAGTTCAGCCTTGTAGAAACCACGATCGCCTATTGAGGCCGATGCGGTGCACCAGGGGGATGGTGTGGCCAGCACCACGCCTAGGCCGCCTTTGTCTCCCCAGAGCTGATGTTTTACGCAGCACACCGGCGTAAAACTGAAGGCCGAGTCAATCGAGGGGAGGCTCGGGACAGGTGTAAACACCGCTCGCCACTGATGTTTAGCCGTGGCCTGGCATTGAACTCGAGTTTGCTGGGTTTATGGTGCAGTGGCGGTAAGCAGCGTGCAACCACGGCGCTTACTGCCACGGTTGTGGTGGGGTATAACAAAAACGCAGGTCACCCAAACCCTGGACCGAGTGGCTCTTGCCTAAGAACGTACTATTACGAGTGTTCGGATGCTCACAGATCAGGTCATGTATAGCGTGACACCTCCACCGCACTGCTCACGTGTGTCTGGGGTCAAGGGCCAACAACTCTTGAACCCTACTTTAGTCTTTGAGCTGCAGTGAACCAATGACCATGCCGATTACTAATGTCTGATATGCCTGTTATTCACAATTGCATCCAAATAAAAAATAACATTTTAACACATCATACACATTCAGGATGCTGATAAATTCCAACACGAATAAGACTGTGTGAAACGGCCACGATAAAAAAAAGTATTGCTTTCTTGATGTAATAGGTGAGGCAAACTGGGGTATTTGCATGATGTTGCCTACCTCCTCCTTGCAATGGCTCTACAGATGCTTTGTGACCTTTCCATATCCACAGATTGCGCAGCTTGGCCTATGACCGAATCACTCTGAACGCACCCAATCTCACTCGATCTTGGAAGCTAAACGGCAAAGCCCGCGAGCATGGTTGGTGCTTGCGACGGAGTAATGCCTGGCAATGCCACGCGTTGCAAGCTCGGGTCTGAGAAGCGGCCAGCAGTTGGCATCAAACCGAACGGATTCGTGAATCCGACTGCATGGAATGTTAAAAAAGCCCCGCCTCGTCCAGCCCACACACCAAGCCAAACGCGGATTAAAGGAATTGGCCAAACATTGCGGTGCCGTGACACTCTCCTGGAAAATAAAGTCTTGAGGCCAGGTGAGGCTTGGCAGGTTTAAATAAATGGAACGATTGTTAGCACGCTTTTTGTTTTGATGCCATTTTTTTTGCTTGGTAGTGGTTGGGTTTTCATTTAATGGACAGCGTCGTGGCGCAACGGTGCTGAGATGTTAACTACCTCGCCCGGTATACAGGAGGTCGTGGGTTTAATTCCGATCCTGACGCCTGAATATTTGGAGTTTGCGTGTGTCTCCTCGTGGTAGTGTGGAATTTTCTCTCGTTTTTCCCTCCACATTCAGAATCAACTTGCATTTAGAGTATCTGGCTGCGATACATTTTCATGCGGCAAGCCACTTCATTGAGCTATCACTTGTGGCCATGTCGCTTCTGAAAAAGAGCTATGTAGCTCAGTGGGCCTTACCTGGTGAAATAAAATAATAGTCACGCTACATAAAAAGAAAGTAGTATTATTATCATCATTGGAAATTTACATCCATGGGGGCTTTTTAAGCTTTTTACAGGGGCGCCCGTCACTTGCAAGGTCACGCGCTGGTCCTATTTTTCGCGAATTGTTGAGACATTTGCCATCGAGCAACCAAAATATTCCCCCTCCCCCCCGCTGTAGCCCGAGAAACGGTCCGCTCTCTCTATTCCGTAAATCGCGCACGGCGGAAATAAGCAAACACACGAAACGGCGCATTCAGTTTTATACGTGCAAAAAAACATAGATATTGTCCGCAAATAATGGGACGTTCGCAAAGTACGGGCGTGAAAACGTCGCAGCAGTGGGCAACAACGAAAAAGCCAACGGAGTTCAACGCAAATTTTGTTCCAAGTTGCTTTGGGTAATGAATCGTTGGTCAACTTGTGTGCGGCTGGGAAATAAAAAATTGTGTTGCGTCGTTTAACTAGGTCAAACTGGCTGTCGAGTAACAGGAGAAGCTGGCTGTGTGTTCCGAGACTCGCTGCAGAGGGAACTGCTGTAGCTTTTTTTTTTAACACGGCCACACAAATCTACGGATTTAATTACTTATCTATCTACATCGAGTGATCTTTTAAAGACATTACGTAAGATCCTCCTTGCTGGTGATATTATTCCTGTGTCCGTTACAACCGTGCCACCTAATTGTTAAAATTTTAAAGTTTATTCCTCGCCAAACTCAAGAAAACTTGAATGCAGCTCAACTTTCTTTAACACTCACAAAGGAATGTTCTTCTATAGCTGCCTAGACTGCTGTGATACGTTATGTTAGTAAGCACCTAGTAAAGACGCAGTGTTATTACACCCCATACCGCGCTGGGCTTAACTTGGTTATGATTGGGGATGTCAATCGCTCCACTCTAGCAGGTAATAATTATTGGTCAAATTGACCTATGAGAGGCCCTGACCGGATTTGATTAGCATTAACCACTTTCTAAATTAAATTAAAAAATTCACCAGGTGAGGCCTCACTCAGCTACAGTATGTAGCTCTTTTTCAGAAGAGACCTGGCCATCACAAATGATAGCTCAACAAAAGTAGCTTATCATCAAAGTGGAAATTTATAGCAGCCAACACTCTAAGCGCACGTTGATTATAAATGTGGAGGGAAAACTCGACCATGGGAAGAACACGAAAACATGCAAACTCCAAATATACAGGCGTCAGGGTTGGTATCAAACCCACAAACTCTTGTAAACGAGGCAAGGCAGATAATATCTCACCACCGTGGCACCAGGAATTGAACCCGGGTTAACAGGATCGGAGCGCACACACACAGACACACTTGTTCCTCGATGATGATGTCAACCACACCACTACTAAAGCAGGTACTCATGTTAAACCGAGTTAACCTAAAATAAGTCTATACCAGCCTCAGATACCAACTTCCACCAGCATTGTGCACCGCCAGGACTTGAACCAGGGTCACGAAGATCGCTAGCAGACCAGCATCAACGTGCGACAGGTCCAAACCAACTTAGGTACCAACGACCACCAGCAGCCCATCCTAGCCATCAAAGACGGTCATTGCTCTTCCTTCCGATATTAGAAAGCCACTGGAGCTATGCACTTTAACATCATCACCTAGATTGAAAACCTAACTTCTTTAGAACTGATGATTGTGTTAAGTTTGTTGTCCTGCCCCCACACCTCCAATTAACACAGTTGGCTGCGTAAAGTGCGAAAGAAGTTCAACATACATGCATACATTCATCGTACACGGTCGGGCATGGAGCCTGGGTCACAAGCATCGTAGCGCATCATCGTTTACGTGGGAAACATCCGTCCCAGGCTCGGACACCAATCGCCACCGGCGTCGCGCAATCGCCAGGGGTTGAACACCGTGGGTCCGCCGGAATCACGGCGCACACGAGCGACACACGAACGCGAGCAAGGAACCCGGCACGGCGGTCGGCACGAAAGTCGGCGACTGCGGGACGGGTGACCCTCACCTGCGATCCGGGGGCGTGGGGTCTCGGTCGGGTGTTGTCAGCGCGCGAAGCCCGAGGCCGTGTGCCTGTGTGAGCGACGCTCGGGCCGCGTGGCGAACTCGCGAAGCCCCGGTAAGCGGTGGAGCAGGCGGACGCGACGACGGCGAGAGAGAGCGAGCGCGGTCAGCGAGCGAGAGGAGAGGTGACGGTGGCTTCGGGGGGGCGGAGTGGGGGGGGGGACCCGGGGGTGGCAGGGAAAAGGGGCCCACCTCGTCACCCTGAGAAATAGCGGTCCCAGGAGACCAGACGCCCGGCGTGATTGGTTCGGCTGGAGATTTCGCACCCAGGCACGATCGTCCTCGAATTCCAGAGTTACGGCCAGAACCCCGTACTGTACTGGAGGGAATGGGGAAAAAAAAAGAACACTTGATAGATTAAACACTCAAAAGTAGAGGAGAAAAAAACTAAAGCCATTATTAATTCAATTTTGGGCCACACCACCTGACAAATGTATCTGGCACAAAGCCACAATTAGAGGCGAATATAATAATCTGTCAACAAACAATGCTTTCTCTGTCTTCACATACAGCTTTACTTGACGACACCGCCCTCACTCGACAAACTAGCAAGGCAATGACGGAGACAATTTAAAAAAAAACTGACTCCAACACGCGTTGAGTCACCGAGTAACAGCGAGCACGGGACAGCGATCAGATTGCTTAAGTGCTTTTTATATGTATTGCCGTATTGCTGTGGACTGCTAGAGGCGTGGAACTTATGGATCCGAGTTTTATGAACTGTCCGCAACACGTGTCAAACTGGGATTTAATATATAAATAGATGAGAGTTTATACACAGGGGACACGAACTGATTGCTGCAAGGTTTGCCAGATTGAAATTGTGCACAGCAAATATCACACAATGCTAAAGCTCCCACGTAACTATGTAACCTGTTCATCGATCTATCAAGGGCAAAACTTGGCATGGGTCGAGGGGTACATTCATTATTTTGGGTCGTTTGTAGCAATCCTGTTCAATTACGTATGCATGTTGAACTTCTATGACACCGTACGTATCCAACCGTGCAAATCGAAGGTGCGGGGAAGGACCATTTCATGCATTCGTTCCGCAACCGGAAGCCGATGCCCGTGGAGCATAAAGGCAACGAGTCACGTGCGGTACAATGGGTGCCATGCCCTTCAACAACCACGCACCGCAGAAATGTTGACGACACAGTGATGGCTATAGCGGCGGGAGACGATACGCGACAAGAGGAGACCTTCACGCATCAACAGAAGATCGAAAACAGTTTCGCACCCACAGAGATCATCCACGTAAGCCTTGCAAACGATGGGTGCGAGTGTTGTTAGCGAGCACCTATTGAGGCCAGTGCAGCACAGAGAGGGGTAACGTGGCCCCTAGTGTCACGGGTTTGCCCGGGAAAGATGCAGATGCCACGTGCCACTGTTAACCAGAGCTGGGAATCAAACCCAGGTGGCTGGGATGCCAGTGCGGTGAGAGAACCACCAATGCCACCACTCTACCCCTCCCCGCGCACACACAGCGGTCTCTATTCTGCTGGGAAACGTGCAGTAAGCGAACGTGGAGCATCTGAGTGAGGGGACGGTGGGGGCGTAACTCTCCTCACCCAACCCACCCAACCACAACCACCATCACCGCACATCCTCGGTGGAATTTATTCAGATTAACTTGAAAACCAAATGTAATGTGATGTGTTTTCATTTTTTGAGACATTATTACAACTCGACGCGAGCCCTGTATAAAACGCCGATCACAAAACGGAGAAGGGATGGTGGTGGTGGGGGACAAACTCCGCGCACAGCAGCAGTAGCAGCAGCAGCCCCTGGACTTGGACGCGACTGAGCACCTCACAAGAGGGAGACAAACAACGTGGGCTCGTGCCGCACCCAGCCGGGGGGGGGGCATCGACGTTCATATGGGGGGGTGGGTTAAGGGGCAAAGGTAACTAACACACTGGGGGGGGGGGGGGCGGGGTGGAAGGGACGTGGGGGGGGTTGCGATGTGTTCCTTCACGGGCAGTGGTCGGTGACGACCAAGGTGGAGGCCGTCGCTTCACGACGCCTGAGAAGCCAGCGAGATCACGCGGCGGCGGCGGCCGAAACCCGGATTCACCCCCAGGATGTCGGCATCGCCGGTCCTCTCGACATTCTGTGTACCCCCCTCTCAGTCAGCCGGCAACTTCGCCACACGTCGACAACTTTGTCTCAGCCGGAGCCAAACCCCCCTCGAAAATTAAATCTTGGAAGCGTGGCAAAGCAAAACCCGTACCGATTTTTCAAATGGGCTGAAATTGGTTCTGGGGGGCCGCGTAAAGCCGGGGTGTGTGTGGAGCATGGGGAGCAGTGGCGGAGGGGTTAGCGCACCGCGCTACGAACCAGGCGACTCCCGCTCACAGCCAATACCAGTGACGATTATCCGAACCGGTCCTGGGCCTCTGCTTGGTGGACTCAGCCTGAAATGAGTACCTGGTGCGGCGTGTAAAAACATCGACACTGGGAAGACAAAGGCGGTCGGGCGTGGTGCTGGCCACCCACCCCCTCGTGGACCGTGGCGGCCTTCATAGGTGCTCGCTAACAGCACTTGCCCCAGCAGTCTCAAGCCTATACGGAGGATCTTTGTCTTTGGAGCATGACAGCACTAATACGCAGTGGATTTTCCTCTCGGTGGACTCGCGTTTTAATGATGAATAATACCAGCGGCGTGCCGTTGCACAGAGGAGATAATGTATGTGCAGGAAGTCAGGGATTAAGGGAAGCCCGTCTCCACCCAGAGCCCCACTCAACGTAACGACGCCAACGTCACAGCCGTCACAAACACAATGCCCGCCGATCCCCATCGCCGCAGCACAAAAGAACAAAGATGCCCCGTTTAGCGGCACGCCGAGCGAGCACCCAATGCAGCTGGGCATGACAATGCAGCGGTGGGACGGAACCACACTCGGACACATCGTCTCCCCAGGTGCTGGCGTTCACGCACCGCGATCGGCCAAGAGGAAGGCACGGGATTGTACGCGCGTTGAACTTCTTTCGCGCCGTACGTAGGCCAACCGTGCCGTGATCGGAGGATAGTGCCACCGGTGTTTGCACCGCGTGCGGAAACTTCAGCCTGGTCACCGGGGTCGTAGCACAGTGCTCAAAGCACTTGCCCTACCGCTATTTTTCGATTCACGTGTGTTCATGTCGCTAAAGTATCGAACTTGCTTGCACATGTAGCTCGCTTTTTTATTGCCCATCTTGCTCGGTACGCTACGTTTGCACTGCTTTCAGCGTATGACCGTGAAACGCACCGCGTTTGTCAGTTGTGCCATATTGATGTGCACGTTCTCTGCATCATTGATGGCCGTTTATTGTTGTTGTCTTCGTTTGTGTTGTTGTTGCTGTTGCTGTGCTCCCGCACTACAGATCTCCCCCTCGTAACATAACCGGGAAACTGGCTATAATCGGTATCGCAAATGTGAAAACAAATCAATATGAAATTCCATCGCATATGCACACACACATGCACCAAGACAAATGTCCCCGTAGAACAATGCATACCGTTGGGGCAAGCGCTGTTAGCGAGCACCTATGAAGGCCGGCACGGCACACGAGGGAGCGGCTGGCCAGCACCACGTCCGGCCACCTTTGTCTCCCCGGTGGCGATGTTTACACAGCGCACAAGGTTACTCATTTAAGGCTGAGTCGACCTGGGGGGAGGCCCAGGGCCGATTCAGACAATCGTCACTGGTGTTGGCCACGAGGCGGAATTGAACTCGGGTCGCCGGGTCCGTAGCGCGACGCGCTAACCGCTGCACTGCCGCTCGCCCCACACAATAACGCCAGGCCAGGCCGCGTCTCCATCGCGCGCACTCCCCAACAGTCTTCCTCCAGGGACGAGGCGCAGGAAACAGGCGCGAGTGGAACAATGGAGCAGCGCGTCGGAGGCTTCCTGATCGGCGAGGCCTGCATGGAGATGCACGAGGGGGGTCGAGAAGAGTCTCGGGAAGTCGGAAACGCGTAGCTCCTTTTCCTCCCGAGGACGCGCGGAGAGGGGAGAACGCCCCTCCGTCACCGAATTTTTTTTATAATTTTTTAAAACATTTTTTTAAAAATCCCCACCGTTTGATGACCCATTCTCTCGCCACCACTCCCACCCCATGCCTCCCTACATCGCGGGGACACTCCGCTTCACGTGTCACCCACCCGTCTAACTGTCGGGCAGCCTCATGCCCTCAAGATCCGTCCGCTTGCACCTCGCACAGCAACGATGCATTCGAACGGCAGCGACTCGACCAACTCGACTGCCGCGCCCGATCCGAGCAACATTTTCGGTAAGTTGGACTCGACTTTCGTTACGACGACGACGAAGGCTTGCCGACAAACGCCAGCCGATGGCGCGTGGCAAAATTTTAGGCGACCGTGAACCGAGCGACTGATGTCAACTTGGGGAAACAAAGATGACATTTTGACAAACGATTAATCGAGAACCCCCCCTCCCCCTCTCGCCAAGCAATAAAAAATCGTATTTAGAATTTTATTCTCCCGACAATTTCGGCTCAGGCGTCGATTGGTTTCACTCAACGGGCAGCCTCAGCCGGAAGTTCTGCGTTGCTTCAAGCATTGCGGTGGACACTCGTAAAGAGAAACTCCCCATCATCAGTGAACCAAGTAGTTTGCCTTCCTTGGAGGTTGACGTTAAAGTCGATAATAAAACAAAAAGCAGGCAAATCCCACAGCTGGTTCCCTGTAGTACGGAAATGTGATAGTTCGTAATACTGAAGCAATCGAACGTGGCAATTGCTGGAAACTTTGGAATTATTTTATTGTATGTTATTCACAGACTGAATGTGGTAACTACAAGAACCCACGGTGACATGTGTGACAAGCATTAGCCTACAAAAGAGATATGGAATCTTCATGTATGTCATGCTCAGTATTAGACTGGGTAGTGCGGCCATTTACGCACTGTGCTATGAACCCAGGGTCTGTTGCCTGTCACGGATAACATCAGTGGCGAGTGGTATCTGAACCAGTCTTATGCTTCAGCGAACTTTTTGGGTTTTAGAGAACTGCACAAAAATTTCTCCGCTAGTTTTGTGATTCGATCAATCGTTTATTACGGCTCCACCTTGGTCTCTCACAGCCACTGATGGCGATTTTAGTGTTCGTCAACTTATTTTTTTGTCTCTCTGGAGCTCGCATCGCGCGCTGTGGCATCTTCAAACTTTAGCGTCGCGTTCGCGGATTTTCCAATCTCCCTCTTTTCATAACGATACGACAGAGCTGAGCTGCGTTATTCATCTTTTCCCCCGGCGGGTTTCAGCTGATGCAATGCGGCGTGGGTTTCACAGTCCGGAACCTGTCTTATGAAAGCCATCCGTGCGAACTTTTGGGAGTTATCCAGTTTCGTTCATGGTGGGCACCAGGTACTCATTTGAGGCTGAGTCGACCTAGGGGAGGCCCAGCACCGTCACTGGCGTTGGCCGTGAGCGGGAATCGAACTCGAGTCGACAGGTTCGTAGCGCAGCGCGCTAGCTGCTACACTACCGCTCCCCACGAACACATTTGCATGTGCCCATCAGCCATGATCAATCCACTGCTGGATGAAGGCCTCCCAAAGCCATCGCCATCTCCCACAAATGCTGCGATGGCAACGATCCACCCAGCACTGCCAGCACCTCGTGTCGTTCGCTCAGTCACATGGGCACGCAAATAAGCAACTGATAAACATACATACACACAGAATACACTCTTGTACGTACACACACCTCATACAATCTGCACGCAGATATTCGATGAGCACGGTCGGCATGCGCGCGGTGCGAAAGGAGCTCAACATACATACGTTCGAGAAGGGATATAAAGCTCACATTTTGCACAAATACAACTGCTTGTGTTTACGCTTACAGAGAAGCCGACCTGAATTCGGTTTCGGCGCCGAAAGTTGGCAAATGGCCTCTTTCGGCATAGTTTATATTTCGGCCGAAAGTCAATTTTTAACTTTCGGCATAGTTTCGACTTCGGCCGAAAGTCAATTTTTAACTTTCGGCATAGTTTCGGTTTCGGCCCTTTCGGTCTGGTTTCGTTTTCGACCGAAACCAGAAATTCAGTTTCGGTCGGCCTTTATGCTTGACTAACCAGAACATTCCGAAAACCAATAGCTTGTACTTTTTTTGAGGCCTAAAATGAGACTAGGGTGCAAAAGTCCATTGGTTTTTACGGGTAAGGCAGCGTCAGCCTAAATTTCTACATCACACTGTGGGTCACGCTCAACGCTTACAAACAAAAACCCCATACCCATCCTAAGTGAGCCAAGTAACTTGCCCACCATGGTATGTGGCAAAAGCTCGTGGCAAAAAGCTCGTGGTAGAAAGTGTGAAAATCAATGTACCCGTTAAATTCAGTACGACAAACAGTTTCTCCTATTGCATATATGTACCGAACTACTGAATACGGAGTAACAACCACACACACGAGTTGGTCGTTGCATTTCGTACCAGCACCACGATGGTGGTACTGGTGGTGATGATGTGCATGACTAAGTTATAGTCAGCTTGAACGACGATGACTGATAATTTACAGTTGGTGATTTGATTATGATGGTTGTGGTGGTAGTGATGATGACCTCAGTGGGCGCATTGATTATGGCGATCAATTCCAGTATTGACGATGCTGTTGCCACACAAACAGACTAATGACATTATGGAAGATGGATGGTTATGGATGGTGAACGTAGTGATTATGCCAAATTGTAGGTGACAGAGGGTGATGGAAAGTAATGAATCACGATGATACGGCTGACGATAAGAATGATGATGACGATGATCTGAGCACTAATTATGATTATTAATGACACTTGGAACAATAATACTAAATAAACTAAACTTTTTTATGTTACCAGGTAAGGCCCACTGAGCTATGTAGCTCTTTTTCAGAAGCGACCTGGCCACAAATGATAGCTCAACGAAGCGGCTTATCACGTGGAAATGTACAGCAGCCAATTACTCTTAAACGCGTGTTTCTAAATGTGGAGGGGAAAAACCGGACGACCCGGAGAAAAATTCACACGACCACGGGGAGAGAGACACCGCAAACGTCCGAATATACAGGCGTCGTCAGGGCCGGGATGGAATCCACGACTCCCTGTACACCAGGCGAGGTAGTTAACATCTCGCCACCGTTGCACCCATAACAAGGCTGCTGCTGGCGTGGTGTAAGGGTTTATCGTACTGGACTTGCAATCGAGAGGTCGGTCGCTGGTTTAATTCCATCCCCAGTCTCTGTCCACTCCGAGGTAGAAATGGGTGCACCGCAGCTAGTCGGCATGCAGGTCCGCACGTGTGGCGGGGTAAAGTGTGGGTACTCCCGCGGTTTTCCCAAGCCGTGTGGCCTGCGTGAAAGAGTAGGCCGAATTACCCTGTTGAGGGGCTCTCCAGAACTTCACTAATAATGAAGGCCCTTCTGCCAGCAGTGGCATCAGCAAGGAATTACAGGGCTGCACCTCTGCCACGCACAATAACGATCATAAGCCACGAACATCAACCGTGTTCAGTTACATGTATGTACGTTGAACTTCTTTCGCACCGTACGTAGCCAACAGCGCTAATCGGAGGTGCGGATTCAGATCTTAGCGCCTCAATGTTTTCTGGAGAGCTGCTTAAAAGGCCGGCTTGCAATGTGGACTGTTGGGCTGCGGCACTAAACCACTCGACTTTAAGTTGCACCACCTGTCCGCCAACAAACCCCATGTCATTCTACCTGCGTACCCCACATTAATCACGATCCTACGAGTACATTTTTAATGGTTGCTCGAGCAGAAATTAAACAGCGGTCATCAACTGCGCTGCAGCCTACACGAACGCCGATTTGCCAAATCCGTGACCGGTCACTCCGTGTGTCCGCCTGTGCTCTGCCCCCCCCCCTTCCATGCTCCTCCTCCCCTGCCCATCCTTGTGTTTACCACGCGCGAAGGTTTGGACTCGTTCTCCGAGCTCCTGCTGGTGTTCGCAGTCTCGGTGGCGATCGGCGCTCTACTCGGCGCCTCCGCTTGCCTCCTCGCGTCATCCTGCCGCTGTTGCCCGCGGCGGCGGCGTCGCGGGCGACACTCGACGTCGGCGTCGGCCGCGACGTCGGCGCCGGGCGTCGTGGCGGGCGGAACGTTCAGGCCGCGCGGGCCCTCCTCTGCGTCCGTGGCCTTCTTGCGGCAGAGCAGCGTGAGCAGCGGCGGCGGCTACGGAAAGCACTGCGGCATGGCCCTCTCCATCCCCTTGCCGAGGCTCCACTCGACGGAGGCGCCCGGCTCATGCTCGCCCCACGCATTTGCCAGGGCGGCCGCCGCCGCCACCACCACCACGTTCCAGCCGCGGGCGCAAGCCAAGGCGGCCGCGGCGGCCGCGGCTCCCGCGACGCCTCCGACCCCCCGCGCCCTGCCCGTGGGCGCGTCCGCTGCACCGCTTCGGGCGAGAAGCACCGGGCCCTCCGTGGCTCGGCTGTGCGGCCGGACCTTCTACGAGCCGAGCCACGAGGTTGCGCAGGTGCAGCGAAGCGAGGTCCTCAACCCGACGCCTCGCGACTTCGCCACGGTGGTGCAGGCGACGGCGGCGCGCCCGCTCGAGCTGGTCGCGAACCGTGACGCCGGATCCGAGCGGTCCGATGCGGCACGCCAGGAAGATGAAGGCAGCTCGACAGAGACGCTGCCTGCTGATTACTGCATGCGGCCACAGGAGATGGGCATCGTCACCATCACCACCGCCGAGAGAGGAGGAGGAGGACGAGGAGAGACGCTCCAGAACATCAGGAGCGAGTTGGCGACACGGGACTACGGGAACAAGCCAGAGTTCATCAGGACACTTTAGAGCAGTGTTCTTCACTCATTTTCAGGGGTGGGGGGGGGGGTGGGAGGTGGACAGTCTTCACCATTTGTGTCTTGTCAGGGGCCGCGCTAAAGGCCATCAGGGGCCTTGCCGTGAAGAACGCCGCTTTCGACTGTATTCATGCAAAGATCAAACTTTTTGAAGCATCGGGAGAGAATGGTCCTCGGCATAATAACGTGGATATTTTTTCGTCCCGAGTTTGTATCCAGGAAAAACCGCATTGATGAGTCTCGAGACTCCCTTTCAAGCGCATCCTGCAATTGAGATGTTTGTCCAATTCCGTTTTAAAATTAGGAATGTTTTTGTTGTTCTTGCTATTGGGAGGAAATCGAAAGCCCTCCAAGGGGTCGACGGTCAAAGGTCCACACAGATGGGTGCAAGATCCCACTTAGGAGTCTACTGCCATCTCCTGGCCATTTCTTACGTGGCCTGCTGGGTTTTTATTTTTAAAATCACGGTTGCTGAGCAAAAGGCCCAAAACTCCGAAGCGGCCAAAAATCAACAATGTTATTGGTTGTGTAACACATATGGGGGTTGATACATTTCCTGAAGTGAGCAAGGTTATAAATCACTTGGGGGTAACAGAGACGACAAAAAGGAAGCACTTTCAAAGGTGAGCATTTGAGAGGGCGAGATGTTAAATGTCTCGCCGGGTATGCAGGAGATCGTGGGTTCGATCCCGACCCTGACGCCTGCTGTCTATTTGGAGTTCGCGTGTCTTCTCTCCCCGTGGTAGCGTGGATTTTTCTCCACGTCCTCCGGTGCTTCCCCTCCACATTTAGAAACATGCGCTTATGATTATTTGGCTGCTGTACATTTCCACGCGATGAGTCACTTCGCTGAGCTATCATCTGTGGCCAGGTCGCTTCCGAAAAAGCTACACTGTATAGCTCAGCGGGCTTTGCCTGGTAAAACAAAATAATAAATGCATGGGCTTCCGTTTGCGAATAATTGTAAGGTAGCACTCATCACACACAAAGTGTCTGTGTCACAAATGAACCGCAAAACCTCGCTCATCTCGTCAAGAAAAATAAAGCATCACGCGAACACCGGTCACCCTCGCAGCAGCATTTGGCTGGCCATCGAACGCAGACGGTCACCGCATCGTGCGCTTTCAGATGCGTTTCCGCGGCCGTCTCGAATGCTCTTCCGATATTGGTAAAGCCACTGGGGCTATCCACGTTTAAATTTAAATTGGAAATGCATTTCTTTAAAACTGCTTTTTGTGTTTAGTTTGTTGCCCTCCAACGCGCACCTCCGATGGGCACGGTTGGCTACGTCCGGTGCGAAGGAAGTTCAACACACGTACGACGCGGAAAGGGAGGCGTTGGTGGCCCGCAGTGTGATTGTTTGAACACAGTGTGGATGAGATGAAACAGTCTGATACTCTCTGGTTCTTTCGGTAAAGTCACGTAGGTATAAAATAAATCACGACGTTTCGGGCACAACACAAGCGTCCATCATCGGGTGGGAAAGCATGGTCTGCTGCTACGTGACTTTACCGAAAGAACCGGAGAGTATGGATTCCTGCAGTCACGAAAGCTTCAAATCAAGATTGAAACAATCTGAGTTTGTGACTTTCACAAATCTCTCTGTGGTCCACTAACCCCATGCCTCCAAAGCGCTGGATCACAGTTATAGACGTACAGACCACTAACCGCGCCCGATCTATATAGACTGCTTGCAGAGGGCCCACGTGGTGACTTGGTGCCGTGAAGCCAACTGCTGATGATCATCGACATTAACAAAGACACCGCGCTCAAAGGCATGTCTGTTGAATGTGCAGAGTGGTCGGGAAGTCCCTATACCCGTCTCTTGAAGGGAGTTTATGGACTCGTAGTTGTTAACGGGGGAGGCTGGGGGAAGGGACTTATCGCCCACGCTGTGTGCACATTGTGTGCAGACAATGTGACACTAATTAACCACCCCCACGTAAGTCGCTGACTCATCGCACCAGCTGATGGTCTTTGTTATTATTATTTGTGCTAAATGGCTTTGCGAAGCGAGCTTACGCTTAGTCACTGTGTAACACATTTTTTTATTCCTGGGTAGTAAGTGTTATTTCCTAATTGCTTATGGCTCAAAAGTACAGAACATGGCTGTTATTCCCCACAAACTTTGCTGTTGTGACCAGGACAATGATATTTTGAAATGTACCTATTTTCAATGAGAAAACGGGCGAATGTGTATTTTCGTTCACATAAAGTCAAAGAAAAACAACATATCAATCAAAATTAACATGTATTTATACTAAAGTAATGCAAAAATGACTACAAAAGATTTGGAAGTTAGTAGTTTTGTGATATTTACGTTTAAAATGTAAATCACTTTCACGAATCAGCCCCCCAAATAATGGCCACTTTCTATACTTTTTGGGCATAAGCAATTACGAAATAACACTTACTACCCAAGAACAAAAATTGTGTTACATCGTGTTATCAATCCCACGTGTGCCGCATAGACCGGTTGGATCTGCATGGTTCACGTTCAGTGGACGGTCTAATCCACGACGTCGGCTGTGCATCGGTCAAAGGGTTTCCCGCATCTGTTCTCATCTAGACCCAAAAGCGGTCCACCCACCTCGTGATGTGCACCCCACCTACGGCACCTTCGTAGATCCACTGCTGGATGATGGCTATGACGCGGTGGCAAGGCATATCGGCAGAGCGTTTTCGTTGCAGAGGTTCGCGGCTCGATTCTAGCGGCCGCCCTGGTTAATACTACGGGTGTAAAAAAAACCCCGTAATAATACGCGCCCGTCTGTTTTACAGGAGACATTACAGATACCCGGACGTCGTTCACAAGAGCACGCCAATGTGTGCCGGCGAAAATGAGCCGCAAATTATTAAATCTAGATTATACACAGCAGCAGTAGCATAGTTCCCGACTGGCAGACTGATGCCCCCGGGGTCATACTTGCAAATGAAACTCATCCTCCTGGTCTCTTGAGATTGCATCCGGCTCAACGAATTGAACTGCTTTAAACTTTGTCCTTGCGGATTGTTTGACCGTGACGATCAATGCGGGTTTGCTGAAGTCGTGAGGTATAGACGCGGGAACGGAGGACGTACAATACAACAATTGATGTTGCTGCACTGCCATTGTGCTGCCCGCCACGGGTCGCCTGCAGTGGTTACGAGTTAGCGGTGACCAGATGCCTCGCAGAAGGCTGAGCGCTGGGCCGGCACCGCCAAAACCATGGGTTCGAATCCGGATAGCCGCCTATCATTTAACCGGATTTTTCTCAGCCTCGGTCGCCATTCACTGTTTCAATTAATACAAAAAAAGATTACGCCGCCTTTACTTTGTCGACTAATTAAAATATAACATCACGCCACATTTACTGTCAATTAATGTTGCTACGTTCCGGCTCTGCTGTGATCACAAATATCGGTTTGACCGTCACGTCATAGGCGTTTAATTATCTCTGCAGCGGCGAAAAGTGCCTCCCCCTAGAGTGTGGATAACAGTTCGGTAGCATATTCTTAGCTCTTTCCGTAAAGTCACGTTGAAGGGAAACAATAAAATAATAAAATATATTAATATATTAATAAAATATATTACTTTATTGTTTCCCTTCCACGTGACTTTACCGAAAGAGCTAAGGATATGAATTACTGCAGTCACGAAAGCTTTAAATCAAAGTTCGGTAGCAGTTGTGTGATATCTATTTCCGTGGACCGTTCTGTCTACCTCAGGCGGAGGTGCGTTGCGAGGGCACGAAATTGGGTCCTTCGTCTGAATGTGTCACCGTGGCAATCACACAATCGGGGACAAGAGTTGTGGTAAAGACTCAAGATAATCGATTATTGCACAAGAATCAAAAACCGCAATCGTTCACAATTCGCCGAAGCACAGATCAGCTGATGCGTGGTCGCGTGTCGGACAGCCGGCACGCGTTTGAAACCTCTTCAGAAATCAGAATCTGTATTAATATTGGAGGAATCCGATGAGCTATGAAGCTCTTTATCATAGGTGTTCAGTCGGGGCGGGTCAGAACCTTACAGCAACAAACAGTACAAACATATGATAGGAGTCCCAGGTATAGAGAAGGTAAACATATCACTTAAACAAATAAAACTTAACTATTTTATATCTTACTAGATAAAGCCCACTGAACTAACTATTAATGTATTTTTCAGAAGCTACCTAGCCACTAATGATAGCTCAACAAAGTGGCTTATCACGTGGAAATGTATCGCGGCAAAATAATCATCATCAGCCACTCCACTGCTGGATGAAGGTCTCACCCACAGCCGTCGCCATCTCTCACGTCATCTGCCACGTCATAATAATATTCCGCATGTGCACGTGCGCACGAAGCTGATATTTTCAACGTTTCACAAAACCCGGAGTCACCTCTTTCCAAAGGTGCGCTCCGAGTGACGTGACCGCGGTGACTGCAGGTAACTGGGAAGCCAATTTGAATTAACTGACTCTCCTTCCCCCCCCCCCGCCCTGGGCACACATTCGAGATGCGTACGTACGAGATAAGTGATATTTGCCTTCATGGTCGGTGCCTCGCATTAAGTAAATGTCAAAGTTGACGCCGTCACACACACACGCGCACACGCGCGCACACGCGCGCACACAGCCCTATCAGCAACGCGTAAGCGCCCTTGGCCACTAAAGCAAGCTGCCAACGACGTCCCCAACAGTGGTAATTAACTGTGGGTACTCCACTAATCAATCATGCACATCATCATCTGCAACAGCGGTAGCATGATAAGCCGTGGTCAATCCACTGCTGGATGTACCCCCCCCCTTCCCCCACTATCCCTTGCCCTACATAGACAAGTTCCCCCGTATAGCCTTTCCCAGACTGTTGGGGCAAGTGCTGTTAGCGAGCACCTTTGAAAGCACGGCACACGAGGGGCGAGGGGGGTGGGGGCAACACACTACGCCCGGCCGCCTTTGTCTCCCCAGTGCTGATGCCTGCACTATTTTTGGACCTATTTTAAGGCTGAGTATACCTTGGGGAGACTCGTAAACGGTTAAATTATTCGCCGCTGTTATTGGTCGTGAGCGGAGAGTGAACTCGGGTGGCCGGGTTCGGAGTGCGATGCGCTAACCACTACGCGACCGCTCCCCCACAATCAATCCACAAGCACTTCCGCGCCACCTGATTTAATCGTTCTGTCTCCCCAGCGGATGTCCTCCCGGGTGCGTTCCATTCCTTGGCTGCCATTCCGTCACTATCCTTGCCCATCGGCCATCATGTGTGTGTTGTTGAAAACTTCTATCGCATCGTACGTGGCCAACCGCTGCCTTATAGAATGACGTCTAGCCACGCAGCGTGTCTCGAGACTCGAAGTGAATGTGCACCAAATTGGGCATGTTCAGGACACATCGTAAGAGACTGATGGCAGAACGGCAGCAAAAGGAGAGAACGTGCCGGAGAGCACGACCACAGCGGAGCAAGTGCATTGCCTCCAAACCCACTGAAGCCAGTGCACATTTACATCTAGATTAATAACTAAATTCTTGACAACTGCTTTCTTGCGTTTAGTTTATTGTCCTTCCCCCCACCTCGCACCTCCGATTAGAGCGGTCGGCTATGTACGGTGCGAAAGAAGTTCAACATACATGCATGGAATTCTAGCGACGTGTTCTGTCCGAGACACATCTTTGTTTGACAGTCTGAAGTGTGCGTCTGTAACGCCGTCTTATAGAATGACGTGAAACTTGGATTGGATGTGCA